AACGAACGCCCTGATTAGTCGGGCTCGTGTCGTTCTGAACCCCAGGGGTGAGCCCTGTCAGTGCCGGCTCGCTCTTCCCAATCTCCCAATCTTTCCACCACTTCTCCCCACTCAGCCGCCGGTCAAGGGAATATAGTTCGGGACGAACACTTGGGCTTTTGGTCTTCGATTCATCCTCTCTTTTCTGCTTCGGACTGCTATATAAATCCAATCAAGTATTGCGAGAGAGTCGGGTTGGAGGGATGTCCCTGCATTGTTCTAGGGTAAAAGGGGATTGCCCTCTCACCGGCCCTTCCCTCAAGGAGAGTTATAATTCTGCACCTCTTGCGAAGAGGATGTCTTTCGGCCCATGGATGGGAGGGGAGGAACATTTCTCTCCTTGGCGCGTTTCTCTAGATGGCGTCAGAGATTAGTTCCGCCTTGCATAAGTTCGACAAGAGCAGAGCGCCTGCCTGTTAGTGCCGGTCAACGTTGCGTAAATGCAGCGTCGTCGACGACAGCCCATGCCAAGTGTTGAGGGCCTCGTCGGCCTTTGTGGAATCATATAACCTAGCTATTTGCAGCTTGGGACCACACTGCGTTCAAAGCAGCCACTGGAGACAGGAGCGAGATCGACCCGTTAGGTAACAATATATCCCAGTAAATGGGAAAAAAAGAGAGTATGGTTGCATCCTCCCGTTTCTGACTTGTATGATAACGGTGAAAATGACAATGACGGCGGAATTGAAACCATGCTAGCTGTTGTTCAATCATAGAGACCACAATGCCATCTCTTCCCGGACGCATCACTTCCTGCATTGGCGTCACAGCAGCATGGTGAGCGGGATCGAAGAACATACACATATATATATTGTTATCGTAGTTGAGGTGAGATTCGCACTTGGGGACCGACTTGCCAATTCCCGACTTGATTATGGCCTCATTGATATTTCAAGAATATGGTTGGTGGCCACGAGCCACAATATCTTGCTGAAGATACGAAGTATAGGGCGTTTGCAATACAGGGCTCTGCCGCAGAGGAGCATTGTACGTGAGGCTGCGCCTCTGATTCCTTCGGAATCACGCTCAATTCAGGTTGTAGTGTGTGGTAAACTCTTCGAAGATTGTTAGGCAATGGTGCATTCGGAGAACAACATCCTTGTAAGTCTTGGATAGAGAGAACGAAAACCATGTTTTCTTGAGACACACTCGGTCGCCCAGCTCAAGCCCTCTAGCTTTGCACCTTTTTCTCATGTCTCCTTTTCGGCCCGTAATCCGCATTCTTGCGGTTTCCTTGGCTATAATCGCCTCTTGTCGGATTTCGATATTAGCAAGGTCGCCTGCGACAATCATATCAGGAATCCATTCCTCAGTTCCTTGATGGTCAGCTTCTTCGAAAGCACGGATATGATTTGCATTTGCCGACTTCGATGAAGTTGTCGCGCTCTTTAGCCAGGTCTCTAACATTCCGATAAGCGTATGTCCCTTCCTAAAGAGTCACTAGGACAACTTTGTATTTCGCGGGCTCAATCCTAGGCCACCGTATATGCTTTTCAAGTCGACCGCCCAAAGCATTCGAGGCTATATGTGTCGTGCATGTCTAGTGAGAGGATTTTTCTTCTCAACTGGTATGGATATCCGAACATGTATGCCATTCGTGCGGTAGATTGGCTCTACCACTTCTTATATACCTTGGGATCTGTCCGAGAACTGACGGGGCCAGTTCTGCCATGGTCAGTAGCTGGTGTCAGATTTCTTCGCCTCCTTGGGAACGGTATATTTGGGGCGCCGGTTGCCCTTTGACGAGGAGGTCTTGCCGGTTTGGTCCTGAAACCCTTTTCGCTTTTTTGGCGGCATTGTCTAGTGTATTTTTCGTGAGCAGGGAAGTTAGTGGTCTAATGGTAGAGATTAGAATACTTACTGCTGATGGGGTGGCGGGTTTGAAGTAGTTCGCGAAGGGCGGAGATGGGTGAGGTCGTTGGTCAACCCGGGGAGTTGTTGGGTGTATGACACAAAGCGGCGTGCTGGAAGTTCCACCCTGGTTGGTATGGATTCCTGATATTTCTCGTCATGTCCCGCCCTCAAATCCTTGGCCATGTTTAGCTGAACCAAGACTCGCCGCACCACTGGTAGTGATGAGAATTGCTCCTTCGTTTTCTCAATGTGTGCCTTCTCGACTCTCTTGAGTACCATAACTGCGTCTTTCGTAAGAAGACAATGTTGATCCTGAGGCCAGTCAACGTCCGCCGGGGAACTTTCCCAATCGAAGATGAGAGAAACTGTAAGAGTCGACGGGGCGTTGTCTTCGTCGGAACAACGATAGACCGCACTTTGATCAATCTCCAAAATCCGAAGTTTGTCGAAGCCGCGAAGAGATGATAGAAGCCATCTTCTGTGAGGTGGTCAAACCTGCGGCGTGGGTGTGTACCTAACGGGGGACAGGAAGATCTCGGCTGAATAGGTTCCGAAGGTAAATGCTCTGGCCTTTGAAGGAGCTAAAATCCCATATATATACGGCACAATGTACCAGCACAGAGCCATAAATGAGGATGGTATGGAGCCCCATGGAGGAACCTATTGGAGAGCGTGACGGCTTCGATCTGCTTCGTGAAGTACAGCTCCTAGATCCACAACCACAGCAACTAGTCTCGTTAGCGGGCTATCAACAGAAAAATTTGACTCTGGAAAACTCATGAGTTCAATATTGATCCTGTTTCGGCGCCGACCCGCGGCGGTTCCACGAATTGAAGCGGCTTCTCGTCGTCGATCTAAGTCGGAGCCGAAGCAGCGCTACAGATCGCCGCAATTCGGAGAAGGTCCCGCGATAGCTGGAGCAGCTCAAAGCTCGGCAGAAAGGCCCAGAGAACTATACAGATCACCGTGCAGATCTTGCCTTTCGATTCCGTCAAGTATGTCTGGTACTTGACCAGGTCTTACTGCAGAAAACTTGGACTATATAACCGAACTCTCCAGTTATGGCTGTAAGGACGGCCATGTCTCCAAAGGAAAACCCTGGCTTTCTTCTTCTCACAAAACAGGGCCTGCGAGCGTTCTGAGCTTCGCCCGTCCAGGATTTCAAGCCTCGAATATATAGCATATCAGCAGATGGAGTCCACTTGGGCGAAGGAAATACCTCGTATCGCCCGAGTAACTCACTCAGGCGAGCAACTTGCCGAGGCTGTATCGGGGAGTGCTGTCAGCTCGCAAGAAAAGACCGCCCTGTCTTTTTCAATTATGCAGAAAAGCTTCAGAGCCATTTTGGTGTCGTTGAAGTTTCTTTTCTCTGGCGAATCGAACGGGAACATGTGCGCTGCTTCGGGGTCTCGCATCCTAGTACAGACGGCGGAGACGGGGAAGATGGAATGTGGCTGAGGTCGTATTTATAGCTGTCTCACTGGCCGGTCTTGGCGAAGCTGCCTAGACTCGTGTCAGGAGGTATGCCTTAGTAGTTCTCAATCCTCCACAGCGATCGCCAGCATTTATAAAATAAAACTTCTCCAAATGCCGAGGCCACACTCGATCTCTGTAGGCCCAGCGCTGTGACTTTCCGAGCCAGCGGCCGGAATGGCTATGGAAGCCGCCACATTCCCGCCGCCCTTGTGGTCGAAGATTTGTAGAGCACCTCACTTGTTCGGAATGGTGGCCCATGCTTTCGTAGGTCTCGTCCCAGGATGGCAACTGGGAAGCTCGTTAGTCCCTTGACGGTCTGGGGGAACTTGAATCAGTGCCCAGTCCAGGCGCTGGTTCTTTTGTGATCGGCATATCGAGCCGGGACAAGGATGGGGTCTCAACCCGTTGAGATGTGCAGGAGGGAAGAGCCGACCATCTTGGCTTTCGTTAGGCCGACCTGGCTCGCTCTGCGGATCCGATTGAGCCATCTATGGTCTGTTTGGTAAAGCCACGTGCATATGGCCGTTCAACAATAATACATTCTCGAAATAGAGCATCCATTGCTTGCGCCCGAACCTGTCCGCTACTTTAAAATACTGTTGGCTTATCTGCCAGATATGGGAGAGCAGAACGAGGGGATAAATGTTATTACCAGCAGCCAAATGCTGCCCTATGATCGGTCGGGTTGATTGTCTGGGCTCCGTCCCGATCCACGGACCTCTGGCCGATTTCGCCGAGACAGCCCCAAACCCCGACAAGCGTCAGTTTGGGACTCGGCTCATTAGGCCTTGTGGTGCTCCGCAGTTTCTTTCTGGAAACCCGCCCCAACCGGTGGAACTTCGATTAAATCGACATGTGTGTCTTCCGACGTCCATACCAGCAGGCTGAAGACTCGCCAGCAAACAGTTCATCCAAGCTTACCCTTTATATAGAGAACAAAAAGGCGTATACCCTCAAAGTTCCTAGGACATGACAGACCAAGGGCCACCCAGACGAGTGGGTTCTTAGTCGCCACCGCCTCAGACACGCCGAACATGAAGTTCAGGGCCGCCGTCTATATCGGCTCGTACGGCGTTCGCGTGTTCGAGGATCGCTGCATTGACGGCCCTCGGAGACATCGCGTTTCGCGGACTCTGAGGGCTAAAAATGCCAACGTTGCACGCACCGAACGACATGAGCGTAGGGTCAGCCGTCACGAATCTGTTCCAAAAAGCAGATCGTCGTCGAAGCTCGACGGGAACGCAGTCTATAAGAAAGCGCCGTGGCTTCGCGCGTGGGATCGAATGGACGGAACGAAGGCACCGCTTGACGTTACCGTCAATATTGCCTATCTATGGGAGTAGTACCACGGAAACATATCCGCTAGTGGCGGGTAGAGTAAGAAATCTCGCCAGCATTCGCAGAGTGCCTCTCATCGGCTACCGTTTGGGATTGGGCTTTGGGTTTCAGCACACAGAAACTTCTCTCGCCGTCCGTGTTTGGTACTAGGTTTTATTCCGAGGGTGTTTTATTCGATGATGACCGCGAGATGATTCGGCGAAGGACACAGATCCAGCCCAGCTCATTCTCCCCGCCGGATTCGATTCTCTCATCCCATCCTGCAGCCACGGTGGCCCATGACCAAGGCTTGTCTATAAAGAATTTGAGGCCTTTATCCTGGCCAGAACACGATCGGCGTTGGAGTAGATAGTGGGTACTTCCCCTCGCCTTAAGATGCTGTCGTTTAGGTTCCTCTGACGGCCTCTAAGGATACTAGACAGCCGCGCATCGGCCGCGGCGCTTTCGGCGGGTGTCCAGCCCACGGCGCTAAGTCCCTTCCCTCCTCCCGGATTGACGGCGACCATGAGATGAAATATGTTGGGCTCGTCCATAATCGACAGAGGACTGTCAGAGATCAGGGATGCTGCATAGTTAAGCGTCCGCAAGGGTTTATAGTGATCGACCAGGTTAAGGGAATTTTGCGAAAGATGTCGTCTGGCTGAGATACCTTTAAAGGCATTAGAAAAGCAAAAATTAATTAATAATGTATTTTCCAAGTGAGAACGGACTAAGGCCTATACCTCCTCTCCAGCCACCGGTTGATCTCGGCGACCCTGGGCAGTGCGCTCAGGCTCGTCTTGGCGCCATAGGCGAAATCCTCGACGTCGCTGTATATGATTTCCGTGGCCGCGTCGAACAGCCCGCGAGCGATGCACAATTGCTGGTTGAGGGTGAAACATGGTCAGCCGGTCAGCTTGGCATGCTCGAGCATGGAGACATTGGCGTCCTTACGGACTTACGGCCAGACTATTCGAGCCTTTCCTTACGAGTTCCCGGGATGGGATGGCCATCGCAAATCGCAGAGACCAGAGCACGAAGCACAGAGCAGGTGTATTGCTTTGGCCGATCTCGTTCGTATCGGCCACTGCTATATACGCGATACCATTTATGCCCCGATCCTTGGCTAGAATGCCTGGCCCGACACGTTAGTAGATGCCAACATACCAAGAAGCGAGAGATTAGACTTACCTTGCAGGATCGCAGGACTCTACTCGTTCGCCTCACAACACCGCGGGCACTGGAGGGGATGGATCCGTTCCGTCGTCGCCACGAGAGAAGTGCTTTCATCTCCCAGTGGCAAGAGGTCGCATATCGCGCAAAAGTAAGTTTGCGTGCTCTACATCTATCCACGTCCGGTTCACACGGAGTTCAAAATTTGGATTAGCCACCGAACAGAGCATATATATCAACAGGGGAAAGAAGTTGGTCTCACCAGGTATTTTAAATCATGAGAGAACGACCCAAACCCCTTCGTTCTCATCAGGGCCGCCCGAAGTTTAAACAGGTCGCTTTCTAATACCACGGGTTGTCCTGCCTCAGGTCGCCCGCGTAATAGCAGTATACATGCTCCTCACCCAGCTTGAGGTGCCAATCTCCAGCCTCTTAAGGGCGAGTAAAACCGCTCGCTGGACGGCCGGAAGAATTTTCCCTCGTGGAGCTTCTTCCGCGCAAGGACTATCGCGTATATATCGATGGGCTTTGGTCTTGTATAGTATATAAGAAACCAAGAGGCCATGGTCACCTTGCGTTGGCATCTCGGCAGTCTTGCAAGTCAGTATGGAGTGCATTCCGACCCCTCGAATCCTACTGCTTTCCCCATCCTTCAACATGAATCGAAGGACACTCATCGCTATAGGCTTTTCATCTTCGCGCTTAGGCAGCACCTCATCTGCCGCCTCCTCCGAACAGGAGACCCAAGGCCCCACCAGAAGGCGAGCCTGTATTGTCATGTCTTTCGCCGGCTCCCCGGCCTGACTGGCGAAGGCAATATCTGTTCAGGCAGCTCGAGGAAATTAAAGGCGAATCCCCACGCAGGGCCGGTTATTCGGGGTTGCAGATGCGAAAAACTGAACCCCGCTATTTGCTGGGTAACCGATCTTTTGGCCCGGCTGGCATTACCGTTATATGGATCTAGACGATAAAGTGTTTCATGATCTGGATTTGGGAGCAGGTTCGTAGGAGATACCACGTACAATACGCGTGGCACCCAGGGACAGACGTCTGCGGTAAAAGGCGAGCGGCTGGACAGCAGTTGGGGGTGTAGGACCCGACCGATATCGTCGCTAGGGGAAGGAGGCGCACCAGCTGGGAAGGCAAACGACAAGGCGAGAACCAAGGCAGTAGCATCTTAAAATGTCGGCTCGGGAACGTGCGGCGGCTGAATCCAGCTGCTCGTCTTCGCCCCATGATACGAGCCAGATATCGCGGGCGATGGTAGCCGGGCAGTAGGATTCGTTGAGCTCTCGGCGGTCATGCAGAAGATCCCAATCTATACGGCCTCCAGGTTGAGTCTGCAGTTCTTATTCCTTGCAGAAGCTGACAACGAAAGGCAGTTGAGCGAGATACACTATCCAGATTCGAGATATAACACGACGATTTATATAGAACCCGAATCTGCGGTTGGAAGATCTGAAGGAAACGAAGGTCTGGTGGTGGAGAGTTCACATGACAGAGTAGGTGAATCAACGAGGAGGAATTCGCTCCACTAGAGAGTTGATCCTAGGGCATAGGATATCGGTGATCACTTACCTCGGGCTCGTCGGTTCGGGACATGTAGGAATCCATTTCATCTCCCCATTCGCTACTATTGATCGTAGCATCACGCCGTCCCATGGTATTATTTGTTGAGTTTCTGTCGGAGTAAAATATTCTAAACGTCAACAAATGCCAAAAAAATTCACCCCTTCGGTATAGACCTGCGCGATTTGCACATTCTCGTATAAGGCGTCCTCTGTGCACTTTTCACATGGCAGGGACGGAGGCGCTTGCTATGCCGGTTGGATTCGGTGGAACGAGTTGAGCCTGACACTTTGGCGCGCGTGCTGTGTAAATTACAGCAGCTGTCTGGCCAGGAGATCAGCGAGGGATAAACCTTTAAATATATGGAAGAGAGGCCCCCCGCCCTTCAAAGTGGCCAAAGGAGATTGCCTGAGTCTGGAATGGGACTCTCAGAATCGTGCTCCGGCAGTTGCCTTATTTTCTCTAAAGGGGACTGGCTGGGTAAAGAATTTGAGAAGAAGGGCTTTAATGACCTCGGCTTCGTTTGGAATCGGTTTCTTTGGTAGGAGAGGCTCTAACCGGCGCTTTCTTGGCTTTGGGAAAGGGGACTAAAGTAGAGCTTGTGTCGGAGGATTGTTCGACCTCGCGACGCAAAATGTAGACACTGATACAGGGCGAAGTTGGGCAAGAAAAGTGGGAACGAGATTGTAACCTTTCCAGGCCGCCGCAAGCGATACCCACCACATGTACACCAGGGATTAATCATGGTGGCATGAATATCGACGACGTCGTAGGTTTCCGATAGCTTCTGTCGAAGGTATATAGCATAATCTTCACCAGATCAAGACGGCGCCATTCTCACTAGCCAAGTCGTACCTTTATCTTCTGCATGACGATCAAGCAGAATTGATCTTTTGGACAATCTCTTCGTTTGACATCGAAAAAACGTCCACGATGTGATTTTTCGCGTATACGAGGGCCTCGGGATGGGCCAAAGAGGCAACCGCCTGCTTGAAGTAGAAGCTGAGCCGTGAAGAATATATGTCTCGATGTAATAGCGGAGAAGTAGGAATGGAACGACGGCACGTACTTTGTCAGTTATGGAGGAGAGATGTGCCTACTGTATCTGGTGAAAACAGACCAGAGTCCATCGCTACCATCGAATCGGCCATGTAACTATTGGGGAGTTGGCAACGAAGCCCCGGAAGCAATGGTGGTCGAATGATAGCATCACGCCAGGGTTCCATGAGCCGGGATATGGTGGAACTCTTCCGCCTGGGGAGAGGTGATTCTTTTGTAGACGAAGGTCGTCCAGGATTGGAAGATGAAACGCAGAGGGAGCAGGTAAAGAAGAAAGAAAGAAAGCAAAAGAAGAGAAAGACCAAGGTCAAAGCGAATTCAGACCTTGGCCGTTCTCAACCCCGGCTTACTGCACTCGCTCAGAGAATTAAATCGCCAAGTACCACCCAGCTCGATTCAGAAAAGCCCAGAAAGACAGGAGATGCCTTTCAGAGCGGAACAGCCAATTTCACCACCGAAATCCTCGGGGTTGGCATCGGAATGCACGGCGTTAGTGAGTTCCGGCGCTGCGACCTTGACATTCCGAGGTGTTATAGAATTTCAGGCGCCCTGTGGTGTTGAAGATGCCATGTGTGAATCCAACAACGCGAGTGCCGCTTGAGCGTATGTTGCGATGTTGATCTTCGAGAGTCCGGCTCCGTCAAATGGAGTTATCGTCTTCCCGGCGCCAGGATTTGTAACCGGCCTGAAGTCTCCCCTGGGACCCAAGGCCAACCGCGGCCGATGCCACGAGCTAACCACATTTTCCGCCCGAGATCCTCGATGATAATAGTATAGTACACGGGGGGACCGGAGACCCTGGGAAAACTAGGGTGCCACCTGACAACCTCAGAGGAGTCTTCAGGATCCTTCTTCGCTGGATTAAATATTATGTGAATCGGATGACGCGCGTGGAGAAGCCAACGTAGAAGAAGGCGTGAACCTTCGCGTAGCGGCTTTGAATAAGCGGAGGCTGCGACCCATCAAAAAGGAGATGAGGGTTGTTCGAGTTCTCGAAGACGCGCTTCATCATACTGATAATGGTGGGGAGGGGCATGTCCCCATGTTGGGCTTCGATGTCACGACCATTATGGTGCAGCCCAAATTGTCACGGTCCGACGGGGGTCGTCGTATACATTCCAGAGGCCCACGATTTCGCCTTCATGACCGAGGCCTGAAACCGACGACACTCCATCTTTCGCCGAGTACCTGTGAGGTGGCTGCGGGGCTGGAAGGGGAAACGGACACGAGGGAGCCGACAGAGTAATTGCTAACCTTATATCTCCTCTCCAGCAACTTCACATGGCACCTGGTCGTCCTGGTTTCGTATCCCGGGCGCCGCGAGACCACAAACAGCAGATTATCTTGGCTGCGTGCTTGAAGCGCCGCAGCTGACTTTGGCGGCTTTTGGTCGTGAAAGTTGAGATGAGGGTCTAAGCAGCTTTTGCGTGTCTTGAGCAGGCTAGGTAGTGGTGGGTTTGGCTACGCTGAAGACCGTGTCGTGCAGCAGTCTTCTGGGATATGTTCCATTGGTCTGCATAGGCGACGGACAGCAGCTCGACCACGCCGTCGCTCATACACGTTCTCGCGGTGTCTTTCCTGCAGGAAGGACCACAAGATTGACCATAGCATCGAGTCTGAGACCTCTATAATTCGGCTCTGCAGGGACTGGTGCGGCTTGCTCAGGGACTCTTCCCACGCGAGCAACAGCATTATCAGCCGTGATGGCCGAACTACCCCAATGTCGGTGTTGGACCAATGGATGAACAGAATACTCCCCGTTGCAAAGTGTAATACCTTTATATATCTCCCCGAGTGTCGTGTGCCACGCTCCGTTCGCCATCCAGCAGAAGACAACGAGCTGCTCACGACAAACGCAACAAGCGGGGTCCTTCCTCTAAGGATAAGGGCTATTCTCTCCCCAAAGTCGTGTTCCTGGGATGCTCATATAAGAACTCACCCAATACCAGAACTCCAATGGGAATTCAGTCTTATATAGCAAGACGGGCCGGCTGGGGCGACAGCCTCGGGGATAGACGGTATTGCCTAACATTCATCGAGGCTACGAAAACCCACGCCTGCCAGGGCCCGGTTCTCGTGCGTTAATGCTGCTTTGAGCAATTCTAACCAAGGATGGCAGGAGGGACGGAGGCCAACGGCACTGCACCATGCACTCGCGTCCCTCCTCACCAACGCGTGAGGATTTGGGTGCAGAATCTTCAAGAGATGGCGACCGATGTGGAGTGACGCGCGGGGCAGACAATCCGCGCAACGCAGACGTCACTAGAAACCGAAACCCCCACGAGGAAATACTCCGATTGCCTTGAGCTATACGGTGAGACATTCTTCCTGGAGCTGTTTAGTGTTGACCAAAAAGAGCTAGAGGACATGAGCAGACCATGCTCGGAGACGGTGGCCGGAAAGTCGTGAGGCTTGCCCTGAGATCGGTCGTCATCCGGTTGAGCTTGACTCCTTATCCGAACTTGAAATATGGATAGGAACCGTGGGATCGGCAGCAGAGAGACCACAACGAATGATCCTCCTTTGTTACGCAATCCATTCTGCTACTGAGCCACGAATTCTTTAAAAGAAGTCGGGGACCGGGGAGGGGACTTATGGCGCGGGAAGAGCAGGAGGAGGGAGCTTCTTTGAGAGAGGTTGCTTGGTATAGTTTAGATGAGAACACAAGTTCGAATGGATCGGGAATATAGGACTGGTGAGGGGAGCGAAATATACGGTTCAGCGTGAGAACTAGGTGGCCAGTTTCTTTCTGGTCGACGGCAGGAGGGGGCAGCCCAGTAGTTGCCATGCTAAAGAGAGCAAACGCAACGATGTTTGGTCCGCAATAACATCCAGGTCATATTTCTCGAACCGGTGATCTCGACGAAAATGATCGATCCGCCAGCGCCTCATGAAGGCAGTGAAACGGTGACGGAGCTAAGAAAAACAGGCACTAGTGGTTTAGTGGTAAAATTGGTCGTTGCCATCGCTCTTTGACGCAGGTTTCGACTAGCCCCCGGTTCGATTCCGGGCTAGTGCAGGCATTCCTTTTTTGTCTCCTGTGTGTGTTCTTTTTCCACTATTCCCCCCCACGCGTTGTGGTGGTTATAAAGCTTCTCTCGAGAATACAGGGGCGCAGAGAGGAGGGAACCAAGACAATCTATCGGGCACACGCATGGCCTCGGCGCATGAGGGGCACACCCTGATCCTATCGCCCATCTCCACCCCCGCGAATTTTAGCCGACGACCCGGGAGGTATACGGGAGTTCTCGTTGTGCGCCTCTTGGACAGCATCTACAGCTTCCCTGCGCGTGAATGCGCAAAAATTCCACACTCTAGTTAGTGCTTTTGCTCCGCGTACCGTCTAAGCAATGTCGGGTCTTACCGCCGGGAGAACTCGTCCATCTGGACGCAGCGTAGACGTGGACGCCTCGGGGCTCTGGGATGGATATGGCCATGACGGGAGAGCTGGTAGATGCACCGGTGGACTCTTTCCGACTGGTAATGGCGGCAAGTTTACATCGAGTCCTCGCACGGCAGGTTGCCAGCTTGAGCCGTCCAGGTCGGCCACCCCAGGGCATTCACATCTCAACTCAATGTCAGGAGGCCGTGGCACAAGGCCAACATAACACCTTGAAGCGAAAGAAAAGAGTTGCGCCCTGATGCATTGTGTCCAGGCGGGCTGTTCCCATTTGGGCGCGAAGAGAACATCCGAGAGTACAATGCACCCGCTAGCTATCTGACTCGAAGCCGGGTCCAAAAGACCCCAATCCGGAGTGCGTCAGGTGTAAGAGTTACTCCGAGCGCGGGTTGCATGTCTCCCGGTCCGTGGCTTCCATAGCTATCATTCGTGCTGTTCAACCATCTAGGATACTCCGTTAGTTATCACGAGTTTTGCGAATGTTATAACAATTTCCTCACCTGGGACTTGATGACAATGATGGCTGTTTGTCTGGCAGTGATGTTTCGGAAAGCGGCCCAGGAAATAGAAAGTCTCTCGGTGTAGAAAGTCGAGAAACCTGGACTCCCTGTAGAGTCCTCTTGTACTGCGACCTGGGCTTCCTCCACGGCAGACAAAACAATGATAAGCGAGCCAGGAGTGGGAATTTTTTTATTGGGAAAAAGAGAAAAATGGAACCTAGAAAGACCCAGAGTCTCGGGACCAGAGGCAATAGATGAAACCGTAGACGCTGGCGCAGAACAGGAGAGCCTGCGTATAGATACTGCCGCAAATGCCACAGCGCGCACTCTATGACAAAGTCAGTAGGGAAGCCATTGTAAGGGAAAAGGTAATTCGAACCAGATGCCCTGCGGTGAACATGACCGAATCAATATAATCGACTAGTGCCGGTGCCAGCAAGGGAGTGCAACGCTTCCTCGTGTGTGGGTAGTTTATCGAGGGCACTTACGGCGTGGTAAGCTTTCCATCCGCTTGACAGGGGCACGGAGAGGGCCGGAAGCCCCCGGAATCCGGAACTGCGTTCCAGGAAAAAGCGATGCGTGGAAGCTGTGCAACTGAGGCAAGCTGTTTCACCAAGCCCAGAGATCAACCAGCGGAGGGAACAAAGTGACCTCTGGTAATGGGTATATAGCTGCGCCTCTACGTCGGCACGAAGAGCGGGTAATCAGCATCTATAAAACGTTAGCAGAAGCACGCCAGGAGGCGGGAGACACATACCTCGGATGTGCATACTGTTGAGTTTCCAAGGAAGCTTCATCGCCGTACGGCAGAAACGGGCGGTTTATATACCAGCAAGAGGTTTTCTGCTACTCCTCCTCCAGCAACAGTACGGTGTTCCTCGTCGAACACGTCCACACCACGGCCCGAATCCTCCCTGGCCTCGACATTCGTAGGCTGGGCATTCCGGCTGGGAACCAAGTACCTGCACTCATTGTCCTCTATACGACCGCAGTCTTGGAGTTCGCCTTCCGACATTGGCGGGACGGTACGCGAGTAATAGGCCATCTTGAAAAGCATCAAAAGAAATTATCCTGCGCCAAATCGATCGTAGCTGAGTTGAGACGACGAGCGCGCTCGTCGCACCCAATCGGGTTCCAGCGATAGTAAAAAGCCGCTATCAGCTCCCTTGTGCTTTTCCATCGGCTCTAGAGGAGCCGTTCCATGAGGAGACCATAGGGTACCTGGAGTATGAAGAAAAGTGGGGAGAGTTCTTGATGGGAAAGCCCTGGAGATGGGACGAGGTCTGAAGAGAGATCCCGAATATCCCCTTCTTCTAGAAACAATGTGTTGGTCGGGTTTGGGTGTGAAGGAGGGAGGGTTTGGATCTGGGATCTGAGGGAGGGAGACGTTCTTTATATAGACGGCCGGATGGGCTGGCTGATCTCGCGGCTCAGTACTAATGAATCAGGAAGCCAAATCAGATGTGATTTGCCTGGGAATACTATCAAGTTTGCTGGGAAGTCTCCAACAAGAAATGGTTTGCCTCCTTCCAGATTGAACTAGCCGGAATGCCATGTGCTGAGTTGGATAGATCTGCCTTCCCCCGGAACTCACCATGTTGGGTAGGCATGCGTCGCCTCGTCCAAGACCTTTTGATGTTCTCATATTACACGAGAGAGAGAGAGAAAGGGTCCTACTTCCCTGAGCAAAGCCCCCTTTTTCGCCCAAGGGAAAGAGGGCCGGAGACAGTGTTCGTGGCTACCTCATCAAGTTTCTCTTCCGGGCATGTGGTGGACTTCTATTGTATTCCTCAAATGGCTTTGCCTTCTGTGGTGTGAGCTCTTTGGCAAGTAGCTTCCTTAATGAGCGGGCCGGGGAGACTTGCGTCGCCCTTCCTCTGCGTTGGAGTCATCGCCTGCCTCTCCGCCGTGGCGGTCTTTCTCTCGTCTTCGCGACATTTCGAGAACGTCTTTGGACTCATCAGTGGCCCTCGGTGGTCCTGTCATATCGCTGAACTGGGGCATCGTTTGTCGGTAGAAGTCGGAGAAACCGTTTGAGGTTCTCGAACAGTCGTCTTGACCCTTCCATTGCCAGTTGATGATGGCCTCTATCTTTGCCGGGCCTGACTATCTTCCCCAATCCATGAAACCACAGAGGTGCACTCTCAGTTCTCCTCATGCCTTCTCGCTTGGGGCGGTTCATATCCTCCATGTCAGATGCAGGAGGGCAAGGTCACAGCCTCCCTGAACGGCACCTCTCCTTCTTGAAGGTGCAGGGGATACATCTCGTACACAAAGTGGGTTTAATTAAGCTCCACGGGGGACAGGAAAAGAAGAGGGCTAAAAAGAGAAGTGAAAGCTGAATGAAACGAAATAAACGCTCTAGACGCCTAACAATGAATTAAAACACAAGATGTAACTCCAATCTCAGATCTTGCTTTTTGTACCTTTGTATATATATCTCCAGTGCCCCCAAGAGCGCCAGTCGCAATTTATAAGTGCCCATGTTATCCATGCTCTATGCCAGTGCCCAGCCACTCACTCACACACTTCTTAAACCTTCGTCTCGCCAACAACGGCCTCATTCTTCCTCGCATCAGCCGTCTCCCCAACATGATGAAACCTCGCCTCAAAGGTAGCCAAAGGCTTCTTCTTAATCGCCTCCCTCAACCTCTCCTCGCTCCTCAACTTCCAGCTCTTATAAGGCGCCGAGCTAACCGGGAACAACACGCGATTCTTCCCGCTCTCGACGTGCTCCATGAGGTTGTCGAGCTCGAGGGCCTGCGCCGCAATGACGTCCAGCTCGGTGGCGATCTGGTCGCAGAACAGCTCGAGCGGCAAGTCGTTGACGTCCTGGCCGAAGGGGTTCTCGATCTCGCGGCCGATGAAGAGGATGCCGAGAATAATGTAGGAGGCAGCGATGGTGGCGGGGATGGTGACCCACTTGAGGACGGGGTAGAGCTGGAAGGGGAGGAGCATCACGTAGACCCAGGTGATTTGGGAGATGGCGATGGTGTAGGCGATGGGGAGGGGGGTGTTAAGGACGCGTTCGGTGCCGGTGAGGACGTCGTTGAGGGCGAGGAGATTGTTGTCTAGTCAGGAGCGTTAGTGGATTCCTCTTCCCCGTTCTTCTGCATCCTCTTTTTTCTTTCTTTTTTTTTTTTTTTCTCCCTTGCCCCCTGCTTTCCTTTCTGTTTTTTCGGATTTGTTTGCCAAACAAGGGTTTTCATTCTGTAGTCAGAAATTGGACTTACAAGCAAGAGTCTGCTGCATCGGAACAGGCAGTTTGCCCTCGGCAATAAACTTATCGATAACTCGACCAATATAGTTGAGAATCTCGAGAGGAAGATTACCCAGGGGAAGATCGGCCTTCTTGAGCATCTTGCGGGGATTGCTCGCTGCGAACGAAATGCCGAGGTACTCGCCAACCTCCTTGAACGCGTTCTTGCGCGGCAACTCAGCCTTAGACGGGTCCTTTTCGGTGGCGGTTCCGGAGAAGGTTTCGAGGTGGGCGACGAGGTGGGCGAGATCGTCGTAAGCGGTGTAGGGTTCGAATCGTAGCTTGTGCTTAAGGGAGATTGCAAAGGCGACGATGAGGTTGGTACAGGTCCTTGATTGCCATGTTAGGAAAAAAAAACCTATCGAGTTGCTGGGTGAAAAGTGAAGGGTAGCGGTTTGCTTGCTTACATGGCTTGGAGAAGATGCGCCTTCCTCTTCTCCGTATCCGGATCGTGCTCTTGAGCATGAACCCAGAAGATACGACCGAGATTTTGCGAGGCAAGGGTAAGCTGGGCCCAGTATCGGCGTCCCTCAGCGTACCGCTCGTATGCCGTGGAGCTTCGGAACGAGAGACCCATACCGACGACGAAACCGGTGATGGTAAGCAGGACGGAATTGATACCGACTGAGAGAGGCCCGGATGTTAGCAACTCGCAGCGGGCAATGCCATTTTGCGGAAGAGATGGGTGTGCTTACGATCCGCGGCAAACTTAGAAATGCAGGTAATGGTTGTAGCCCAAGCACCAATCCACAAAAGGGGGATAATCATCTTGGGCAAAATGCTGCCGTGCATTCGGAGGAAGAGGGGCCATTTCGAATGCTTCGAGATATCGCGAGGTCCAACCTTTCAGAGGTGTTAGTTTGTACACTCTCTTTGACAGCGATTTGTAGCATCGAAATTCGCCGAGGTATGGATATACTTACAAAGTAATCATCAATGTCGAGCGTGTTGGATCGCGAGAGGAAGGGATTCGGCGTCATCGGCATCGTAGGCGAAAGAATGTCTCCCTCGACCGCCTTGGCGTGTTCGGCGCTGTGCTTGGGTGTCACGTCGTCGAGCTTCAGAGTGGTGGGAGGCTTGGGCGCTGGGGTTGGCGCCTTGGGACCGCCACCGCCGCCCTGAGGCACGGTATGGCCAGCGTCTTCGCCCATTGTGAATGTACAAACAGAAACGGGGGCAGAGAGGGTGGTTTCAGGAGCTTTGGACAAGAGGAAACAAAATGTAAGGAGTTATATCGTCAAGGCTACTAAGTAGAGCACGTGTTGGAATGTTTGGAACCAGCCAGGTAAGCGAGGAGAAAGTAAGAGTTCGCGAGAGAAGCTGCGGGCCCGTTAAATTATTTTTGCTGAAGAGCAGGAGGAGACTACTTAGAGTGCTCGTCGAAGGAGTTGGGTCCCACAGAGGGAGTGACGTGGATCGTGAAGAGAGGGTTGGGTCGAGGTGTGGGGGAAGTTTGAAGAAAAAGACCCAAAGACGAGACGAAGAGGAAAACAAGCTTTCACGAACGAGCTGGGCACAGGAAAATCATATATTGGCATCTCAATGACAGGGCATAGTGGCCCCTTACCCGGCCCTTACCCGCCATCTGTTGCAAGTCGAGAGCCAGGGGGAGACAAAGGCTTGGGATGGAGTTGCAGCAGGAGTGGAATCCTTCAGAGACGAGTCGCAGTCGTGGAGTAGCCCACAGCACTCGGTACACGACACTACACATGGTGTACCGGGACGGGATGATCACAACCTCCGGGGTACTCGTGCGTTTCCTCCCTCAAGCCTATTATTAGCCGCCCTAGTATACGGGGGCTGAGGCCAGGACAGGTTGGATGTGTACATTTCATCAGCGACAAGAAACAAAGGAAACAGAGTGGTACTGGTAAGAATGGAAGTCTCCCGCATGTACCACGAATTGCCTGCACTGATGGATGTGGAGGTTTCCCCTTTCGTCCTTTGTCCCCGAATTGACTTTTCTCGTGGCAGCTTACCCTGGTTCATTGACAAAAGGAGGTAGATCGAGTTACGAGGACCTTGCCCCTTGTCCCTTGCCCGGCCATCAGTAACACTTCGTGCCTCTGGTGGCGCGACACTTTCGTCAAAGGAGTCTATAAGCAATAACTAGTTGTGAGGCTCTGGCTCCTCATGATCCTGCAACCCAAAAGGGGAAGGGATGGGGAGAGAGGTTCTGCAGACTCAGAAAACAAAAAAAAAAAAAAAAAAAAAAAAAAAAAAAGAAAGAAAAACACCGGCGGCAAATAGGGCTGCCACAAGCGGGTCACTTTGCAAGGGTCCTGTTCCCGTCAGGACACATGGATTCGTCAACGGGAAATGCAAGGGGGTTCATAAATGGTGGGTCTTGGGCGTTGTGAAGGTGGCTTAGACCAGACCAATGCGGCCCACGCTTCACGGTTGATCACGAACGAGATGTTGAAACAAGGGGGTAGTTGAAACAAATTTTCTTCCCGTTTTGTTCTCTCCCGGATTTGAGCGCCTGCATTGCTCACTCGCTCGCCAGGTCGTTCAACCGACGGCGGATAATAGCCCGGAGTGTTCTAGTGCAAAGGCTAGTTTAGGAGGGCGAAGAAAATAATACGAAGACAAGGGGGATTTGGGTATTAATGAACTGGCTAATTGGCTGTAACCCGGAGGCGAGGCCGGGTGGAGGGGCGGGAGTGGGAGATTTGCCGTTGTGAGATTGGATGGAGATCGAGAGCAATCTAAAGAGGAAGAAGTACGAAGTAATTCGCTGTGTATAATGTCAGGCTCTAAGTGTGCATTCTGCATTCCCAGAACTGGCTGGGCATTATTGAAGTTACCACTTGGTGTGATCCCCCATTCAGATGCTGGAGTTTGTGCGATTCAGAGCATCACAAACGACCATGCGAACCTGAGGACTTCTTCACGGTGCGATGCAAGTAAGGCCTGCTGCGCCTGCCAGTACTTGCAGAACGACAGAACACGCACTCCGTCGGCCAACCGGTCGCCTGAAATCTAGGCCCGCCTGGGTTGGTTGAAGATGTCCAGCCAGGCCGTTTAGGAGGCCAGAACATGCTAACAGTGAGGCGTGCATAATCTGACTTGTCAGGATGCCGACCTAATTCAGACAAATGCCTGGACGTAGTGTAGACACTCCTGGAGGATGCATTGCTAGAATTCCTCTCCGCATCTCACATCATATCATAAAGCAGTAAGAAATTAGCTGCTGTTCGCAATTGCATCGACCGTTGTGAGCAGCCCCATCCATCACTGGGAAGGCAGAGCGACCTCTTCGTATTGCGGCGCAGGATTCACCAATAGCGATCCGGACAAGGGATGCATATCAACGTGGAGCCACTCGATCAGTCCAATTCCGGGGGAAATGGGAATATGGGAATATTTGCTGACGCGAGACGCCTCCTCGAATGTGATGACAATCTCAACGGGCGGGGACATCAATGTCGGTTGTTGTGTACACTGGTCCTGTTCCGAGGCAGGCTCCTAGGCCCCTGCATTTTACCTTGCGTCCGTTCGAGGGAAGGAAATCGCAGTGGATAGACTACGAAGTAGGAGCAGGGAAGAAGGCAGAGAAGAGCTGATGATGCGATTTTCAAAATTCCTCATGACAAAAGCCAAAGCCCCAATTCCTCCTTCTTGTCTTCAATTGTCGTTCCATCCACCACGCTAATCGCATAAGCTTTTTTTTGGCATCTTCTTCAGACCAGAGCCAAGACGTGCTGGGCGCTGCCAACCGAACACGCGCTGGTTTGGGCCACTGCCGAAACCACCACCACGGCCCAGCCCGTGGCAAAGTAGATGGTTGGGACACGTTGGTATATGAAGTCACGGAGAAGTATGCATTCCCCTTATTGCGAAGATTGTAATAGTATTAATTTAAACAGCAATCTCGAGAAAATAATCCGAGAAAATCAAACATTAGTTCAAATCAGTGTAGGGTGTATTAGAAAAGTACGGCAACCTACAGCCTGCTCATCCGAGAGCATCGGCTCTTTAACCACCTTTCCTTTTATAAGTGGCAAAGTCAATTGACTGAATTGTTCAGTCAACTTGAAATTACCTTTTGGTCTACACAGCACAGGTGGTGGCACCTGCGGAGACCAAACGCGAAGGTAGATTAGTCAGCATTTGCCCTCATGCACGGCAAGGTTCCTTCCTTCCTTCCCCATCAACGTCGACTTCCGTCCATCTCATGTACGCCTGAACTTTGCAGCTCCTGAGTCCCCGTCGGGCCATGCGATGGGTAAGTGCTAACTGGCGCGTGAGTAGAATACGGTGGGGCGGGAGACGGCTGTGGTTGAAAATACGGAGCTTGAGCTGCCGAGTTTGCAAATGTCTTCTCGGGCCCAGCAGCGGCGGTGGCGGCGGCTACCGGCGCAGGGCCTGGGTGCCCCGAAGCTGCAAGTCGCTTACGACGCCTGAAATAGAGGAGAGCGGCAACGACGCAGAGTACCACTACAGCGGCAACAACGATTCCCACTATAGCCCCGGTGGAGAGACCTTTCTTAGATGACGATGAGGACCCCTTCCTCGACCTTGAGCTGGAGCCTGAAGAGGAGTCTTCCGACTCTTCCGCATCAGCGTCGGAATCTGCATCCTGCGTGGGACTACTGGTGCTGCTGCTGCTTCGTCTTGTAGAAGTAGCACCTGTAGTTGCTGTAAGGATTGGTTTCGCGTCAGTGATGGCTCAATATTATTCCCGAGTTCCAAATATTTTGAGCGGCGTCATGGAAATCTACGGATTGGAACAGCTTGAAAAGAAGCCAGTCAACTCACCCGAAGTGCCGGAACCATTCGTCCCGAACTGTTTCCCTGCCGGGAAGTCAACCGTCGCCGAGTAAACGTTCATCCGGCCCGCGCCGCCGCAGATTACGTCCTTCGCCCCCCAACAGGTCCTGGTGCATGCGTCGTCGGTGGCTGAATTCGCAAAGGGTTCTATGGAATTGCCGCAATAGCAGTGGTAGCCGTTCTCGACGCCGAACATGTTGCATTTCTGGAGGGAGCAAATGTTTCGGCACAGCTCGGGGGTCATTCCGTTGTCAAACCCGTAGGTCGAGGCGAGGATATGATTGCTTCCATCCTCCCAGCAGCCCAAGTGCGTGTAACTATCGATATCTTTGATCTCAGCCCGTTTTAGGAGTTGGAGTCTGCGTGGTTCTTCAAAGGTTGTCGTCGAAGCCTTGTCGGCAGCTTGGATCGGGCTTGGTGCGTCGGTAGGGAGCGAAACGGCAGGTTGGGCCCTTGCCACGAGATGAGCTGTTGATACTGACACATGGGCGAGAAGACAGACGAGCCCTCCCCAGAGTCTCGTTCGGTTACTTCGAGAGCAGTGCATTGTGGAAGTCAAGCCCCCGGCCTATTTAAGTCTGACAAGTAGATCTCTGTGGAGTGGACAGGTGGAAGACTAGATGGATGATGAGGAAAAGAGCAGAGACGGAGGAGTCCTCACGAGTTGGGCAAAGACCTTGACTTTCTATCTATTATCGCCTCTTCCCATCTGGCTTCTCCCGGATACCTGAGCCACATTGTAAGATGAAATCGTCTCTAGTTGTCTAAAGCCAGTACCGAATCGCTTGCTTTGATCAAGCTTGGCAATGTCATTGAGAGGATAATAGTGGCTGAAGCAGTTAAAGTTGCCATGCTGGGATCCTTTAGTGGCTCTCTCAAGCCAATCAAGGCTTGCAAGGATGAAGAAGCCATTCCGGGTAGATAGAAGCCCCTGTTTGAGGTAACATTGAAGTGCAGCCTCCGATTTTACCTGTGTATTGACCAGCAGCTAATTTTCAGCTCGGGCTCCGAGCCCAAATCGGTTGAAACTTGATGTGGGAAGACAACAGCAGGAGTCGCGGGAATATTCCGCTTTGGGAGGGGGACAGGATTCAGATATTCTATCAAGAGACGCAACATAAATCTCAGAAACAGAACCTTTTTTTTTTTTTTATTATTATTATTGTATCGAAGCAATACAGACAAGAGATTCATGCGTTCTCAAATATCAAGCTGTTAGCCGTGGGCCATGCCTACCTGCCACTAGCACATTGAAAACATGTCTCACCCTCTCGGGAAACCCAAAGGAAACCCACCAGGGTCTAGAATTTTCTGCAAACAACGCGATAAGAGTTAAAATGTGACCGTTAGAGTATGAAATCAGATGGCATGCTGTTGCTTAATCCATACACCATACTCGATAGTTTTGCCAGAAGTGCAGAATTCCGTCTCAAACTTTGACTCTCCGCCCAAAATGGCATGCAGAGCGGCAGCAAGATAAGGAGGGAAGCTCGTTATTTAGAGAATATCTACGAAGTACACTACCTGTGTATGTAGACCCCTGATTTCCACTTTTCCTATCAAGGTTTGTTAAGAAGTGCACGATCCCCCACTTATCCCCAGTAAGGACGTCTGGTTACCACCACCGAGGCATCGACCGGCGTTGGGGAGAACTAACATAACCTCTGGTTTGGCAGCAGAGTTGAGATTATTGGACCTAGACGGCCAGTACCGAGGTATTAACAGGAATAGTAGTCCGCGGCAGCGCGCTGGCTTTTCTAATCGCGCCGGGCGTTGTTCACGTCGTTATTGGTCAGGCTCTCTCTGAGTCCATTAAACTCCAGATCACGGAATTCTCGACAATAGAAAAATCTCCTATTTTCGAGATGTCCGGGCCATTGAGTTGATCATCGAATTTTCCCATCGCCATTCCCGTGAAATACCGAACCAGGGTTTCTATTGGACTCCAGAAACGTTTGATGGATGGCGACTAGCCTGCCAAACTCTACGCTAATAGCACAAGTCAGATCGCTCGGACATTGGTGCTGATGAAACGGTGCCTGAGCTTTGTCTTGGCATGATGGGGAAAGGCCACTCACCAGGCTTCCCTTCATCTTTCTCTCATCTCAATTGCGATCTAGGCTGGCCATGCTTTATTTCTTCCCCATCTGACAGCCGATGCAGCATCCCGACAAGTCATAACTAAGGTTATCTCAGTACCTCCCAGCACATTAGAACTCACCGTCACAACTGTCAGAGCATAGCCAAGCGATGGCCTGAGCGTTACGCTGTAACACCACCTTTTCTGATTCCAGCTCAGATTATCCCCGACCCCCCCGTTCTCACCGCCCTGTACGAAGTAGTACAACCTCAAACGCGTACGAAGTAGCATTCGACTCGACGGCGGCGTGTTCGGCCCTGTTCTTTTTTCGCCGACAAGATGAGTGGAGTACCCGGCCCGTCCACATCCACGATCCCGCAGTCCCTCCTCGGGCCGTGGAAGGACGCTCTCGAATCGCACGGCGCGAAACACCTCGGCGACTTTCCGAATTACCACGTCCGCGATCCCGAATGCCTCGTCACATCCGCCAACCCACGCTCCATCCGCGCCGGGTCCGGCCTGGGCATCTTCACCGACGCGCTCCTGCCGGCCATATCGACGGCGCGCCATGAGGTCATCCTCGTCACCTGCTTCTGGGCGGAGTCAGCGACTCTTGTTGCATTGAAACAGACCCTCGAGGCTTTGGCTGAGCAGAGGAGGATATCTCAAAGTTACCGGGATTCCCCGGACGGCGACGATAATGATAACGACCCTCTTCCCATTCTGAGGATACGGATATGCTTCTCGTCGCGTTCGCTCTTGCAGAAACTCTTCCATACGCCGAGTCGCAAGGGTCACACGTATCCTCCGCGGACGTGGCCTTCGCTGGGCTTACCGAGCGAAAAGATTCTCAGGGAGGCTGGCATCGAGATGACGGTGAAGAGCCTCTTCTTCTTGCCCTTTAGTGTCATGCACCCCAAGTTTCTCATCGTGGATAGATCGCGCGCGTTTATGCCGAGTTGCAATGTCAGTTGGGAGACATGGTTTGAGACATGCGTTGAGTTCGAGGGACCAGCAGTGTCTGCCTTGCTCGAATTTTACAATCACGTCTGGGAATATGGGAATGAGCAGGCTATTGTAGATGCCGCAAAGCGCCCACTATCGCCTTTCACTCTAGCCGCTGGCCGGCTCAACGGCGACCAGCTACAGCTTCCCAAAGCTCCGAGTAGTAGTCTACAGTTTCGCGGGAACCCATCCAGGACCCTCTTCCGCTTCCCCCCAAAGACGACTTATCCTACCATACTCCTCCCATCCTCACACCACATGAACCCTCGCTTTCGTCCTTTCCCCTTCCTAAAATACGCTCCGCCTCCGACAACTCCCCTCAACGCCGCGGTTCTCACCCTCTTCGACACAGCCCGCTCTCATATCGAGATTACAACCCCCAATCTTACCTGCGCCCCCGTCGTCTCCCACCTCCTCTCCGCTCTCTCCCGCGGCGTCGACGTCACCATCCGCACGAGCAAGAACATGATGCTCATCGAGCAGCTGCTCACCGCGGGAACCACGACCTCACTCTGCCTCAAATCCTTCATCAAACGGTACCGGAAGCTCCAGGCCGCCCATGCAGCCGCCACCGCCTCCGAAGCCGATCTTGAGGCCGGCGGCCACCCGCCCCCTCCCGGCGCATTGAAGATCTTTTACTACAGGCCCGATGCGGATGCTGTCGCAGCCCGCGACGAGAATGAGCCTGTTGTCTCGCATGTCAAGATGGTGCGCGTCGACGGCGAGTTTGTCGTGCTTGGCTCGGGGAACATGGATCGCGCAAGTTGGTACACGAGCCAAGAGTTGGGCATTCTCTTCTATGCTCCGGGTATGGACTCCAGCGTTTGGGACGAGCCGTTGAAGACACGGCTTGAGGTGGTCTTCCCGGTTGGCTGAGATACAGTATACTGAAGTATACACACTGTTATGGATCGGGATCATTCTGCCGTCCGCCTCTTTTCTTATGGGCAGTCGACGTTTCATCCCACGACATGACGGCCGCAGAAGTTCATTTCTCTTATTACCCCGCCCTTGGCCATACTCGCTGGATTATCCATATCCTCCCTCATTCTATTTGACTCCAAAATCGACGCCAATGACCCAAGAAACATCAGCCGAAACCTTCCAAGTTCTCGTCTTTAGCAAGACGGCAGACTACCGACACGAGTCGATCCCCGCCGGCCATGCCGCCTTTGCGCGCCTAGCAGCGCAGTCTAATGGCACCTTCTCCGTCGTCTCAACCGAGGACGCTGAAACCTATTTCACGCCCGACTCCCTCTCCCGCTTCGCCACCATCGTCTTTCTCCAAAACTCCGGCGATATCCTCACATCAACCCAGATGGATGCCTTGAAAGGATACATCGCGTATGGTGGGGGGTTCGTAGGCGTTCACTGCGCCTCAGCCGCCATGTATTCTGATCCGTGGTATGAGAAGCTTGTTGGTGCGTGGTTCGATTTTCATCCGGATCCGCAGAATGGACTGTTGAAGGTCGAGAATAGCGGCCATTATCTTGCTGCTCCATGGATCCCCGCATCCGGCGAGGATGGCAATGCGCTTCCTTGGTTCGATGAGTGGTATAATTACAAATCTAATCCGCTTGATCCTAAGGCTGCTTTTAATGCCGATTCGCCACCGCTTACAGTGTTATTGAGCGTGGATGATCAGTCGTATGAGGGGAGCACGATGGGTTCGGGACATCCCATTGCGTGGTGTAGGGAGTTGGGACCGGCGCGGACGTTTTATACTGCGATTGGGCATTTTGATGAGGCGTATGTGCAGGAGAGGTTTGTGGAGCAGTTGAGGAGAGCGGTTCTGTGGACTGCTAAGAGGGAGGGATAGGCTTCCTGAGGAATTGCTATTACAGACATAGCCATAATACTTGATACACTTAGATACTAAGATAATAATATGATAATATTCCGAATTAAAAAGGACTGGCGTAGAGACCTAGAATAAACAAGAAAAAGTGGTATCGACGAGATCATCAACAAAAAGCTCCAACCCCCTTCCCTTCTCCCCAGAAAACACAATCTAGATTCTTAGCTCTAGCATGCCGCCCCTCACATCATCATATTTTACCAAAACCACCCAGAGTTTCACAATATACATCCGCTTTCAGAGCACATCTCCCTCAAACAATCTTCTCAGTAGAAGCATGCGAAGTCGTGTTCCCACTAAGCGCATCCCCAGGATGCCTCCTAAGCTCAACATAATCATAAGCGAACTCTCCAAGCTGGCAGTCGTCGAGACCCAGCTCCTCCTCGTCGACCTTGACGCGGAGGGAAAGGCCGGGGACAAGGTTCATGAGGAAGAGGATGATGCAGGTGACGACGAAGGACCAGGCGAAACCGGCGGTGGTGCCGGCGAGTTGGTAGCCGAGCTGGATGAAGTGGCGGTTGATCCAGCCACCCTCGATGGGGTCGCTACCGTCGAGGTTGGCGATGTAGGGGCTGCTCATTTTGTTAGAGACTTTTGATTTCAGATATAAGAAATGAAGAGGGAGAGGGGAACTCACGCAGCAAAGATACCGGTTAGGAGGTTGCCGACGATACCGCCAATGCCATGGACGGCAAACACATCCAGCGCCTCATCAACCCCAATAAGGAACTTGAGCTTCGTAGCAAAGTTACAGAAGATACCACCGCAGAGCCCAATGACAAACGCACCCCAAGGCGTAACGAAACCAGCCGCAGGTGTAATAGCAACAAGCCCCGAAATAGCACCAGAGCAAAAACCAATGGTGCTCCACTTGCCCTCAAGTCTGAAATCAAGCAGCGTCCAAGCAATGCCGCCAATGCAAGCAGCAAGGTTGGTCACATAGCAAGCCATAACGGCGCGAATGTTCGACGCGAGCGCAGAACCGCCGTTGAAGCCGAACCAGCCAACCCACAGGAACACGGTGCCGAGGACGACGTGGGTGACGTTATGGGGGCGGTAAGGCAGGCCGCGGACTTTATCGTAGCCGTTGCGGCGGCCGAGCATGAGGGCGTAGGCGAGGGCGGCGACACCGGAGGAGATGTGCACTGGGGTTCCTCCGGCGAAGTCGAGGGAGCCGAGCTGGAAGAGCCAGCCGTTGCCATTCCAGGACCAGTAGGCGATGGGGTCGTAGACTACGGTGCCCCAGATGAAGATGAAGACCATGGCGGGGAGGACGCGGCCGCGGTCAGCGATGGCGCCCATGGCAAGGGCGGGACTGTTGAGAAAAATCATTAGCCAAATGTTTTGGTTCAATTGATACTTTTTCGGTGGCGTTTGAATGGTGAGGTTATTTGGGAAAAGGTTATACGCACGTAATGGAGGCGAACATGCCCTGGTACAAGCAAAAGAGGATATCGGGAAGCGCATCAGTGCCGACCGACGGATGCGCCACGACGTTCTTGAGACCAAAGTTGGACAGATCGCCGAGGAATTTGGAACCGGTGTGGGAGAAGGTGAGGGAGTAGCCCCAGAAGAACCATTGGAATCCGATGACGGCTATGCTCATCATGCACATGAAGATGAGGGAGAGGGCGGACTTGCGGCGGGCGAGACCGGCGTAGAAGAAGCCGACGCCGGGGATCATGAGGAGGACGAGGGCCGAGCAGACTGTGATCCAGGCGAGGTTTCCGGACTATTCAAGGGGGAGCTTGTGTTAGTGAATTTTCGCCGGCGTTGGTTGCAAGCTACCGAAGCTTTTGTTCTTTACGTACGTCATAGAAGAGGTTCATGTCATAGACACCGGCCGAGCGGCCGGAGTCGAAGACGCCCTCCGTCCCGTTAAACTCGAGCGACATGGTGGCGGAATTCGCCCCGACGAGGGCAGTATCTTTAGGGAATGTTTTAAGTTGTCCTCAGGGAAACCTGGTCACAAGATCGGCGACTAAGAAATAAAAAAAGATTAAATGAAGATGAACAAGATGAATTGAAGGAGAGAGAAAGAAGTGAGGGCGAAAGGAGAAGTGATCGGAGGGTGGAGAAGGAAAAACACAACCTTAAAAGAAGGTGTCACCAAACTTCGGGGACCCCTTGACTATATACCCGCGCAGGAGGATGGATGAAGGGATGTGAGAAGCGGAAACCTCCACGCGAACCATACCCTCCCTCTTCTGGAAAGGGATAATATCAGGATTCCGCACTACGAATGTGGAGTGGAGCTGGACCCTTGGCCTCGGGTCAAGGAAGGGGAGTTCATAACGATGTAGTTATGATACTACTTCATAGCTATCAATAACGTAGACGCCCTGGACAGCTGAAATGGGAACAGGTAAAGGTACAAGAGCTGGATGTAGCACTCCGTTCCGCTCCTGCATGTGCAATATTGAACTGAAGAACAAAGCTCGGTTGGCAGATTATCTACATCCACTCTCATACGTCTTCCCCCGTAATCATTACATTTTATGTCTCTAATCGGAGACGCCCCATGCCAAGAGAGTGGCTTTCTAGGCGAAGACACTGGTGGTGAGTGGGAAGAGATTCTGTTTGGTCCTGCCTACACGGGTTGGAGTTTGCTGCTTATCGATGGGGAGCTTCGGCTTCGATGGAGATATGGAAACTAGAATAAAAAGAGGCAAAGATGCTGTAATGAGAATATCCAGATACTGGTAGTGTCCAAAAACTAACCATACTCACCACTCATCTTGGGGGGTTTGGGTGGATCCTACGCATTCTTGGCTGTGAATGATAAGGGCTCCCTTTTTTTTTTTTTGGTTCTACTCATTCGACTTTTTTCGTTTGGTGTGTGAGGACCCAACGGTGAGAGGTTAGGTTATCCGGGAACTGGACAGAGTCATTGGGTCTAGCCGCCATACTACATAAAATTGATGTAGTAGCTGGCTGAGTTCTTGCAGGGCTTTGAATGCATTCCAAGACTTGGCGCCGTGATAAGGCTGGGGTTAGGCGACCAAAACGGCTTCATAAGACCTCATGGGAAACGCGGAGATTGGACCGGGCCTGGGTGGAGACGTAGATGTAAATGCAGATGCGGCCGGAGGTGGAGAGGTATGGGACTTGGACTGGGGCCGATAAGAAACGGAATCTCTTGAAAATTGAAACCGTAGAACCAATGATAATCAACTGCAACATGACGGGATGGGACCTCTACACGATCTTCCTGGGTACCTTACCTCATAAAAGTAGATATGGGCCATGGGCCACCATGTCCATGTTCGATTCAAGGGTGTGCGGTAACACAAGGGGGGAGCTTATATCGATCCTTGCTTGAGATAGCACTGGACATGGCATGTTTTAGCCGTATCTCAAGCCCAAACGGTGGCTCTTTACGAAACCTCGATGAATATATCATATCGGCGCTGTCGCATCCCTCGGACCCAACGTGTTTATTTCAAACCGTCAATGAATCGCTCTGCATAACTGTTGATACATTTCAGGGCTCGATGCCTCTCTTTATGATGGTCGCAAGCATTCCCAAGACACGACAAACTTTATTCAACACATTCCTTTTAACCTTTGAAGCCTCCGAGTTCCACAAAGCCCCGTTCAGGTCCTACCTAGCCCAGACCTTCGGGATCATTTGTTTTAAGGGCCAAGAAAAGTGGGAGGGTCCACTGTGTTTCCTGGAGGACGGAGTAGGTTCGCGACCTAATTCCGAACTAACTTTTCCTGTCCATCGGTATTCGCAAAGTTCTCTCAGTTGAATGAACTCTTATCAAGGATCACATTCCATATCCTTCCGAGTTTGGGAGGGTAGCAGCAATGGTTGTGTCGTGATTGGCTGGAGCTTATCTCTTGGCATCCGTCATTAGTGCTTGGGGCATCGCCTGGCTCTGGCTCTGATGCCCATTGCAGCTCTTCTTTTCTTGCTAGATTTTAATTCCTGGCTCGTTGGCGGTTGGTGGCTGTTCCAATTTCGGCCAAGTCCCGCGACACTGTCTTATCTTCTTATCTTGCAAGCTGCGATGCTTATCAGCAAAACGGTGGGAATATATCCCTGTCAACGTTTCAACAGCTCGACTGAGACGTCGCCGGGACATTCGGCCGACATCTTGTAGACGGAAGGATAATGTTGTTGTATGCTGCAGCTTGTCGTCCATATTTGAATTTCACTCCTTCGTACGAAGTAGTCTGCGTCTTGCTTATCAGCGACACCACGTCGGGGCATGCATACGCGTCGGATCCTAACCAGGGTTTCGTGTCCAGCAATCTTTCTGGATGTGGGGGCATAGGGGGATTAGGAGGATTAGGAGGATTTCGAGAATGCAAACCTCGGAAGAATTAGGTGAAAAACCTACGAGTCGATGCCGTGTGGGAAACCCCGGTCTGTCTGCGTGGGGAGTAAATGCGGATTCCATCTCAATGACTTCCCTTCTGACTTGCCGGGAAGAGAGCATACTTCCGAGGTAATAGAAAAATCAAGGATCAAATGTAATATACATCTATTGTACAGACTCGTAAACCGATGACCGATATGGTGCGAGCCGAATGAGGCCCGCAAGTAATCGCAAGTAATCGCAGGCAGCGACGATTCAACGATCCTGGTACCTCGCAGTTGATGGGCGGGAGTCCCCGTCCTTCGAGCTCGAATGGCTGGATAGCCCATTTCCCCCCTTCCCAATACCACCGAAATTAAGCTCTCATGACGGGCGCACTCTGCGCTGACCACGAACACACTCCCCATCCTGACACCCATGGTGTCGCCTGTTCTCAACCTTAAAAACCGCGGAGAATAGATTGATCTGCAAATTGACGAATCCTGGTGGTCTTTCCGGGGCTCGCGCGGCACCTTTGCTTATTTGCAGTAGCTCGCACACGGGACGAAGCGCTTTCACAGCCCTGGATCCGTTGTGGTGCAGCTTTGCGGGCGTTCGAGAGAGACTGGTTGTGGGGTACCTGGGCTAGGTCTAGGATGGGCGCCATGTATCCACACGCTCGTTCTAGAAGTGTTGGAGCGGGCGCAAGATCCTGTATTCCCGGTAAGGAAGCAAAGATTTCCCTGGCTTCAAGTAGATTCATGGTACCTTGCTCTCCGTTCCCTTAAGATCGAGAATCGGAGGGAAGAACTAGCATATGCGCGGCTGTTGCCCGCCATCGAGATGGATCCCTCTCCACGGTTCATGCGGTACTACCGCCAATCCGAGCCTGCCAGTCCTTCTCCAGCTCGTCCAGACACCTCAGAACTCCCTCCGCCCCTTTGGATTCGATGACAGACTTTTGGTACTTGGACATCGGCCCAAGCACATAGTCCGACACTGATCTTGAGTCCCGACCCTCTGGCCGCCCAATGCCGACCCCGATCCTTGACCACAGCGAATCCGGATATTCGGCATGCTTCAGAGTCGCATTCACGCTCTTGATGCCGTTGTGACCCCGATGGCTCCTATTCCACGGTCGCGTTTTGACTACTCCCATTGCCTCTTCCAATTCATCGTGGACCAGTACGAGGGCCAGGTTTTGAGCATCGTGGTCCTGGAGCACCTGCTTCCACGTCGCCGCTACCCAGGGTCCAGAGGTATTCATGAAGGTAGGGCTTTGCACCATCATGTACTTGGGACCGATGGAGGCGAGGCTGGCCTTTTTGCCGATTCGGGTGGAGGTAAAAGAAGGCTGCGTCGGACCGACAAGTTTCTGCAGGGCGTTTAGGACATGGTGACCGGCCGAGTGGAAGGTCTCGTAATATGGCGCCTGGTTCCCCAGGCTTATGAGGAGAAACTTGAGACTGGACATTTTGAGTAGCCTCAGTTCTTTTGGTTGCAGTTCTTGTCCAGTGCTTCGACGGAAGAGAAGATGGCTCGCCCAGCAACGACAGCCAGCGTTGTCCCGCCTTTCAGCACATCCGGAAGGCTCTTGACGTAAGGGGTTGCTAAAACTCGAACCTCCCCATCACGGGCGCGCCTCGGGTATCGAATGGTGTACAGAGAGCAGAACGGGAGGACCGAAAAGAAACGCGGGATCACGTGGAGAAGGTGGAACACAGTGGACCTCAAGCTCGATCAAAAATTGATCTTAAAGCTGACGAGACGATGCACAGTAATCAATTGACCATTCACTGCTTGCACCCCTGCCACGCACGTGTCAGCCAGTGGCTCACTGTCAAAAGAGCCCCTGAGCAGCGTACCTCTGTACCTGGCTCACCACTGCCACCGCTAACACCAATTGCAAGTCAGTGACTGAACGTTTTGGCGTGGCGGTAATTTGCCCCACCGTGGCTCAGCAGCAACGAATACACCGCGCTGACGTCTTCACCTCCAGCCCAACGGGGGAAGCATCGCCCACCTCACCACCCACCAAGACAAACGACATCCTCCAGACCAACGTCGCTGGCGATTTCTCCCTTTCCCGACTTCGAAACGAACCGACTTCGAACCTCGAACTGCCACCGCTTCATTTCCGGTGAACGACAATATTTATCGAGCGATTTGATCCAGCACCCCTCGCATTTTTTTCCCAACGTCGAGTACCACCACAATCCCGCCGGCAAGATGTCCTGGGCAGGTTCGTCGTCGTAATTTTGCTAGGAGTGGGGGGGCAGGGAGACGTCGGGGTTTCATTAACAGCATGATAGGATTCAAGAAAAATGTCAACCGTGCTACGACCACGGTGATGATGAAGACGGGTTCGTCTGCGAATATTCGACCTTGTTCCCGACACCGAGTTTTCTAACTTGCCATACATCAGGTCATGTCGAGAAGACCAACGACAGGGACTACGAGGTTGAGGAGCGGTATGCTATTCGCCGTGCACAATGAGATAACACCTTGGTGTTCGGTTCGGTATCTAACGTTATGGACAGCCGATTCAAGACTATGGAGGCGGCGTCGTTACGACTACAAAAGGAGGCGAAGGGTTATCTCGACTCTCTGAGAGGTAACGAGTGGTGTCAATCCAGGCGCAGGGGATAGGAATGGATGCTAATCTTTCCCACTAGCTATGACGGCCTCGCAGATGCGCATTGCCGAGACGATAGATGCATTCTACGGCGACGCGGGCGCGAAGGACGGCGTCAGTCGGAGCTATAAGCAGGCAGTCGAGGATCTAGACGCGGAGACAATCAAGGCATTGGATGGTCCATATAGGTACGGCAACGAACGGAACACATATTACGAGGGTTCGGGCTCTGGAAAATGTCCACGGTTTCTAACTCTGGATTAGGACAACGGTTTTAGAACCCATCACTAGGTTCTGCTCCTATTTCACAGATGTCAACGAATGTAAGTTCACTGCCTCTACTTTCCAACTCGTCTTTGAAAAAAGGAGCATCCCCCTGACACACATCCAAGGCATCAAGAAGCGTGGCCACAAACTCCTCGATTACGACGCGCTACGAGCCAAGGTCAAGAAACTCGTCGAGAAGCCCGACAAGGACGTCACGAAGCTGCCCCGTGCCGAAAAGGAGATGGAGATGGCCCGCGCCGCCTACGAACAGCTCAACGAACAGCTCTGCACCGAGCTTCCGCAGCTAATCGACCTCCGCGTCCCTTACCTCGATCCGAGCTTCGAAGCTCTCGTCAAGATCCAGCTGCGATTCTGCGCCGAGGCGTACAGCCGTATGGCTCAGGTGCAACAGTATCTCGATAAGGATACAAGAGATCAGTATGCAGAGGGCCAGCTCGACGCCAAGGTCGAACAGGTATTGCAGGAGATTCGGGAGCTGAGCATAAGTGGAACCGTGTAAGAATCGACATGATAGCGACTTTTTTGGCTGGTTACTTTGGCGGAGAGGAACTTGTTTGCCCTATTCTGCGCAATTTCCTCTTGCTCTCCTCTTCTTCTCCTCGATACCGGAATCGGAGGCGTTTGGTTGGTCTTTTTTTATTTTAGGCATGGAAATTAATGAATGCCTCTGGGACTGATGGTTTGAAGGGCAATAAAAAGTGAAGTCCCCATATAAACAAAAGCAGATGTCATCGTCATCATTTCACGCGGTGAAAAATTGCAGAGACCTTTTAATCCGAAATCCCGTAATGGTGTTGGAATAGGAATACAATTCATCATCGTAAGCATCGTTTTTTATAACCGTCCCTATTTCACCATTCCCTTCCCAAGGCCAGTCCTCCCCTGTTTTCCCGCCTGCCAGTATTTGTCTCTCAATTTCCGTATTCTCCGCGCGCCTGACTAGCAAAGAGTTCATCGATACTAACGGACTTACCCCCTATCGCCTGCAGCGCTGGACCAACAGACTCCTCCCGTTCCAACAGCGCCCCATCAACGCCATCATGATACCCCGAGGCCTGGAAGCTCTGCATCTGCACCTGTGCTTCCTTGACCTGCCCCCAAAGGGTATGAATCAAATTCATGTTTAGCTGCCTCGTATCGTCGCTGTCAGCATGCATCCAGATCCCCAACGCCTTCGCCATCGGATTCTGCTCCACCTCCTCATCGTCCTTCAGCGCAAGGATCAGCAAATCATCCGTCACCTCGCATTCCCTAATCGTCGCGAGATCCAATATGAGATTCTCCAACCCCCTCCGATTCAGGACGAAGACGCAGAACCGCGGCTCTCCCGTGACGGGGTTCTGGTCCTGCGAGCACACGAACAAGGTCCCCTCGATGCCGGACTTGTCCCAGGATTGCGTCGCCACGTCGAAGGTGTAGACGACGGCGTTCGCGGCGATGGAGACTATGGCGGAGATGGAGGGCACGTAGCGCCGGAGCACGCCGAGGTTGAGTTCTGTGTTGGTGCGGTGCGGGCGGTGAGGGGGCGGAGGGTCGCGGTTTTCCATGTAGTGGGCTGCGTCGGATTCGTAGTCTGAGGCGGGCACGATGCGCGGGCCGCTGGGTTGGCGGTTGTGGGACATGTGGTTGTTGTTTTGGTTTTGGCGCGAGCGCCTGGGTGTTGACCGGCTCATGGCGGTGATGCGTGAGGTGTGAGGTGTGATGAGGGGTGGTGAGGGGTGATGAATGTAGAGGGGCTTGCGCCAGAGATTGTGCTGCGCGTCTGTACTTCGTAGGCACGAGTGTGTCCTTCGACGCTACTACTAAAGCGAATAAATGGAGAAATAGCTTGGTATGTCCCTCAAGTAGGTTCGCCTTGCTCGCGGGTGGAGATGTAAGATGAGGAAGGTGCGAATTGATGCCCAAAACAGCTGATGCGAGGGCAGGCACGACCGATGAAGATAATTCAGTGTCCTGGTTGCTCTACTGAGTCTACGCGAGAGCACTACTGCATAGGGCTGCTCAGATGTATCAATGTGTAGTTGAGTCCGCGTGAATTTAGTCGGGCTGCTTGTTGTTTCGTGGTGTCGAGTTGTTTGTTTGATGTCGTCATGAGAGTGAGATTGATGCGGCTCAAGATCTCTCAATCCCCCACTGGCAACTCAGATCTAGCCGGTTTCGTCGCCAGGCGTTCGGTCACACTCTGGGAGGAATGGTCTGGGGGTACATTTTCGCTGTCGCTGAACAGAGGGTTGTTGTACTTGTACATATGACGTCGCCCTGCCTTGGCAGTGCACTTTGTACTTCGTACTTTCCTTGATATTGGTCATCCAACACGGAGATCTCCGCCGAACTGGGAACCAAACTAAACTACTGTACGAAGTAGGGTCTGGCCAGATTGACTGACGGAATTCAATTTGCGACTTCGACCAACTTAATCCGCGCTGCTGCAGATAAAAACACAAAAAAAGGCGTCCCCCGAAATTGAGACGCACTGCCATGCTGTCAATTTTCCTTCGATGAACACGAACATCCTTTCAAGCATTACTCGCATCATCGACTGAGTATCGCCCCCGATTCCTAATGGCCACGACGCTACGAAGAGACCACCCCTATTGCATCGACCCCCCAGGCCTTCCCTTGTTCAATTGCGGTTGACAGCTGCGTCTTCGAATCTGCCAATCTCTCAAGAGACCGGCCATTCTCGTCTCGAGTAATTCTCGTACTACGGTCTTTGGATGCAGCAGGTTGTCAATCGGGCTTCAACTCGCATCACCAGATCATCCATCTGCTCGCAGGCCACCCGTGACCTTCAAGAATCAAGTCCCGGTCCCAGTCCATCAGTCACAAGGCTTGTCTGTACGTGCAGTCTCGTAGCCATCGCGCTCTCCCTTCCCTTTCCTAGAGGCTTCCTGTTGTCACCCCTTCTAAGCTAGCCCAAATCAAATTCCGGTGTGTGCTGACGCTTTTGGGAGAGACGCACTGCAGAAGCCGGTTCCCGTCCAATCCTCGTCGCCGCTCCCCGCTGCAACTCAGGCCATAATCCCGCGCAAGACTTACAGTGGGCCACGTCTTCCCATTCCCCACACGCAGCAACCGACGGGTTTTAGTTGTGAGGCATTGCATATAAACATCTTCTCTGCATATTTGCGAACCGCGGCGTTACCCCAAAAAGCGACACCTCCCAAAAGGCGAACCAAACACACCCGCATCAAGCTGTGATTTGATTTGACGAGGGTTCTGAACGCCCCCCCTCCCTGCCGATTTTTACGCCCGTCCCCCCCGATTCCCTTTATTTTTTGGGGTTTCCTTAGTTGGCATATTCGGATTGGTGCCCACTAAGGGGACCACCGCAACCATCGCGAAAGTGGATTCCGGCTCGGGGCTCGGGGCATCATTCGGTGCTCCTGCCAGCATCTCCTCTTTGGTGCCGCCCTCGCTGCAGCCCTATATCGACAGTACCCTTGCGAAGACTACGATCCTGGTTTCCGAAGCGACTAAGTACATCTCCTCTCAGACCGGACTTCCACCTTACGCTGCCCTCGCCACTGTAATCTGTCTCGTGCTCGCGATCCCTCTCACCATGTGGTCCTTCTGGCCTCAGCGCCCGACGCTGTCTCCCTACGCGTCCATGAACCAAGGGAGGACTCCGGACGTCACCGAACAAGACTACAGCTACATCACGACCCAGGAACTCGAGGAGGATGATATCCTAGACATCAAGTACAGGGGCGTCACGTACGAAGCCCAGTTCCCAGCCTACTCGATCGGAGACGGCAAGTTAAAAGTCCACGATATCCGGGACCGCGTGGGCATCCTGCTAGATCTCGACGACTACGAGACGCGTCGAGTCCAGCTCTTCTACAAGGGCCGTCAGCTTAAGGAGCCCGGCGCCCTAGCACGCGACTACGGCGTGAAGAACAAGAGCGAGATCCTAGCCAAGATCCGAGACGATAACCCCCGAGACGGCTACGAAGGGGGTTATGGTTCCGAGGAGGAAGATATAGTGGTGGCCGAGGAGGGAGGCGGATCTAGCTACGGTGGAAGCAGCGTCGGAGTTGGAAAGAGCTCCAGCAAACGCCGCAAGGGCCGAAAGCCCAAGAAAAAAGCCAAGCCGGCGACCCCCTCGAGCCCCAAGGATGACGAAGACCCGAACCGAACCCCCTCGCCGTCGCTATCGTATCGAGAAACCCAGCTCGGAAAGCTCGACGAAGTGGCGGCGTACTTTGACGAGGAGCTCGCGCCGCTGTGCATCAAGTTTACGAGGTCGCCGCCTACGGATCGGGCAAAGTGCGAGGACGAGCACCGCAGGCTAACGGAGACGATCCTCGGGCGGGTTATTTTGAGACTTGACGCCGTGGAACCGAATGGCGATGAAAAGATTCGAGCGAGGAGGAAAGAACTTATTAGGGAGTCGCAACAGGTGCTCACGGAGCTTGACAAGGCCAAGGCGAGTGTAAAATGAACGAAGCCAATGATATGAACGAGCCCCGTGATATAAGCCCGTTGTGATATACTTCCCCCTGCCCACTCTCCTCGGGCAGCTCAAGACACAAGCAGAGTTCAAAACACGCCTGCCGCGATTAGGAAGGAGGATGGATGGACAATTGGGGCCGCATATTTCTAGAGACACAGCATGGAGGATAAGCGATTTCATTGTCGATGTTTGGCATTTTTCTTTTTCACTTCTTGTCGGAGAGTCCGATTTTGGCTTGGCTTTGGACGGGTCGAGGCAATGGCATGTGACGATGAGCATAATCAGATCAAACCTCTCTACTTCTACTTTCTCTTCTGCCTCCCGTTTTGATGAATTTTGTACGCTGTGATATTCTGTATTTACGAACTTGAATTGTGTTATTCGAGCCATTTGTGCGTTCAATTGACTCCCTTGCCTTCGAGACGTGATGTCTTGCCAGATCTGAGCCTGCCTGCCCTGTTCAGCAAGAGGATCGGTTGTGGCGGGGGAAATGTCGTCTTAGTGGCTGAGGGGTGGCTCAGAAGATCACCCACCCACAACGAGAATTACTCAGCAATAGCACAGTACGAATTTGAAGAATTGGCGGTTCCATGTCGGTTTCTGTCAAGTCACAGTCCTGTGTGCTTACCTAATAGGCCACCATTCTACCATTTGATTCTGCGCCGTAGGTTTTGTGAGCCCTAAAGCCTCTCAGTCACTCAAAAAGCCCGCCTCCACCTCTCTCCCAATCCGGCTAGATCCCCTCGCGCCCACTGATTGGCCACCAAAGTTCACAGAGCCCTCTCTTCGTCCACTTGGTGGGAATATGCACCAACTTTGGAATTTTCGCTAATCGATATTCCTCTTCCCTTTTTCGCCCGCGACAACGAAGAACTAACCTCAACAGCAAAACCTCCTCTCTCCTCAGAGCCAAACAACCAGTCTTCGACCTGGCGGTTTGACCTGTTTGTTTTAATAACCGTTATTCCTCCCCTTTCATAATTCGGTAACGGTTGAGCACGATGTCGAGTTTCGAGCAGGTTGTGAGTATATTCCCCCTCTTGAGACCTATTCACGAATTTCGCAGAGGCTCGATAAGGGCTTTGGGCTGGGGAGCCCTTCAATGGGCGCCCTTCCGCGATTTCGAGATCAACCACACTGTCGAACCGAGTCTTTCGAATGAGCATCAGGCTTTTTTTTTTCTCTGCATTGCCTCACGAGACGGGCTTTGGGAATGGCGGTGATGGGGTGGCTCGATTGGATCGTCTGAGCCTTCTGGGCCTCTTTGGAAACCAGCTTCCCTCCGATTGCACTGAGGAAGGAATTGAAAAGTTGCTGACCGTGGTGTTTTTGTTGGTAATAGGTCGTCATCGATGGCAAGGGCCATCTCCTTGGCCGCTTGGCCAGCATCGTCGCCAAGCAGCTTCTTAGCGGCCAGAAGATCGTCGTCGTCCGATGCGAAGCTCTCAACATCTCCGGAGAGTTCTTCCGAGCTAAGCGTACGTGGGAAACCCTTGGATACGCCTGTCTGGGGCGGTAATGGAACGGGGCATAGAAGCGCTGGCCATTGCTCGAACGATTTCGATACCGACCGGCAGAGATACACGCTTAAGAACTCTTTGAACTGACATCTCCCGGCTGAATAGTCAAGTACCATGCTTACCTCCGCAAGATGACCCGGTACAACCCCACTCGTGGTGGTAAGTCAACAACTCTGCCCTCTACGAGCGACTCGTGACCCGCGGGGTAAACAATCCCCGAGTCATATGGACGCGGTCACTAACGCAACTTGCTCTCCAGGTCCCTTCCACTTCCGAGCCCCCTCCCGCATCTTCTACAAGACCGTCCGAGGCATGATCCCCCACAAGACCGCCCGTGGAGCCGCGGCGATGGAGCGATTGAAGGTCTTCGAGGGTGTTCCCCCTCCCTATGACAAGATGAAGAAGATGGTCGTCCCCCAGGCCCTCCGTGTTCTCCGTCTCCAACCCGGCCGAAAGTACTGCACTGTTGGTCGTCTCAGCCACGAGGTTGGCTGGAAGTACCAGGATGTTGTTGCCAGGTTAGTAGACGCTTTCCCCCCCTCTTGTTTCTTGCTTGTGGAAGGAAGTGGAAGTTGGAGGATGGATGGGCGGCGATGGAATGGATCCACCTGATCATTTGCGCCTGGGCACTACGAAATTGTCGAATGGTATTACTGACAAGCATGATCTCAACACAACAGGCTCGAGGACCGACGAAAGGCCAAGGCGGCGGCCTACTACGAGCGGAAGAAGCTTGCCCAAAGGCAGCTCTCCGAGGCGAAGAAGGGTGCCAAGGTGGACGCCAAGACGGTGAAGACTCTCGAGTCGTTCGGCTACTAAAAAAGAAAAAGAAAAGAAGGAAAAATCCAGTACTTTTTCTCTTTTTTGTGTGTAACGGCCTTACTCCCCCCTCAAAGAGGTCTTTCACACTTGTTTTTTTGAACCCCCGTTCTCCTCTTTCGGTTTTCATTAGATTGGCGTGGCAAGGTTTAAGGGATTGTCTTCATTTCTGCAGATGGCAAAAAAAAAGGATGGTGGTTCAGGAGGAGGAAACGAATATGTTTTTTTGTTAAAACCCATTGTTCCCAACCCCCCCATCCCGGCCCGGGAGCGGTCCCGGACGCGATCGCAAAAATATAGGTCGAAGAGGCTCTCAATGAAAGAAAGCAGGTGCATGATGACGCAAGAAACACACACAATTATACAATAACACAACCAAAAAAAACAGAGACACATACCATGAAATGAAGACGAACTCAAAGATGGCCGGGCGTGTATAGGCGGGGATGTTGCGGGTTTTTTGGTTCTTTGCCCTTGAAAGTAAATGTGATGCCATTCGGGCGGCGTTGGTAAACTGAGAAGAAATTCTAGCCTCAACTATTGCACGGCTCTTGCGCTGTTCCCATTCTCTCACCGTACCTTTGTAGATTCAATCTCCGCCGGCCAAGGTTAAGATGAGAACCGACTCCTGCGATATCGACCTCGGGCTTCATGTACAACTCCGCATTAACCCAGCCTGGCTTTGAACAACAGCAAGATTAGGAAGAAGTGCTGGCCTTTTTACTTGGCGAATACACAGTACGAGCCAATTACCCATGATTTGTGACATTCAATTCTGTCAATTGTTCAGCTCGAAGATATCTAGGCGTCTCATTGGACTGAGACTCGCACCTCCATGTAGCAAGAATCCTTGGATCGTGAGAGCCTATCGCCAACCCCCCCCCCCCCCCCCCCTGCAAAGCCTTGGCAACCGTGATGTGATTGCGGGGTTTCCTCCAGTTCTTGTATGAAGACGAGGCTCTTTGTCTTTTGCAAATCCCATCTTACCCCAAATGTTCAGACGCAAGCGATAAGCGCCGAGGAAGTCTGGCGGCGTCTGGCATCCCGACAATCTTCTCCATGGAGAGACCAGATCCTCATACCCGGCGCAAGGGCACGCATAGCATTCTAGCGAGCATACTCTTCTTATTATCTAGCACCGTCGACGCTACATGTTACCGACGAGATGGCAATCCCGTCGTCCCAAACAAGGACATCGCCACATGGCGAGAGTGCAACCCCGGCGCGGGCGTGACGACCTGCTGCAGCGAGATCGACCTGTGTCTCGACAACGGCCTCTGTCTGGGCTTCGGCGGGCCCGGCGTTTTCTACATCCAGGGATGCACCGATTCATCTTGGCCCAAGTCATCGTGCCCTGCTTACTGCGATGGCCCTGATGGTATGTGTTTCCTGGGAGAGTGACAAGTTCCGAAGCGAGAGGCAGACTTGTTTACGGACTTTGTTAACTTGATGTGTGTGTAGACGGCTATGGTAATATCCGCGTGTGGCGCTGCACCGACGATGGTAATTATTGTTGCGGATTTAACGACTGCTGCGGTGATAAGACCATTGCTAGGTTCAGCGTGCCGAACCCCAACTCGGGCGCCCATCCGCCTATCCCGGGATCGACTTCCCCGTCCTCCCCGTCCTCGGCATCGGAGCAGACACAGACCAGGTCTAGCGTGGACGTGTCGGCAGCGGACGAGACGAATTCCTCCGCGCCAGAGAGTGTATCGGCAGGGTCGGACGATGCGGCCTTGAGAGTTGGTCTCGGAGTGGGTATCTCGCTCGGCGTGCTCTTGCTAGCACTGGTCGGCTGGATTGCCTGGGATTGGAGGAGGGGGGCTGGTGGTAAGGTTGTGCCAGCTTCGCTAGATGGGCAGGTGCCTACGCGGGCTGAAATGTCTGCGGAGGGGGCACATGTGCCAAACTACCAAGCTTGGCCATCAACACAGGAGATATCTTCGCGGGGGGAGGACACGTGCAGAACAACTACCAGACTTGGCCACCACCACAAGAGGTATCTGCGCATGGGGGGCATGGGCAAAACTACCAGGGTTGGCCACCACAGGAGATGCACTCTACGACGCCTGCTAGAGAGTTATATGGTTCCTGATACATGCCCAGGTCTGAAATCAGGCACCCAACTAGGCAAGACTATCTAGGAGGTTACGAAGTCTCGCCGCAAAGTAAACGAATATCCCTGCTGGCCCTCATCCTTAATCTATCGTATGAGAAGTAGACGGCTGCAAGTCGGGGCTTCATAGTTTGGTGTCATCTCGTCCGGTAACGCTGTGGTACCCGAGACCCCAGGGCTGCGTATGTAGATGAACTGTCCAACCGTCGTAGACTGGCATGAAGCATGAGGTACTCTACGCCCCATTCTTGGGCCAGCGTTGGGTGGTCGTGGCGCTCATTGCCGGCGTTGGGTGCATGTACGGCTGCTGGCCGAGTAAGAAATGGATAAGACGGGCCCGCAGAGAAGCTGGAAGTTCTCTGGTGTCTTCGAATGGTTGAGTTGTACCTTGGCAATGTGCTTGGAGGAGAAGCAGCTCCAGCGGGTCGAGCAATTGTCCTTTCTCCGTTATCACGTGCACTCATTTCCATGTAAAGATCAATTGATCTGCTGCTTTCTCCTCGCAACAAACCAAGATTGAAGCATTTTGGACAACACGATGATGCCTCCCCCAACATACAAACTTCCGAATCTTACCGCCATACCTATTACGCCAGAGACTCTCTCCGCCGAAATCAAGTCCACGAGTATCCTTCGAGTACGTCTGGAACAGCTCTCCGAAAGTGTAGAGAGAGAGTTAGCGGACGAAGCGAAGGAGGAACTTGAGAGTTATGAAGCCTGGATTCGGAGTGTTAGCGATGGTGGCTCGGTGAATACGGAATCTCAGGAGGGGACGAGCATCAAGGACGAGCAAAGGGCAGGAGTGTTGGACGAGGTGAGCTTCTTGTCTTGGACTAATGAGGTAAAAATGGAAAGAGATCGTTCACACGCCCAGACGAAGTCGACTCGTGAGGTTCTCGACATCGTAAGACACACAATTCACCCACGAACATTTAAAAGTTCAAAGTTAATGTTAATTGACGAAGCCTCGTAGATCAACGAGATAAAATTCAGAAGAAAATACATCACCAACCAACTAAGGCTGCTCAGTCTCCAGAAATCCCAAGAGTACGTCCTTCCTATCCTCCCCCATCCAAATAGCCTCTTGCTCTTCTCCCTTCTCTTCTTTTACCACGACTCTTGGGAGGAAGCTAAATCATCTTCTACTTGCCTTCATCGCAGGAAATCCCAGGGCGCCGAGTCCCGAATCTCCAAGTTGCAGAAATACAACGAGATCAAAGACATCGCCCAGGAACTCATGGGCCTGGTAGCCGACAACCGGAACGTCACCGTCAAGACGCTCTACGAAAGTGGCGAGTTTGGCGTCGATGCAGACGATTGAATGGACGGGGAACGCCATCACCGCTTGCCAGGAGTGTCTTTTCATGAGCATCCTTAATAATGTATTTTCTGCTTCTCCATGAGAGGGGCTGCATCACCACCTCCGCCATCCCATGTGGAAGCCATGGCCCACTCTTCGTTTTTGATGGAGAAATGACTCGAGTCTTCCATCTTCCATTCGCCTGCGAATCCAGAAAAGAGATAACGAGATACTTATTTACACAACAGCCTAGGACCACGCGGCTCGTTCACCTCCCAAGGGCACGGAATCTCTAATCACACACCGTACTACCAATCCCTCTCCAACAGCGCCATCCGTAAACCAAAAGAGAAAGAAAAAGGAGGGCAAAAACCCAAGATAGAATAACGGCATTAATTTGAATGTCCATTTCCAACCCGCCCCAACCAGAACTCCCAAGTAAACAAACTTTTCTAATAACGCATTCCCTTCTTGTTATCACCGAGTAATGGTACAGTTAGCCCGATACGCATTTCCCGCGTCATCCCGGGTCCTTCTCTCCTTCCAGAACCCCCAGAAACCTTCATCTGAGGCCTCCGATAGACGAGGCTCATCTGCCTCTAGGGTCATGTGTCGCAGATTACTTTCCTTCCTTTTACGCTGCGGCACCTTATGCCGATTATCGAACAGCCGGTAGAGACGGACCCGCTCTTCCTTCAGATAATCGGTAATCTTCTCTCTCATATCGGCTATTTCTCGTGCGTGCAGTTGAAGTTCGAGGAGGTCTTCGGCCTTGACTAGGGAGTTTTCGTCTGGCATAGGGCAGCAGATTCGTGATGGTGTCGCATCGCCGGTTTTTTCTCCGTTGACAATGCCTGGTTTCTTGTCTTCGGGGGTAGGGTCGCCCTTCTGTTCAGGGAGTCGCTCTCCATCTGCAGCTTGGAGGACAGGAGGCACGCCGTATCCTTCGGCCGGATGACCCCCTAGATATTGCAACAACTCGACGTAATCTTTCGCCGAAGGGAGCAACTTCGTTTCCTCGCCGGGTTCTGGCTCGGGAAGTGGCAGTATCGTCGGGTAGCGCGATATCTCGGCTAGGGTCATGTCGGCGAGGAGGAAGCGGCGAGTACGGTCGAGCTCGGCCTCGTATTCTTGAAGGATTCCAATGGCGACCCGGCGGTGGTAGGACATATTTTGTGTTCGGGATAGAGTTGATAAACGAAGAGTGATTGTTATTCTATTGCGTTGTAACGCCCCAAGATAAATTATTAATTAGGATGTCGAGGCATCGGGGGGTATCCCAGCGAAGGGACACGGGCGTGTTAAACAATGCTGAAGAAGACAATAATAGTCTTTGGTCCTCTACTATCCAAGAGGCTTGAAGGTATCTCCGGCGTCAAGTCAAAACGGCCGAGCTTGAGTAAGAAGAAGTCGTCCCAGGTTCCTGACACTTCGTCGACCCTCTGTGGGTTACTCCGCAGTGACTAGACCGAACTTAACGCGGAGTTTCGGCAATCACTATTGGTACGGGTACGAGATGCCGGTCGTGACTCCTTGGGACAACCGGTATTGTCCAAAGAGAAGAAACAATGGGCTTGGTTTGGGAAGGGACTCGGGTGGATTCAGTGTTCGAGGGACTCGCCAGAATGGGCCTTGGTAAGGAATGGGTCTGTTTGTCTCCCCTCTAGGTGGTAAGGGTGCCGCTTCAAATCCAGAGGAAGACCTAAGAGGTGAAGGAGTCTTAGAGAATAGAATTAAAGACAACGAGCTTGATGATATGTGGGGAGAGACTGTGATACCGTCATGGACTGAGGGAGGGTGAGTGGGCGAGGGGACGATGTATACTTAGACAAGGCATTGACAGGTCTGCCGAGATGGAAAGTCTCTGCTTCTGTGTACGCCACCGATGCCCTAACATGAATCATCACGGGCATGATCCAGTGGGATCAGAATGGCAATTTCTAATTTGCTTATCTTGGAATGGAAAAGATAATGAGTTGGAAGTTACGACTTTGCCCCAGAGAATGGCTCATTCAGTGGTGCTTGTGGACGATTCAATTGTCGAGTTTGTTGATCCACTGAGTCATTGAGTTTGTGAGTCTGTGAAAATTGACAGCAAGCTCCAGAGACGGAAGCATCAAGGAGGAAGGAAGAAAGAAGGATTGGGCAAGAGGTGATGCTTTGGCTCGGGTTGAGAGGGAAGGATCGACTGACTGACTGACGGATGAATCAAGATGTGCGGAAGGTGCAATGAACTTGGGGAAAAAGGGAAGCCACTTTCCCCGTCATTGCCATCGTTGAGGCGAACAAGTCATAAACTCACAGTCAAGGAGCAGAATGATCAAGCATCAAGTTTCCCCTTTAGATTCGGATATCATTGGGGATTTGTGTCTCAACGCCCTGATTTGGCCCGGCGTGTTTATTGCCTCAAACCCGCCCAGCCTTTCGGCTACCTGGAGACTCGACAGCTTCAATCATCTCTCCACGACAGTTTGAGCCACGTACTGGGCCCACATCCACCGCTAGACACTCGACATCCGAACCCCCCCAGGGAGCAATGCTAGCTGTGATATGGGGAAACCGGAGAGCTACTTCCGACTCCGAGGTTGATCGGCGTGCTGCTTGGATCGAGGCCGTGATGCGACACCGGCTCTAATGTTCCTTGTCTGGATGTTCTGCCTTGGCCGGAGTCATCAGTACGGAGTAGGATCTCAGAGCTGAGTGTCACCCAGTTCGAAAAGCTGCTCTCGTCTTCTTCCTTGCCGCTCATCTCGCCGCCAGAACTCCACAGACTCTGTTTACCGAGGAAGATTGGCCGCGGTAAGCTGTCGCATATTATCATTGTTGCTTGTCAATTATGTGTGCGCTACCCGGCCTGGACCGGGGCAACCTCTCGGGGAGGTCGTGTCACTTATCTATCATATCGAGGTTAAACTAGTACACTCTAGGTGCATCACGATGACTGTGGACTCGAGGAACTGCTCCCACACTCGATACCCACGACATCAATGTTCAGCTATTCGGCCAGCCTCCCGATATCAATACCTTCACCCCTATTGCATATAGATCTAGATATATCGTTCGCCTCACCACAAACATATGCCCCAGGGTAGGAAGTGATCCTCAGACTCATCTTTACTATGTTTTCTCTCATTGGACATCCTTGTACTTCATGTGGGACTCATCATCGGCTGTGTATGTGGGAGCAAACTCGTGGGAATGTCGCAGGTACAGAAAGGCCTAGCCAAAATGCAACGTCGATCAAAGATTGGATTTGATCGGTATTAATCGATGTGTGGTCGGATCGATCTTGTCCCTGATATTGTAGAGAGGTTACAGGAGCCTTCCTTCCGATTATCTGATTATCTACGTGCACATGGAGGCAGTTGGTTGTGGCGCCTGATTTGCTAGCTCCACCGCCCTCCATCTTCCCTTGGGATCGACGTGATCTCTATTGTGGAGGATGACAAGGACAGAAGAGGAGGCCCTCTTTCCACATCGTGGCAGAAATTAATTCAAAGCTCCAAGTTCCTGCCACCAGCACGTAGGAAACAGAAGTCTTCAATAATTCCCCTAAGTACACGTACGTGCTAGTACGTTCATATCGGGGTGGGAGTTACAGAGGCCAACTGATCTACACCGGTGGCACGGAATAGCGCGGGCTGTTAGCCGAATCGGCATGGGAAGGCACAGCCTACGAAGATAATGGCCCTGGGGGAGTATAATGCTCCGAATGAACCCGAGATGTTGACTCTATAGGCAAGAATGCACACATTCCATTAAATACTCTGCTTTCTACACATTGGCACCCACCATTTCCTTTTGATCTCACCGCAAATGCTCATCCCATGGCACCCAGCTCTGGTCCTTCCACCCCGGCATGCAAAGCACCTTCTCTGGCGGGCCCTTCCACTCCACCATATCGCCGGCGCCGTCGTCGCCCTTAACCAGGTCGCCCACGTAGCCCTTCTTGTTCTTGATCCACGCGCCGTGCTTGTCATCGTACTCGAGGTTCACCGTGGGCACGACGGCGATCTTGCCGTAACCCTTCCCCCACAGGTCCTTACAAAAGTAGGTCGGCTCGCCCATGTGACACTCCCCCTCGCGGCTGTCGCGGAACCGGATCCCGTCTTTGAGCAGGGGCCGGGCGTCGAAGGCGACGGCGCCGTTCCAGCAGGCAAACACCTGCACTGGGCGGTGGTCGTCGAAGCGTTTCAACGCCGCCGGATCGTCGAAGAAGAGCAGGTGCGCCTGATCCCAGTTGACGTCCTCGGGATTAATATAGAAGAACGAGTTGCCCGTAATGGACCGCGCGACCCACACGTCGTAGAAGGTCGGGTATCTCCGCACGTGGGACCAGTCCATGGCACACGTCATATCAGCCCCGATATGCCTCCTCTGGTGTATTAGCTCGAGGATATCCTCACTGCAGATGGCCACGTCGTTCAGGAAGACAACGGTGGGATCCTCGACGAAGTGCGTCTTATTATTTAATAGCGGCTCTAGCGCCATATTCCTTAACTCGGCAAGATGCTCGATCCTGCGCCCATCGTTGGGCGTGATTTCGCTCCGCAGGAAATGGTACTCGGCCCCCAGTTTCCTGATCTCGGGGCGGAGGGCCTCGAGAATCTCCATCGTCCCGTCCTCGGAGTGGCCCTCGACTATGGAGATGACGCAGTTCTCGGGGCCAAGGAAGCGCAGCGTCTCGACGATGGAGCCCATCAGGCGCGGGAGGAGGTGTGCGATATTGATGAGGTTCAGGGCGAAGAAGTAGGTCGGTCCGGAGGTGGATTGGGAGGGGATAAGATACTCGTACCGCCTCTTATTTAGGCGCGGACATGACAGCCGTTTGAAGTGATGATCGGAGGGGTCAAGGATCGCTGTGACGTATTTGGGCGCCTTCTTAAGGTTCTCCTGGTGCAGGACTTCGGGGTTCTTCTCTGCTGTTCGTAGCCCGAGTCCAATGCCTAACCTCGACAGATGTTCCTCGACTGCTCCTCGCGCCCGACGTTAGCAAAGCTCTTAATACGAATTTACCAAAGACAGAGGCCTCGGAAAATGAAGGCATCGGGTATTCCGTTGTAGCTGAGCTGACGAGACTGCAGCGGCGACATTCAGGAACCCTATTTACTGTGTCTCCCATGATGAAATAGAGACATGACGTACTGATAAGCTTATACTGTCCCAGCGCAGGATCCTCCCTATAGAACAAATCAAACCCGCCAAGGAGCCCTAGGAAGAGACATAGGCTGATGCCTGCGCATGCAAATTTCCATCTCCACTTCATCGTTCTTAATGGACTAGGCGCAACCGCCTTCCACGTTTGGGAGGAGTAAGAGGGAGAAGAAGTCGAATAGGAAAGAAAAAGAAAAGAAAAAAAAAAGAAGAAAAAGAGTCTATTAGCAATTAGCCCCCCGCAAAATTAGATTTCCTGGACGTGGCATCATCCTTGGTGAGTGAAGTGAGGGTATCTGGACGCGCCCAGACCATTCACTCGAAAGGAAAGACTAGTCTATTGCCCCTGACGCGAGCCGGGGTCAACGTGATGGGTTCCAGAATGCAACGGGAGTGGATGAGCCGTACACGTTTGTTGATGCAGGGACTTGCATATTTTTATCGGCTAGCACTGAATAAGGAAAGCGGGAGGATCCGTGATAGAAAGATTGAGACACTTAATTTCCTTAATCCCTGTGCCTGGTTCGACGATGTACGCTCACAAAACCAAAACTGGACTAGAAATCACGTACTTCGTATGGGTCAGCATTTCTACACTAATTAATATTGTGACGCAAGAACTGCACAGGGATTCGATTGCTCAAATACGAAGTGCTAGACTTGTGTCAGGAACACGCAGGGGCCGGAAGTTAGGCCAAAACATCACAGGAAACGCGACCCAAACCTAACCCGTTCTGCACTGACTTTAGTGTTCTTTATTGAACAAAACTGGCCCAGATATATCAGATGGCTGGATATACTGAACAAATAGTTAAAATCGCGCTTATTGACATTTAAAACCTCTTCCCCATCGAAAGAATCGAATGAAAAAAAAAAAATATGGCGAATACGAGGAATTACTTTGACCTCACCAACAGCATGCCTGCCGAAAAGATAGGTGTGTAGGTACTGTAAGTCTGTTGGTCCTGTTGGTTTTTAGTGTTATTTTACAGCGACCAACAGTGTGCCCAACTACATGTTCCATTCCAGAATGTGACCCCGGTCAAGGCTCAACTTGTACCTCTACTTACAGCCTGTGCGCTAGCTCAAGAAGGGCCAGAACTACTCCGTAATATTTGTCGGAGCCGAGTAGTATAACCTAAAACACAAGCAATACTGCGCTCATCGGAATCTTTCCTTTAACTTTATTAAATCTGCGATCTATATGAACCGGCCATTGGGATTTTTCTCGACTTTTTGCCTCTTCTATAAGCGCAACCGGTCGGCCTTGTTACGACCCTAACACTAGCTCGTGGTATATCAGGTGGGCACAGCTGGTCAGGGTCATGGGTGCCTGTTGTGAGTAAGTGAGGCAGTCAAACAGTATTCACAATGATATAAGTGAGAAGTGCGTATTCAAGTGTAGGGGTGCAGTTGTACTTGAATTGACTACTGAAGAGTCCAGAGGAACTAACTAACTACCACTACCTGGTGGGCTTCATAGTTTATATAGACCTTTTTTCCATCCGTCTTCAGCCTGCAAACAACTTCCTGAGTGGCTGGTCGGTCGACCACGCTCGTCCAATCGGTCGGTTGTTTTCCTGACCGGCCGGTCGGATGTCCGCCCGTCCGACGGACGAGTCGGTCGCCAAGCCATCTGACTGAATGACTAAGCGCGCTTCTATTTCTGCCGCGTACTGCCGCCTTCAGTTCTTCTGCCGTTCCTTACCGCCTTCCTGCGGTCGAAGTTGCGACCAGGTCCCGCGATAGCCTTGTGGTACCCGATCAATGCCAAGCCTGCAAAAAGATACGAGACACACGCAGTTCGCTGTTTTCAAGTGCGGCTGCCGAGTTGACTCTACTTTAAGAGAGAACATTTCAAGAGTCTCCTAGAGTCGAGGTACCTTCGTCATATCATGGGCCTTCCTGTTCATAACGTCGTGCGAGCACACCGGGAAGCCAATGCGGGAACCGGAAGAGTAAGGCAATTAGTTGGCATCAAATCGATTGGACCGGCGATGTGCCCGTGACAAAATGTCCGTAACTACGCCCTGGCAGCTATGCTTAACTAGACTAGGAGAGATCAAAAGAAAGTAAAAAAGAAAGGAAAATAAAATAAAATAAAATAAAATAAAATAAAATAAAAAGGTAACTTGAAGAGCCTTAGCATTCGCCATTGGGACTACCTCCAGGGTAGGGGTAAGTCGAGGGGCGGGTGTTAGGAGAGTGGCCACAGTTCGCACATCCAACCCAAACGCTATAGTCCCTCTCGGAAGCGTAATAGTGGCCAGAGATGCTACCTTTCCTGGGACAGCATTGATTTCTAATATCCCAGATTCGATCTGCCAAGAGCCTGCACGGAACAGACGTGCCGTCGGAGAATTCCTATAGAAGCGATAAACGCATAAGCGACCGCACATCAGAAATAGGGTGGGTTAACATGACTTACGCTGCAAACATATGACCCTGTAGTATTCTCGCACGTCATACGGCGGCATTCTCTGTTCGGAGCACCACAATTGCCCGAGAGGGCACGGAGATATTCCGCAGCATCCTATGGGTTGACTCGATTGTTAAGCGTGTGGAGAAACCCTAGTAGCTTAGGAGCGAACTCACGCCTGCGTCAGTTTTACTGCCAGTGGCCATGACCACGCAACTAATTGCACTCTGCCGTTTGAATACACCAGGCGAGGTGTCCAGACCAGCGTCAATCGACCGCTCTGCGGGCACAACTTCTGGCCCAAAATCGGGTTGACGACCCTGATGGCCTCATAGATATCCTTTTTGACGAATCAGTGGTGAGTCTGAGCGTAACAGTCATTCTTGACATACCTTAGCATCACCATAGAGATCAACAGGCTCCTCGCCCGGATAGATTGACCTGGTCCACTTCATGCTGATGCCATCGTCGACAGTCAGCTCAGCCAAGGCGGCGAGAGCCGTCTCCGTGCGGCTTCTCCCTTGGAGGGAGAAAGCGGAAGCTGAAACGAATGACTTCGTCTAGAGGGATACGTTAGCATAATAAAGATAGCCTTGATGCTGCGAAGGGCCTAGCATACTAGAAGTGCATAGAGCACAACTGCGGTTTGGGCGAGCATTTTGCCAAAACGCCTGGGTAGGAAAAGTGTGAGTACAGATAGAGAAATGATTTTTAAGCCGTTAGTTGGTTGTGCCAGTAGTCCCGTGTAGCATGGAAGCGGGTTAGGCCAACCTACTTATACCCCCAGATATCAGAGTAGACTTGCCCGCCTAGCGGCTAGAAAGCTATGGCTCAGGCCCGTCAACGTGCCCGTCCATTTCCAAAAATGTCGGTTCCACCATGCATATACGAAGTAGGATGAGGAGATGACCATGTCCCTTCGCTAGGAGGTCCAGAGGAGAAGCATGGGGGAATATTGACTGGTTTCCAGCATCGTAAAGGATGCGATATTCCATCCTACGATCCTACATCCTGCATCAAGAGCAGCATTGCTCGGACGTCTGCGAGATCGGCAAAGATAAGGTCGTCTTCATGATACTGTGCAAGGGTTGACTATCGTATGGAATCTGTCTCCGCCAAGACGAAAGATAGATTACGCTGAGGTTGTCGGACGTTATCTATCACCACTCTGGAAGAGGGGCATGTAGCATGGAGCATTGGAGAGCTCCCAAGACCTTTTAACGGTCCGACTCTGCGAGGCACCCGCACGTCTTCTTTGCATGAAGGAATGGCCGACCATGATCATAAAATGAGAAATATTCTGTGCAACTACGACGGTGATCGATAATAATGGGGCTGAAGGATCAATATCTTTCGAGAGCGGCTCCTTGCCAGCCATCCAAGTGCCACGGTAGCCGCACGTTTGATTTGACGTGATTATGAAGAATGTCTTTGTGGGTTGAAGAATTCCTAGTGTAACCAAGGTTATATCTAGGTGCCAAGGCGATAAAATCTGCACTTACATGGTATTCTGCCCGCCTGACCCGCAGGGCTGCAACCCTACGCGGGAATGGGGATGCGACCTCACTCGGACCATCGTTGACCGAGTTGATGTGTTGGCGAGCTCAACACTTGATCCCGCGCCTCGTGCTATGGAGAAAGCAATCCATCACATTAATGTTGTCGTTTCCTAGCTTCGACGGACCCCGTCCTTGGGACGGACTCGGCGTTCTTGCTCTCGTCGAAGGCTTCCGATATCGTCCCAACTCCCAACCCCGTTGAGTACAAATTGTCGATGAACCCCTTCCGTGTCCCCCACCGACTATAACATCGATACCAAGCTTATCTTCTCTCAAGTCTTGGCCCTGTTCTACAGAGTCACCTTTTCTTTCAAGAATCAAATCAGAGAATATTGCTCATCAAAAATGCTTGCCCGGCTTTCACTTGTCCTCTCAGCCCTCACTGTATGTTAAAGAGTTACTCTCCTGCCCTCTAAACCCTTAAGGGAAAACCTTGGTGTACAAGCCTACTAATGTTGATTCTACTTAGATTGGGTCGTTGGCTACTTCTACCTTGGACAAGGTCCTGACTCGCTCGGAAGTAGATCTTGGGGCTTTGGCTCCTGTCACTGTTGATGACGGCGTTAGCCTGCAGTGGAGTGGAAGCATTTTCCCAGGCGAAGAGCCCACTTTCCTATACGGCGACATAGAGGTATACAACTCAACTTACCTTCTCTTTTTCTTTCTTTTCTTTTCCTTCCGAGGGTGCCTTTGGATTACATCTACTAACACGGGCCGTATAGGAAATCTACAAGGCTATCCTTTCAGTCAACCCTGACTACCAGGCAGCCGAAGCTTCCCCTGAATCTTGGGAAACGTTTGGCGTTCATACGGGGACAAGTCTGGAGAAGCGCCAAAATGGCTACAGCTGTGCCGTCATGGCCACCGGAAGTTTTGATCTCAATGTTCGTTTTCGACTAGCATCCCCTTCATTCTCGGCCCCCCGCTCGAAGCAGTGCAGACTCCTAACTCCTTATCCCATGGGGGATTAGGACGCCGTCCAATACCTACGTCGTATTGGAGGTAACTGCGGTGCCCCGAACCGTGAATGCCGCCGTACAACTTGTGAAAATACCTCTGGGACATATTTCTGCAGCGTAAGTTTACCACGCTTTCTTCCTGTTATTTTTGGCTCGGAGAGTCCCCGTAAACTGATGACTGTGTGACCCAGGAATTCAACGGTGGTGCTAGCATCCCTTGCTCTGTAGTCGGGGATCTCGTCGATGATATCATTAGTGTTTGTTGTAGGGGTAAGAATAGGCGGTCGGGTCATTACTACCCTCAGGGACGCGCGTATAGTGTTTGGGCGGGATACGCCAACTGTGGTCACTCTCCTAACACTCGTCCCTCGACCTATCCTTACCCAGGAGGGAGCCCCAATGGCCTTTGCTAAAGCTGGTCTTCCCTGGAATGATATCCACGGGCCAGCATACCAGCCTGACTTGCAGATCTGCCGAGAGCGTTCGTAGTACTGCCATTTGGTCAAATAGTAGAGCCTGTCCTTCGTCGAGGAAGTCGAGGATAGATTTTGAATGCCCATCTTCGGCGACTTCCTCGGTTTCGTCGTTTCTTTCATGCTATTTGCCGTGTCCTTCGCGCTCTGGCGGCGTTGATATTATTCCTTTCATGCGGGCGGTGTCGACCCACTCGCCGTTGAGCGTGTTAAGATAGCATGGAAGACAGGGTAACACCTTGAAACTCGTGGGCAGTTCGAGTGGAACGGACCATCTGTAGATATCAAGGGTAGCGTTAGGTCCGGTCCATTTGTCCTCCTTCTTCCAACATAACCAACATAACGTGAAATTTCCGAGACCGGTCTACCCTGCAAAAGCTGCTTTCAACGATCGGAATGCTGTCCGCTTCCCCCTGCCCCATTGCCCTCATTGCCCTACCGTGTCATTCGTCTGGAATAATGTAGTGTATATGCCCGGTATGTTATTCATGAGAATTGAGAATTCAATATTGAACTCTAAAAGGCAACATAGGCCTCTCGATAAAGTGGTATCTGAAACACCGTCCAAGGAACCCATCGTCCCAATTCCGAATTCATCCTGTTGATCCATCCAAGTTCTATAACAGTATATATACAGCCCAAGGCCCCGAAACCAAACCGTCGACAAAGCACAACAAGGGATTAACACAAAAGGCCCCTGATCTCAAATACGCACTCACAACTCCCTCTTCATAAACATCTCCATAAGAACCCTCCTCTTCTCATCCGCCACCTTCCTCTCCTTCTCCCTCTCCTTCTCTGACCCCGCCTTATCACTCGCAATTCTACACACCGCCGGCGCAAACACAGCCGCAAACCGCTTCTGCCTCGCGTGAAGCTTCGCCGCGCTACCCGACGGAACTTGCGCTTTGGCATTCGCTCGTGGCGGAGAGTCGATCTGGTTCGCGTTCGTGGAAGCAGAAGGGGACGAAGGGGTGGCGGGACGGTTTGTCGAGCCCCCTGTTGCGCTGCGGACGACCCTCCGCAAGGACAAGGTGCGTAACCTAGAAGGGGATTCTTCGACCTTCGGTGGCGGTGGTTTGGGGGATAGTTCAGCTGCTACGCGGGCGAGGGTGGTGGTTAGGAAGACGAAGGAGATGTTGTGGTTCGGCGAGGAGGAAAGGACGTCTAGGATGGAGGTCTTCGTATCTTCTATATCCGGTCCGGCGGAGGAGGTAAGGAGATTCAGAGGGAGACGCGGCCAGATGGAGGAGGGGATGATGCCATCGGTGAGGGAGGCGAGGAAGAGGAGGAGGCATTCGGAGAGGATTTCGAGGTTTTGCAGGGCGGGGAGGCAGACGGGTAAGGAGGGGATGAGGGCCGCGTCCGTGTCTATCGCCGTGACGAGGGCAGCTTTGGCGGCGCTGCGGCCCTCGTCCGAGTCCTTGAGTGTCCAGGACGACTTTTCAAAGGGCCAGCCGGGGTCATCGCGCGGAATGGCACAGTCGCCGAGCATATTCTCGTCGGCTAGCGCGCGTTCGAGCAGGTTCTCTAGAGCCTCGGTGAGTTTGAAGAGCTCCTTCGGTGCTGCGCACTTCACATCGCGGTCGTAGGGTATGGCGCCCGTTATTTTGGGCAACGATTCGGAAATGAAGGCCCGGATGCCACCGTCAGGAACACGGATGAGCTCGTCGACGGAGCGGCCAAAGGTCGTGGGGAGCCATTGCGCGTGGACGGGGATGAAGTAGTCGCGGCCGCCAGCTACTCGTAGGACGAGGACGTCTTCGAGGGAGGCGCGGCCGTAGTTGAGGGATTGGGCGAGCGTGACGTCGTCGACGAGGGCTTGCAGGAGGACTGTTGCCGTCTCGCCTGGCTCGAGAGTTACGTCCTTGCCGAGGTCGAGCGGATCGCCTCCTGCTTCTCCAACCTCTGTGGATAGGAACCGGAAGGTTAGCCATTTTGGTGGAGGGGTGGGAGACGACGCAGCATCCCCTTCTTCTATTATTGATGGCTTGTCAACGAAGGAGAAGGTTGCGGGAACACCTCCGGTGTTTGCGACGGTTAAGGTGCATGTTTGCTTGGCTAAGAAGGAGACGTCGCCGAACTCAACGGCATCCCCGTTCGAGCCGGGCTCGTGGCCCGATTTGGAGGTAGTGTTGTAGTGACGATCCACCAAGATTGTAATGTTGGGTCGCCCTTCGTTCTCCGCTCTGTCAAGTTCACGGGCGACCTCGGCATGGACCTTGGCCTTCAGCTCCGGGACGACCGCATCGTAGACGAGAGTGAATATGGAGACGACGGGCTTGTGGTCCGAAGACGTGATTCTCTGGTGCGAGGTGTACAAGTCCATATGGATACGATCCGTAAAGCCCGCCTTGGTCACAACTTCCTCGCCGCCCTGAGTTTCGTCTTCCCCCTCGTCGTACTCGTCGTAATCAAATTCCAAAGTAGACGATTGGGTGTTCTGGCCATCGGACTCTGGATCATAAGAAAACAAGACGTCGTCATCTTCGGCAGCCTCGTCGATACCGCGCGCCTTGAGCTGCTCGTCTCGTTTCCTAGCTTCTTCCCTGTCCCTTTCTCTTTGCTGATGCACCTCCAAATCTTTCCTGGTGCGGTACAGTATGCGGTCACACCAACTAGGTGCACGCTGCTTTTCGCTGGAGTCAAAGAGGCAAATGGTTCCCACGTCATATTTGTAGGTGGGTAGAAAGGAAATATCAGCTTCGCGCCATCCATCATAGAGGATCTTTTTCTCTTTCATCAAGCGGAGAAGCTGATCATGGGGTAATAATGAGTCCAAGGTAGCCTGGAGGGATGCTGGGTCGTCATGAGGATCAGGCACAAAGTCATCTGGATCTGGTAAAGAAGTCTCGGTAGTCCCAGAGAAAGAGCTATTGGGCGATGGGCTAACACTTCGGTCGGTAACAACCTCGTCTTCGGCGTCACTTTCTGATTTCATTATAATTACGCCTTCCTCGAGCTCGTCGCTCTTCGCTTTCCTGGATAAGTCGTACTCGCCCTGGGTATGCAGCCATAATAAGTGGCGGATATCATCCCCCGGTAACCCGTCGACGCGGAAGTTCAGGTCCCCAAACCAAAAGGCAAAGTCTTCATCTCCAATCTTCTCTGGTTCGTCCTCGACAATCCCGGCGTTATTTACGGGGTCGAAGCGAGAACGGGAGAGAATCTGCCCCACGTCCCAGCAGCGTCTGTCGAGGTAGGTCTGCTCGGCGCCGCTGGCGAGGTGTGAATTCACAAAGACCAGTCGTGTGGTCTCACCCAAGACTAAGCGAGACGATATGGCGCCCTTGTTCCCCATGTAACCGAGCAGGCCGGTGCCCACCTGTATGGTACTGACGTCGCTGATTGACGTGATGACTTCGGGGGAGGCGTATATTAGGAGGAGTAGACCGGACATTTGCTCGGCCACCACAAGTTGGTAGCCCTCGGGCATGGCGGCTTCGAGTGCGAGTTGCCATTTGTCCACGGGGTTGATGTCGGAGTATACGCGGTTATACGCCTCCGTTGCCAGGCCGAGGTCGACAATCTCCTGCAGGCCCAAGACATACAGGCCGATCTTGTCTCCCCCGACAAGTCTCACATCATCTCCCTCGTCGGTGGGAGGGTTTGATGACGTCGCAGTCAACGTGGTAGTAGAGTCTTTCGTGGCAAGGACGGACGACAGGGCGGGATCGACACCCTTTCCGTCGATGAACCATGTTGCGAGGTCCTTGTCTGTGCCTGTGCAGGCAGCAACATTCCAGGTGCCGATCTTGATCCGTATTCGGTGGGGTCGGACGTACTCGGAGCGGCGGTTGTAGACGGCTCGGGCTAGGGAGTGGGGAGTGCTGGTATGGGCGTTTTCGGCGGGATCGGAGAGGTGGGATGAACGGACAGATGGCGGCGGGCCAGCTTCGGACGACATGGTGAAGGTCGAGGGATTAAGGGAACTGTTTGAAAAGGAGTTGCAGCAGCAAGAATGCCGACGCCGGGTTTCACGTCAGTGGAAAGCTGCGGACGGGACTACACGGCTAGCTGGGGTCGAGAGTCCAGGCACGCATATTGGTGATTCGCGTCGCGTGGGTCGAGATCGATGACGTAGGGGCGTAGCAGCCAGTGGTTCTAGAAGTGGAAGGAGGGTAGGGGCAGGGGCAGAAATGGTGCAGAGATCTCGTCAGGGTGGTAGAATACAGACAGAAGAAGTTGAGAGCTTGCAACCGTAGAGTCTTGGATGAATTGACTGATGAGTAATAATCTTACACACTACCGGATGCGTACACGTATCGTGGGCCGTGGCGGGCTACGAAGGAAAGAGAGGTTGGGGTGGGTATTATTGGCGTTTCAATGGGTTTGATGCGTCTCTGAGTCTGTTCCACAGTGTTGAGCCGCCAGGCGAGCAACAGCTACTAACAATTTTGGAGGGGCAGTGATCAATTGATGACTAAATTGCCCCACTCTGCTGGATCTCCGAAATCTTGAAGCCAAGCCATCCCCTGGCCCAAGTGGCCACCTGGAACAAGTCCTTTGAAGGAGCTGGATTCATACTGGATTATGAATCAAAGTTCTGCTGTTTATCCATAACCACGAATACGAAGTAGGGGAGTGGCAGGATGGGCTCCAAGCTCTTACTAAAGTTGCGAGCACTTCGTTCGTATTAGCAATCATCCCCGAGCACCGCTGTCAGTCGCCGATGCAAAGTCGGCTTGATCAAGACGATGAGGGCGGTTGTGCTTGTACTTGTCATAGATTTCTTAATTCGCGACAGAGTGTCCGAAGTACCGAGGCAGCGTACCTGCATCCGGGCTTCCCTTGAACAGTCACTACATCCATTTCAGGACCGACCCATCCGGTACTGTTAGTTTGGGGGTGTAAATCGATCTCCTACTTTAGGTGCACATCAATTGATCTCTTGGCAGATCTACCAGTAGTAGTGGGTAGTGGATAGCTAGATGGAGACTGAGCTGCGTTGGAATGGGACCTGCCCTTTGCGAGGGCGATGCGTGGTGAACTTTGATCGACGTCTCGAAGGCCCTGATGATATCACCACCGGCATCGCCCTTGCAGGACCAGGGGCACTGAACCCCACGTGACCAGAAGGTGGGTGGCGAGATTAGAGATCACTTTTACCACTCTGGGATTAATGGACGGCTTCGGCGACCAGCCATCTTCTCTGACCTTGGCATCAAAAGATTTGAAATAAGTTCGGCGTGCTTATTATATATCTCCGAGGCATCTCCCTTCAGCACAGTAGCCTGAAAGCGGCTGGCGGATCGATCCCGCAAGTCAACCGGCAGAAAAAAAGAAAAAAAAGCTGCAATTCGCCTTCTTCAGTCGTCATTGGACCTAAGCACGTCAACGCGACCCCTCCTTTACAGTTGTATAATACCTCGCTGTCTTCTTCGATTTGTTTCACTTATTTTTTTTTCTCTTTCCTTTCCCTTTCCCTTCCGCACACATGTCTTCTATTTTCAGTCGTTTGTTTTCTTGGAGCACCAGACCACCCGTAAACATGGAGCAAGCTACCGCCAAGGCCCAACAGCTCATCGACCAGGGCAACGTCGGTACGTTATCTTGATGTCTTTATCTGGCGACCCCACCATCTGCAGTCCACCCCAGATTGATATTGTGATCTGCTGCCGCTCTGTCCCGAGACGGTCGATGCAGAGTGGACGAGACGCATTATTCCACCTTGGGTTTCGTTAAGGTGAAACTTGAATTGACAAATGCCTTGTCGCTATTTAGTGGTCTTTTCCAAGTCGTACTGTCCTTACTGCAAGGCGACGAAGAGGACTCTCGAGCAGCTCGGCGCAGACTTCACCGTCCACGAGCTTGACCAGTTGCGTAAGTTTCACCAAATCTAGTTTCGCGCAGCCATAGAAAAACCCCAATCCTGGAGAAACACTGTTCATATCTTTGCGCCGCGTCGCGCCCAAATGTCCCTGTTAATCTCGGTGCTAACCTCCAACAGCCGACGGTTCCGCCATCCAAGATGCGCTCGAGACCATCACCAGCCAACGGACCGTCCCCAACACCTTCATCAACAAGAAGCACATTGGCGGCAACTCCGACCTCCAGGATCTCGTGAGGCGGGGCGAGCTGGAAAAGCTCCTTCGCGATGCCAACGCCGTGAAGCTCTGAACAAGCGGAGGGGTCTTCTTTTCTTTGGAACCTGAACATTAGCATATTGTTTATTACGAATACCTATGGCGGCGCGCAACGGAATCGCAGTTCCTTTTATTTTCAGTGGGAGAGTCTACGGTGTATCATCAAGATGTTGTGTGAGGAAATTCCCATGTTTTAACAGCCGGGGGGAGACATTCAACCCCCTCAAAATCAACCAAGGGTTTATTAGTACACGGACTCGCAACATAGACGTAATACAGAATCCTTTGACGAAAGTCGCTCCCGAGCCTCCTTTTTTGGCAGTCCTTTTTTTCTAATCATAGCCTTTTTACACAACCTGGGCCGCAACGGTGCCAACAGGCCTCTCGACAAACTCCATGACGCCATCAATAATGCTGTGCCTCGCTGGCTCAGACGCAACCTTCTTCCCGGCGAGATAGTTCAGCCACAGCAGCCTCGACACCCTCTCATCATCCACCCTACCAATCTCAACCCGTCCAGCCGAGCTCTTATCATCGTAGACGACAATCAGCCTGCCCTTTGCATCGCGGCAGAGCAGAAGCTCCCGGTTCTTGGGCACCTTTCCGCGGTTGAGGAGCTGCTTGAACTCCCTCATGCTTTGACCGAACGCCTCATCGCTGTAGTTGGGGTTCCCCTGCGACCGCGCCGTGATGGCCCTTATGAACCCGTCCCTAAGATGGGGGAAATCCGTATCCCGCACAGGTGCGATGCGGAACGCTGTGCGGACGCCCGACTCACGCAGCGCCGTGTCCCACGTTGACTCGCCTTCCTCGGGGTTTAGGAGCGTGGCACGGAGTTGTTCGCGTTCGCCGGCTACGAGGGTCGTGGCTAGGTTGTTGACCTTTTTGACGAGGTGGTTTTGCAGGGCGGCGATGTCGGCCGTCGCTACGTAAAAGCCGACGACGTAGACTTGGATGTTTAGGAAGGTGACGGTGCGGAGGCCCAGGCCGACTAGGGTATATTCGGTGCCGATGTCGTCGCGCACCGTCGCGGGGAGCTTAGCGTCACCTTCTGAGGCGACCTTGGACAGGTCTATTGTCCTCGGGAAAGTAGGCACGGTAGAGTTGCCCGTGGGCACAATCTCGTTGCCTTCCGCGTCGTGCACGACGACCTTGCGTTTAGTTCCGCCGTCGACCGTGAAGGTTTCCGTGGGGACGTTGGAATCGAGCTGCGTCTTTTTATTCTTGTCGTCACTTTGTTTGGCGAGGGCGTCCTTGAGCTTGAGGGAGGTGTAGATAAATCCGACGATACCAGCTAGAGCGCCAGCGGCGAGGAAGGCCATGCGATCCCGTTCGTAGCTTTGGCGCTTGTCCGATAGACGCTTGATGTTGAGGTTCTCGGTGGCGCGGTGGGATGGCGTGTTGCGGGACAGGAAGGTCCGGCGGAGGCATGGTCTCGCTACCGGGGATGCCGGGATGCCTCGGGCGAGAGGGCGGAGGAGGGTCCGAGTAGACATTGTGATGGTTTCTGTTTTGGGGGGGGGGGGGGGGGGGGGGAATCTATAAAATTGAGGTGTAGAGGCCGTGGGAGAGAATAGTTGTTTGTGCTTAGAATGGATGCAGGGCCATGGAAGCAGATTTCGATGAGCTCCAAGTTGTGCTGTCTCCGAGGTTGCTCGGAAGAAGCTTCCTGCGTGTGGCTTGCTTCAATTGGCACCAATTGTTTCTCAAGGAGAGGTATTCAGCCTAACAAAGGTATTCCCGCTATTAATTGAACCCGGGGTTATGATTAACTGGCCTGCTTGTGGCATCGGCCAAAGGTTAGAATGACCTGATGAAGTTGAAGATGTTTTCAACGACGTCAGACTTGGCAGTCTCGACTGAATTAATAATAGCAGCAGCCATTTGGTCCGATACATTTCGGCGTCGGGACAAAGTCAAAGGCACTGCCCACTGTCAAATGCATGTCGAGTTAGAGGGTCACGTGAATCATGTCCTGTTCCAATTACTCAGCGGGGTCACCTTTCAAGAAAGAGCCACCCAACCTAGGTTATCTAAATATTGAAGCTTTTGAAGCTTTCATCCAACATCAAAGAAGTTGGCGATGTCTTTTTTGCCCAATTCGAACATAATATTGGTTCCATGCCAGCAAAATTGTATTTTTAGAACATCTCAATCTCCTTTTTTTGCCATCCTTTCTCCCGCTTCCTAGGTGGCGTCCCGGTTCCCGCCTGGTGACGGAGACCAAAGTTTAGATGTGTTTCCCAGCGACCAAACCAACCCCACTTCAACACACATGTGCATCAATCAAACTGGGAGAGGGGTGTGACGCCATTTGCCGAGCCTGGCGGAGTGTGGCATCCTCTCGTCCTGACTGGCCCGACAGCCCTCTTCCTAAGCGCCAGCCCAACACCATCCAACGCCATCACATCGGTTCTGGGAAGTAGTACCATGCTACGCTACGCTGTTGAGGTGACTCAGAGAGGATCCCAATTTTAGGATTGGATTCGGTTCCGGTGGTGATCTCAAAAAAGAAAGGAAATAAAATATCTCAACCAGTTCTCTCAAGAAGCGAGGGGCCTAGAGCAGATATCAAAGAGGGGTAGGTACGTAAAGCTCTGAAGGAGGCTGAGATGTTAGCCACGTGCCCGTGTGTATAAGTCAAAACTTCACCTCTTGATCCCAAAAAGGCTGTCACCAGCGTACGTGGACGGACATGTGTTCGTGATTTGAAGCATGGCGCGTCTGTGTCATTCCGAGACCTTCGCCTGCGAAACTCGGGGTGGCCTCGTCACCCGATTGCGCTTACGCTTACAAGTCTTGCCGGAATCTGAGTATTGGGGCCTCAAAGAACCCCTCTACGGCCTGAACTCGCGGGGTAAGTCCCGGGTTTACAAGTAGTCTAAATGCCATATTACATGCAGAGCCAGGACTGCAGATAGCTACGCTAGCTTCTCGTACTTCGTAGTTGTCGTGGTATTGAATGAGCAAGCTGTTCGTCCCGTCGAGGAAAGGAAAGAGAGCAGGGCATTTCAAATCCGGGGGTGACGATTGTAGTCCCATCAGGTTCGATCCCATTATTAATGACTCCAATATCTGTCCGAGACAGGGACTAGAATTGAATTCCCGAGTTTAGAGCCTCCAAAACAGTGGAAGACGAAGTGAGCTAAGGCTTGTACTATTTTTCGCTGGACGCAGTAGCTCCTTCCTTGACATGCTCATGCATTGATGCAGGTGCCCAGGAAGGACCCAAGAGAAGAAAGAGGAGCTGATGTACCCTTTTGGAGTCGGGAATTGATGTACCGCATACTTTGGTCTGCCCGGAATTTACCCCTTACTTAAGGTACCCCGTACCCCTCAGATCTCCATTCCTGCCCTTCCAGGTCGTCTCCCTCTTTCTCGACATTGAATTGTTTTTCTTTTTTCTGATATTCCAGCGAAGAATCCCATCCCAGAGATTCAAAAATTCCACTCCGACTTCCCTCTTCCAAGCAGGACGAGTCCTAGTTCTCGTCCCCTACTCCAAGCATTTCAGAGAAACATACAGACAGTCTCCGAAGGTACGCGTTGGACAGCACCTCTCTCACAAACCAGCTCCGCATTCCCCGGCTGAAGGAGGAGTTAACTGTTCACCCATTCTCTGCAACTCCTCCTGGTAGGCTCTATTTCAATCAAATAGCTGTTTCCCAGCCTCGAGCTCCCCCACCACAACTCCTCTTTCTGTGATGCTGACCGACCCCCTCAGACGCAGAAAACGAAGCGAAACATAGCCACCTAGACTATAGGCCGGAAGCGTCTCAAGCAGTCTCCCTCATCCCCATTCTCAGCGGAAGCAAAGTCCAGTCATCCGAAGCGAAGCATCGAGTTGCTCGCGATCCTCGACGTCTCACATCTCGAGCGTCGTCCCTCCAGCACGGTCGTTCCAATCTCCGCCCCACCTACTGGGTCCGTGCCAACAGAATACGACACACTGTTCCGTCGCACGAGTTTCTCGCTGCAATTGTCGTAAGTCTGCGGCTTTCCTTTCTCATTGCTCACTGTGCCAATGTGGTCCCCCTGCCTTGGCATTGCCTCGCCTCTGTTCAATGTTGTTGGTCGTTCTACTTTGGGTTCCAGCTTGTGCCGCACTACCAACTCTGTGTATACTTGCCAGCCAAAGTCGAACAACACCTCGATACCTCGCAGCCCACTTTCTCTTGGAGTCATATATCTTTACGATAATAATATTGCACATTCTCTCACGGAGCTCCCAGACTTGGTTTTCCTCCTGCGACACGACTAACCTCACCGACAACAGTCTGACCAGCGAAACTTTGAGCCCTCACCACCCCTGTTCTCCGTGCCCAACCCACAGGGCTGACCCTCCCCGCCCCCCCCTTCTGGTCGACTTGAGACGACACGACGACATCGCAATACCACCAGCCACCCTCGACATCCACCTCTGCGAGCCCGCCTCCATGTCAGATATCGCTTCACCATGAGACCAGTTGCTCCCTCTCTCGACGTCATGGCCGCTACGGCGAATGCCAACGCTGAATCCAACGACCAAGCCTCCCGCTCGTCGTCCACCATATCATCACCACTCGGGCCCGATAATGAGGAGTCCGACTTCTTCATGAACAACGATGACTCGGAAACTTCTCTAACGGTGCCTAATTTCCAGGCGATGAATGTCCGCGACAGCTCCCCCGAAGAGGACGCCATCCAAGCCCCGATCCACCGCTTACCAAACGAGATACTCATCAGCATCTTTGCGAAGCTTGAGAAGCCGGGAGAGATTCTTCAATGCATGCTGACTTGCAAGAGGTGGGCCCGAAATGCTGTCGATCTTCTCTGGCACCGCCCGCTGTGCTCCTCGTGGGATAACTTTGAGATAATCTGCCGCGCCATGCGGAACGAGAAATATCAGAACCCCTACTTCGCGTACCATACCTTTATCAAGCGCCTGAATCTTGCAGCCCTGGCCGACAGCTTAAATGACGGAAGTGTTATGCCGCTGGGCATCTGCAACCGAGTCGAGCGCCTGACACTTACCAACTGCGAGGGGCTCCACGACACGGGCGTCATGGCCCTCGTCGAGAACAACACCTCGTTACACGCTCTCGATATCTCGGGTCTAGCGCAGATCACCGAGCAGACCATTCTAGCCGTCGCTGCTCACTGCAAGCGTCTTCAAGGCTTGAACATTTCCGGTTGCCATAAAGTGTCTAATGAGAGCATGATTGAGCTCGCGAAGAACTGCCGTTACATTAAGCGGGTGGGTTTTTCTCTTCCTTCTCCCTTTTTTGTCCCTCCTTCTCTCTTTCCCTACCAGAGCCTGAACCGTCCCCCCTCCCCCGGCCCTCAATAATGCTTCTACGTACTGACCCTCGACTTCTCAGCTTAAACTCAACGGATGCCACCAGCTACGCGATGACGCCATCCAGGCCTTTGCCGACCACTGTCCAAACATCCTCGAGATTGACCTCCACGAGTGCCTTAACATCACCAACGAACCCATCACCGCCCTCTTCCTCCAAGGGCGAGCACTCCGAGAACTCCGACTCGCCAATTGCGAGCTCATCAATGACGGCGCGTTCCTCTCCCTGCCCTCGGACAGGAAGTACGAGAACCTACGCATCCTTGACCTCACGGCATGCGCGCGCATCACCGACGCCGCGGTCCAGAAGATTATGGAAGTCGCACCACGACTGCGCAACGTAGTGCTCGCCAAGTGCCGCAATATCACTGATGCATCCGTGTACGCCATTTCCAGGCTCGGCAAGAATCTCCATTACATCCACCTAGGGCATTGCGGGCAGATCACCGATGAGGCTGTGAAACGCCTAGTCCACAGCTGCAATAGGATTCGGTATATCGATCTAGGATGCTGCACGAACCTCACGGACGAGTCTATTATGCGCCTCGCTACCCTACCCAAGCTGAAGAGAATCGGGCTGGTGAAGTGCAACCAAATCACGGACGAGTCCGTCATTGCGCTGGCGCGGCGCCACACTCGCGCTCGACGCGATGCGCACGGAAACTTTATCGGGAACGACTATTACGTGTCCAGTCTAGAGCGCGTTCACCTTAGTTACTGCCTGAATCTTACTCTAAAGGTGCATTTTCTCTCCCTTCTCTCTCTCTCTTTCCTTCTCTTTCCTGGTAGCAGAACCTTGCTGACTTTTGGCACTGCAGAGCATCATCCAACTACTAAACGCATGTCCTCGCTTGACACACCTGAGCCTAACGGGTGTTCAAGCCTTCCTCAGGGACGAGTTCCAGCGGTTCGGACGCGAAGCACCGCGGGAGTTTACTGAACACCAGCGGCAAGTGTTTTGCGTGTTTTCCGGAAACTGCGTGAACCAACTCCGGGAGTATCTCAACTCCGCGAGCGAATACCAGAACCTCCGAGGTGAAGGTTCGAGGTTCCGTATTACCCAACCGGCGGCGGGGTCGGTGCAATGGATACCGCTGATCGGGCCGGATGTGGGCGAAGAGCAGGATGCCGAGGGACCTAACATGCTGGACGGCAGCGAGGTGGAAGCTAACGGAGTGGGAGTGCCGCCTCCTCCCCCGCCTCCACCACCTGTGCCAGCAACATTACCTGGACCTCCCGGACAGGCGGTATCTATTTTAGCTACACAAGCACCGAGCCCCGAAGGCACGCCCGAGTCTGGACTATAGCATTGAGCAATTTCTTTCTTTTTCTCTTCTCTTATTCTTTTTTTTTCCCTTTCCATATAAGATTGGTAGAAAAATGATTCCCATTTCATAGCGTCGGGAAAGAAGTCTCTGGCAGAGGTCGGTCGGCACAGGCACAGGCACAGGCACAGGTTGCGAAGTTTGCATTAGCAGGGTCACACACACACATACGCAGAACACACGATATAGAGCGCATGATTAAGAAGGGAACAAGGGCATTAAGGGCATGGAATCTGATTTTTCTTCCCTTTTTGGACGTTTTTTTAAACATTTTTCGCCAATGATTATATGACACGCGGCGTACTGGACTGTATTCGGTACAGCCTCTCAGACTGGAGAGGCATGGGAAGGATATATTCTGGGAAGGACATCAGTGGAACCGGTGGTAGTGGGAGGTTGTAGTTTATATGGGCTGCGTTTGCATTGACAGGTCTTTTGCCCTTAGGCGGAGAGGCGATTGTTCCCAAGGCCTTGTATTTCTCTTTACCACGTTCTCCTCTTTACTCGAATACATATATTTAAAGTTATTTTTATCCTTTTCTTCGCAGGCTTATATTTCAGAGTCGAGTGACTTCTTTGATCCACTGAGGCGCAGAGAGAAGAGGGCATACGCGTTCGTTGTGGAGATCACCAGAGATCTAACAAGTTTTGACAGCTTTCGGAAAGCTTCAGATCCACTGGTTTCTATCCACTGTCCACTACCTCCTGTCTCGTATATCTGTTTATCCTGGGATCATGAATGCGCGAAGGTCGAGAGGATATGCGTATTCCTGGGATGAAACAGGGATACGAAAATGATTAACGTACAGCGGGTTCTTTTCCTGGCCCTCATCTATTTTTAACAAGCTTTGGCAGACGCAAACCTCCGTGGCCAAATCACGGATGGCGAAGGGGTCGAGTCTCAAACGTGGAGGCTTCAAGTCTTACCCCGCTATAGAGGCTGTGCTAGCGCCAGAGTCTCTGGGTTTCCTACGGAGTAGTTTAGTTTATGTTTCGTGGGTGGAGTTTACTCTGTCCGTCCCAAGAGAGCCACAAGTCGCGTGCTATTATGTCTCTTGCACTCGTTCCAGGGACAGTGTCCAAGTCGGTACGAAAAGGCCGGGCAATGTTTGAGGAGGCGCTCGCCCCATTTTAACCTTGTTAGAGGTTCCGTGGCGGTGGATATTATTAAGTCGGCGGCGTGTGGGTTCTCGAGCAGCATTGAGGCGGTTCAGCGGTTTGCCCCATCCGTGACCAATCAGTTGGAGCAGTTTTGGGTTTTGGCGGCGCTGCTCAGGGGATGAAAGGTGGTGGTCGAAGCGTGGTGGTCCATGAGCTTTTTTTCACTTTCTGGACCTGGAATGATTGGGTTACGAGTGTGGGATGGGATTGAGTTTGTTGGGAGTTTTGGGGAAGAACCGTTCGAGTTCTTGACGCCTTCGACAAGTAATAAACGGGACGGTGGGAGCATTGGTACAGGAACGAGTACGAAGTAAGGTTTTTCTATTTCTGTGTTCATTGTTCTTGGTACTGGAAAAAAGAGGGCTTCAGCTCCCGGAAGGGATGCTGACCGAAAGGTCTTGTCCTGGACGGTTTCCATCCAAAGTGGTGTGTCCATGGTGTGAGGTTAATTTCGGGTCCTTGTGCACTGGAGTCTGCCAATATTCGCAGCTTGTTGGAGGGAGATCGACAGAGACAGTCACGAGCGCAGCACGAGATTTTTTTAGAGCTTTCCTCTCCTCCAGGCTGCAGTATTTTCTCATTCTGATGGGAATATCGGACTAGATTCCCGTGCGGGTGGGAGGATGGGACATCGTGGGAGGGTGTGACCTTCCGTTCCGTCGACTAGTTGCAGAACTATTGATGGTTTCATGCATTTTCCGGCGATGATACATTGGGTTTGGGGGGTAGGAACTGGGACGGTTTCTCTGCAGAGAGGGGAATGGAGGAGAGACATTGAGGACACGGTTCGCGCTATCTCTTTTGCAGAGAATAAGCAATACCGTCTCCGTGGGAAAAAACGAGTACGAAGGGAAGGGCTGACCTGTATTTGCGGGAGGAAGGAAAGAGAGGGTCCCAGGAGTTGCGAACCGATCACTATCGCAACGCGCTAATTGCCGATCCTGAGGCTGGGTTTGTCTTGAATGTGCCCGTCGGCTAGCATTTGGAATAAGAAGCAGCATTGGGAGGGACAAACTGGACCGCAAGTGGGTTGAGTGAAAACAGGAAAGGATGAGCGTTTTCCAAGGTACGAAGTACACCACATCGATGATGGACATCGAGACAAGGGAAAAGGGAAAACATGATGGTGTGCAGATGTACCTCCCCGGAGAGAGACCTGGTGGAGCTAATAGAACCAGGGGCGTTTCTAGTATCTGTTCAGGACAGGAAGCCCGTTCGGCACGCCGCTCCAAGTGGTGGCGCCGTCACCGCCAGCGTCAGGGGATTCGGGAACGAGTGGCCGAGCAGCACCGGCGCTGGTGCAACGGCGGAGCCAAAGAAAGGTTTTTTTTCCTAATTTAGACCCCCTTTTTCCATTCAAGCCAGCCAATTTGTCTCGCCGCGAGCCCCAGCCAGGGCCATTGAATTGGTCTCTTTTTTGCTGGTCGGCGCATGATCCGACGGGACCACATCATCGAACCCACGATTGCGCACGTCGCGGCTCGTCGATTGGACGCTGGGGGTTTATTTGTTGAGGGAAGGAAGGGAAGCATCTTCCTGGTAGCCATTTAGTCTATATACTTGCGCACCTTGTGGGTGGGAAGCAGAGAATACAGACAATGGGTGTCCCGATCTAAAGTTTGACTTTGACCAGACCTTGGAGCTTGGGGGAACAGGGATGGATCAAATGGATCAAACGGGATACATTGCGCCTGCTCGAGAGAAACTAAGATTATCGAGCGAAGCGCAGGCAGCACTGGAATGGTTTAAATTGTCGCACCACCGTCGGTCGCTTTTTCACCTAGTTCACTAGTCGGTCTTTGTTGTTTAATACCGTTGAAGTATTAAACTATTACTTGAAAAAGAGGCTTCGATACGACTCTGGCCCGTGGTTCATTTATTTGGAGCGGGCATCCCCAACCCTTTGGTTCTTGAGTTGTTTCGGTTCCCTGGCCAGCCAACTTTTTGGTTTAATTTTATATATTGTTATTCCCTTTGCTTCATCGAGGCTTGCTTTCGCCCGTTCCGCGTCCGGCATCTCGTGCGTTGTGTCGACCGCTCGCTGCATGTAATATCTGTCCCGTCCGCCGATTCCTCTTCCTCGCCTTTGTGCCGAGATCGATACACCGACCAGAGAGAAAGCGGCTCGATCTAGAGACTGGCTCTAGAAACTTGATCTCCCCCTTCTCGAGAAGAAGCATATTCGACGTGTCTCCCTCCATCTTCGCCGCCCGTCCGACCTCCATGATCGACGTCCTTGCTTTCTGCAAGTTAAATTGACCAAGAGTGATCGACGAACAACACCATCAGTCGCGAAAACTGGCAACATCACGTCTTTCTTTTTCCTGCATTCCTAGACGTCTGGGCCCCTGTTTCTCATATCATATATGGAAAGTAAGGTATGTGTATGCCGTGCGTCTCCAAACGCGTAACCCCTTCTTTCGTCTTCCTACCAAGTCCTGTTTGCCTTCCCCCTTGTCCCCTTGTCGCTCTCGTCCGTGTCCTGCATCTTCTCCTTCGGCCGGGTCCTGTGCACATCGATACCTGGATCACCCGAAGTTTTGGGAGAGACTTATCGATTAAAGCTACATCAGACTCCCGTCTTGGCACTTTGTACCTTAATTCATCCTCCGCTCTTGTTGCTTTTGCTTCCCATCCTTTCTTCACCTTCGAAGACTTGTTTTCATATCATATTACCTCCTTTGTTCTCTTGCTTTCTCTCCTCTGCATGAATATTTCTCCATTTTTTTGGGTCTCGGATCGAACTGCCAGCTAGTTTACCTGCTCTGGGCTTTCGATCTTGTTCCACTCCCGCCCATGTCTCTCGCTGTCTTGTCCATTCCACTCGGGTCCCGTCCATCGCTTTTATACCATTTGATACTTTATCCCTCCTTCACCTCCCTTTCATTTCTTTACTCTTATACCCTTCTGCTCGTATGGTCTCGCTTAGTCTGAGGCAAAACATTACCCGGCAACGAAACCTGTCTTTTTCCCGTCCGTTATACTCGGTAATATATAAGTCTTATTATTGACACTTTCCACCTTGGCAAAATCTAGAAGCCGGGTATAGAGACGGTTTAATATTAAGAAAAACTCAACGGTCCCCCTACAAAACCTTAACGAGTCCTGTCCTATTTCTAGAAAAAGGAGCACCGCGAGTACCCCATTCACATCTACTCTCCATCCAGCAGATAACAGATCAAACGCAACCACCAACCATGAAGATCACCAAGAAATTTGACCGCGCCTTCCATTGGGCCGGCGAAAAGATGGGCTCCGAGGCCAAGACGAGCCACTCTGACGAATTCAAGATGCTAGAGACCGAGATGGCCCTGAGGATCGACGGCGCCGAGCGCCTGCACAAGTCTACGACGGCCTACGTCAAGTGGGCCGGGAAGCGGAACGAGGTGTTTGAGGATAAGGAGAAGGGGCTTCCGGGGAGTTATTTGGGGAGGACGATGGTGAGCCATGGCGAGGACTTTGAGCATGATTCTGAGTACGGAAACTCTTTGATTGGTATGTTCCTTTGGAGAGAGATATACTTGGGTGTTTGTGAATGATGCTCTGTGCTAACTGTGTGTTGTGTTCTTACAGCTGTTGGTCGGACAAACGAACGACTTGCTAGTATCCAGGAACAATACACGGCTGAGATCACGAGCACGTGGCTCGAGTCGCTCAACCGGTCCCTCGCCATGATGAAAGACTACCAGGTATGTTAGAAAAAAAATACAATCCCCCCAACTCACCTCACTAACACGCACATTCCAGGCTGCCAGGAAAAAGCTCGAATCGCGCCGACTCGCCTACGACACAAGCATCTCCAAAGCCCAAAGATCCAAACGCGAAGACTTCCGCCTCGAAGAAGAAGTCCGCTCCTCCAAAGCCAAATTCGAAGAAGCCAACGAGGACGTCCTCCGCCGCATGCAGGACATCAAGGAGGCCGAGACTGACAGCCTCCGCGAGTTGGGCACTTTTCTCGACGCCCAGCTAGATTTCCACGAGCGCTGCACCGAGGAGCTGAGACGCGCGAGGGAAGAGCTGGCGAGTGCTTCGAGGAGAGGGTCGAGTGGGGGGCGGGTTACGGTGTCACCGCCTAGGAGTCGGCCGTCGTTGTTGAATTATTCGTATAGCTCGTACACCAGCGAGAATTCGGTTGGTCGAGAGCAGCAGCATGTTTATGAGGAAGAGTATGAAGAGCCTGAGCAGCATCCTGCGCAGAGAATGGGCTCTGTACGTGTGTCGACGAGACGGCCGCCGCCAGAGGTCCCCTCGCGAGCGCAGACGTTCGGCAGGTCGAACTCCATCGTCGGACGATCGCCGCCCACGCCTTCGCCGAGCTTCGAACACCGCGTGTCTACGCACCAGATGATTCCCATCCCGACGGGCAACATGCGCGCGCAACTCCGCCCCGTCAGCAGGATCAACACCGACGTCACCTCATCCTCCTCGGGTTCCTCCTACTCGCGCGGTCATAACAACGTCTTCACCGACGGATACGACGACGAGACTCCCGACAGCGCCAGTCTGAGCCCCGAATGGGGTCCGTCGGATCGCTGCGCGAGTCCCGCTACGAGCCATAGTAGTTGGAGCAGGAGCACGACGGGGAGTAGTTTTGGGCAGAGGAAGGCGCCGCCTCCGCCTCCGCCTTGTCGGTCGAAGAAGCCACCGCCGCCGATTCCACCGAAGAGGGAGTTTTATTAAGACTATGGGGAGGTTTGTTATTGTACGATGGGGTGAAAATGAGGGTCGGTTTACTTTTATGTTTTGGGACGGCCCTTTATAAATATGCTTGCTGGTCATGACATTTGTAATACTTGGGATAAAAGTTTCATAGGGGTTGGACTTCTTCTTTTGGGTTGGGAATAGGTGTTAGGCTAAAGAATGTGAATCCAAGGGACGAACACGCCACGCAATTCTGGTGGGCGTAAATATTTCTGTGTTTAACGAGCTGTCTGGGCTTTTGAGTGATCTTAACCTAAGACTTGTGAGATACCGTAACCTGTTCGGAGGTGTTAATCTTCCGATGTAATGGGTGCATTCTAAGGTAGAGTGAGGTTCAGGTGGCAGACCGGAAGGAAACGAAGCATGTTATTCGACGTAGATCAGCTCACGCATGAAGATGAAGGTGGAGGTGGGGATTAAGACATGTCTCAAATAGCCATTCGGTTCATTTCGAGAGCTTGAACTTGGATCCCCTCAGCCTTCGACTCCTCAGAGAACAGGACCAGCTTACGCTCTCCAGACCCCCTGGAAATAGGAACCGGGCAGACCAGTCCCGTATACAAAGGTATTCCACTTCAAACTGTTGATACCTGGATTGCATTGCCCATCAGCACCTAAAGTACCAAACAGCCCGTGGCAGTTGTACGTTTGCTCTTCTCTCCGAATACGGAGACGACTGAAATACATCGATATCTTCAACAAGGAGGCTTACGATAACAGGATCTTCAGGAGAAATCAGGAGAAATTGGGATTCGGGTGTAGCCCCTTGATCGGAGGGAGGGAGGGATACGAAGAAGAGGGGGCTTGAGACCAGGAATAATGTTTTCCTCCTTCTCAAGCAAGCATTGTATGTCGCAAACATTCATCTACATGTGGGTGGAGTAACCAACGCAAGCGTTTGCAGACCACCCCTATTGGATCGACTTTTGTGTTTGCCAGGCATCTCCAACCACATTGATCCATTCATGTAGTTGGAGAGACTTTGGCAGCTCTGGCACTCCCAGTCCCCTCATGCGATGGATTCTGGGAGTCTATAAAAAAACCCCTCTTTCCTCCCCTCGTCCCAGCTTTCAAACTCTCCTCCATCATCTCACCTATGCCTGCAAACTCTATCCTTCCTTTACCTTGGTCTATCCATCTACTCTTCACTACGCTATCGAGCTCCGACTGCAATCGTGGGGCAGGAAAAGGAGACAACATCTGGGGGCCTGGTCGTGATTGGTCTAGGAGAGGTAACTATTAATCCCCACCACCCGATGACGAAGAGATCGACGACCAGCTCTAACGACTAGACCTATTGTCAAAAAGGGGACAAGGGGAACTGCCAGGTGGTCCAGTTCTCCAGCTCCTCGAAACACCCAGCCATCTTACACCGCGACAGGAATGGCCCGGGTACCCGATATATCGATTCATCGTTGCCTCGAGCACTTAGACCCACGACGGATCCTCTTCTTGCTAGCGATTCTCGACAACCCTCTGCAGGACGACAAACCGAACATCCCTGTTGAAGATTCGGGCACGGTTATATTTGGGTCAGAGCAACTGGTGTACTGTCCCTGGCAATATTTAGGCTTGAGCCTGGCCGCTGTCGAGGGCACTCTGACTCGCCACCCTCGAAGAAATATACAACCCGGAAACCCACGAGAAAGTAGCAAGATATCGTTTGCCGCAGGAATATCAGGACGGACGAAGACGACATCGAGGCGTGTTCATCCGCCTCTTCTTCTACTTTTATAACGTTATATGCAAGCGAAAAGCACCTTCTCCAAATCTCTTCCATATCCATCATTGGTGTTCATCCTCGTTGAAATTAAAACTCCAATTAGACCCTGTCGAGACCTCGCTTGCAAGATGCTTCAGTTAGAACCCATGATTCTAAGCGGGAACGAAGATCCCAGAAGCTGTCTGCACCTTGAGAGATAACCAGCTGAGTCTCCGGGGATTCACTCTCTATATAACTCTACGGTGCACTTCCGCAAGATCAGTAGCGCCCTCGATGAAGTCCTGGCGGGAGTTGGCCAGCTTCCACGTCAAGGCCGGGCATTCGAAAGGGATACCCAGGAGCTTATCAACCTTTGCTCGGCTCCAGCGTTAAATCTTTTCTGGTAATCCCTGGAATCAGTTCTCGTTTCCCATCCTTATATCGCCATCGCCGTCCCCTGTCGTTTCCCCCGAACCTAACGCTCCGGCCCCCGACGCGGTGCTTGGGTGATGCCGTGCCAGCGATAACTCTGGCACCTCGCCCAGTAGGATCCCGCAAAGTACACCCGGGTGAAGAGGCTGGCTTACTGAGGAAAAGGCCCATCGAAACCCTTCAGAAGGAAAACTTCGCCTGGAAGGACAAAGGGGTCAATTTGCCCATAAAGAACCTCGTGGCTGCTGTCCGCCCCGGCTGATCAACGATATCTTAAACGGCGAACAATGCCAGATAATATCCAAAATTGTTCATATATACCACACGCGCCTTTGGTGCCCTCGGGCAAAACTGCCATTGCACGGTCGTCAAGACATTGGCAGGACTTCAGCCCGTTTTGAAGATATCGACACAAACTTCCATTCATTCCTCATTTTATATATGGACACTACTTACCCGGCAAGAAGCCATCCCGATGAGTCTCCCGGCCGGCTCCCCAAGCTCACACAGCTCTGTTTCTGGGACCCTTAAAAAGCATCAGCATGCTTTTGCAGAAATATATCGACGACATTTTGCGTTGCGCCCCCTCCCCTCTAAGGGCACCGATTAGCAAGAATGTCTCCTTCTCGCCGCTCAATTGCAGCCCAGTTTGAACACCACCACCACCACCACCACCACCACCGCGCAGTCCATTGTACGTTGCCATTTCCCTCCCCCCTTATATGTCGCTTTCCTTCGCGGTGCTAACTCCGCTCATGCTCCGTAGGATCAAACAATAGCCCTCAGGAAGTCTTCGACATTTCTCTCTTCCCACTCGTACCGATTCCGAAACGGTTCGTCTTGAGCCATTCGGCAAAATTCAGGCGCCATTGCTCTCATTGACGGCGACGCTCGTCCGACTGGAGCTGGGCAGCCCTTGATTTCTTCCGAGTGCTTACTGCCTGCATGTGTGGTTTCGTCTCTGGAGATTACTCTTATATACCCGAAAGAAGCTCTTCGTCCACCCTCTGTTATGAACAGAGTTGCACCTGCAGGTGCTGAGGTGCACATTTGCAGATATATCCATCAGAAATCCCGATATAAATAGGGCCATTCTTAGGCAGAGCGACAATGTTGAGATGGCCCTGGGTTTGTTCCGAACGGATATACTCGAATCGAACTTCTATATACGCCAAAAGGCGATAGAGGGTCTCATTGCCCGGAAAAATAATAGACCTGTTATCACCTCTCGGTAGGTTAAACGTGGTCTCCTCAATATCAGACCTGTTGGTGATAAATACTCCTTTGCCGTCACGAGTCTGGCTTCTAACACACAAAGGAGAAATCGAATGACTGATAAAAACGCTTGATAAAGACGCCCGTAAGTGCAAACTAGAGGACAAGCAGCGAAGGCATAAGAGGCAGGAGAGGCAGAATAACAGGCCGGTGCGTATGATCTGGGATAGGCCTTGGCGGCACACCATCAAGGGTTGTGTCTGCCGACCGTGAATGAAGTTGCCCACTCTATCTTTGCAGCCATTAGACTGGTATAATAGATAGCATGAGAGCGATGAAGGATGGGAGAATTTTAGGGACTGTGACAAGCGATTGAGAAGAAGTTCGAATGTGAGCTCGACTGCTTCTACAACGGAGGTTGCGCCTGTCTCTACACAGTTCCCCGGCAGCTCTGGGCGATGAGTGCGGGGATGCAGAGGAGCCTTGAACGCATTCAGCCTACGGCTAGCCCTCTCGAAAACTGTCTTCCTCAAGTTCTCTCACGTTTCCGAGCGTCGAGATCTGGAGATGAAAGCACTCGAAAATATATATAGGCCCTATCATAAAGAGCGGGCCATTGGCAGCCAAGATCGTATATACAACAATGAGCTCCCAAAAGGATACGATACGACGGTCTATATATCGTCAATGCGGTCGATTGATTCGTCAATTCCACGGAGGCAAGTATTTCCGATACCAGGCTGGTGTCCCCATAACGATCCATTTCAATATGCCGCAGGGCGATTTCGACGACCATCTTATCCGCATTCTTCCAGGGGAAGATACCCATCTCCTGTTTACCAAAGTGTTCCCTCCTTAACGCTATCTAGACCACGATTCTCTACGTTTTCCTAGCCGAAGTAGGGAGACTGTCCGGTCCTCACGCGGCCAGATCTGTTCCTTCGCGAAAGGTGCTGCTGTCTTTAGCATCTTGGTTTTTATCGGAGAACATTCGATACAACTTTGCGAAGAATGTCCAGAGCCAGTGGATGACGGCCTCAGCTATATATCATCACGAAGGTTCATGGTATCAAGTATCACGCATACTTGTTGTGGAATGCCCAGAGAAACCCAATGCCATTCGGGTTGGCCAGGCAAATGGGAAGGCGGATCGAAAGCCTGAAGTAACAGGGTTGAGACGAGCATATCCTACTCTTAGCCAGTTAGAGTATTCTCCTTCCGGTTTCTTTTTCATATACGATTACTCTCTACTCTTTCGCCCGACTCTGCCCACACCGTGACTTTCGGGTGCGCGCTCTCTATGCGCAGCTTCCCAAAGGCCGCTCAGCTCTCATTTCAGATATTGCCGCTGAGGATATATGGCACCCATCCATGCGAAGGTGCGAAGAATCCTGCGTCGTTCGTTTTTTGTGCCGCGGCAGATGAGAATCAGGAAGTTCTTCACTTTCAAGCAGTTCCACAACGCACAGTTGGAGCCTCCTCGCTGCGATCTGTCCGGCTGGTAGAGGCCCGAAGGCATTTCCTGGGGATGATATAGCTGGACGGTGTTGACAACCGACTGCACTTGAAGATATTCGAGAGGAGGCCATAGGCAACCTCGGTCGCCACCTGGAGAAGAGTGCGAAAGCACGCCGGATCCCACCTCTCCCTTCGATGAATCGTAAAACCTTGCGCCTCCTGGTGGAAGCGCTCTCTTCAGAATGTGAGACGGCGGCGACGAACGACATGGCAGACGAAGACACCCCCGATGCCGATTTCCTGTCCGGTCTTGTGGATCAGACGTCACTACAATCATTCATATCGCAGTCGGCCGAAGTCATCAATGCCGCCCCCGACGACGCGCAGGCCCGAGATGCCGAGGCCCAAGTACAGCGTGCGTTTACGCTTTTCATCGGTCATGAGTCAATCCCCCGAGGAATCAATCGTCGATTTGCCGCGTTAGTATATACAAGTTTAGAACGATGAAAGGGCGCCAAAGCCATCAGAAGTTTGTCTGATGTGACAGGCGTGGGAGGTACTTCTAGACCGTTGAGCACAGTCCAGTTCGATGTACTGGACGCCGATGACGGCACAGAGAAGGTATCGCATGAACAATCAACAATGTTATATATGTTCCAGTCTCGTCAGCCAATATCATCAGGATAGGGCACTGCGCCGTTCGGGCATTTGACTAGGACTGGAGGACAAGCTCTCTCGTCAGACGCGGCACATTGGAGTTATTTAGAAAGGTCATTTGGAAGGACTGACCCAAACGTGCTTGGCGTGGATTTGGCCCTATTGCCGAGGCGAACGTATAGACGTCTTCCCGAAGAGTTGGGGAAGAGCAATGAAATCGTCCAAGCAGTGTCGACGACTATATATTTCACTTTCACAATCCAGTGAACACATGGCATCCCTTGCCGACATGTCGTCTGGGAATATTTAAAGCAGAAGATGCCCCCGGAACTAGAAGTCTCTTTCACTGCCACTGGTATTGGGAGCGCGATTTAGACACTGCTTGAAAACAGCATCACCATATTGTCCTCGATCCTCATATAGCTAAGGCAAAAGACTGGCAAAAAGGCGCAATTACAGCCCAGAGCCATGTGCAAGATAAGGGCCATAGAGTGACGAGTACACAGCATTAATCGGGATTTAAGCTTGCAACACCACAGGAAAAGTCAGAAATTGGCCTAGAAGTAGAATATATAACTCCAGGAGTTGAGTAATCGAAAATGAGGATATCTACGAACCTGATCGAGGATGGGGGCATATCGAAATGTTGGCAACGAATCTTCTCGTCTAGTTGATCTTACCGGGCTTGATTCATGCTGATGGCGGAAACACTGCTACTATAAAAGAACACGAAGGCAGCCAGAGTTAGTTTGAGAACGTCGTGGATGAGATGTTGAATGACGTGGAAGAGTTGAACGAACCCGTTTCGTGAGAGGAGAGATCGTTCGGGACCAGATACTTCTTCATCAAATGTATACAAGCTAACCTTCTAAGATGCACCCATCGATTTCTACACAATCTTCTCTAGCTTCTGTTCCCAGAGTCGCCCTTGACGGGTTCTGCCTCGGATCTCCTTACAGTTTCGCCGCCCGCACAGTGTTGATGGGTTCACATTCATGAGCATAGAGCGGCTTTTCCGTCTGTCTAAACGATCGAATGCACCTGATTCCATTTCGGAATATTCTGAGAATGGCTTTGCCATTTAAAAGACCGAGGACCCTAAGCACCTTGACACAAGTGTTGGACTAGAAACAGTTGGGGTAAAGCGTGCATCGCTGACCTGCTCCATTTATGAGTTGTTGGTCCCGACTCTATGGAGGGGATATTATGAGCAGTACTACCATACCCTAAAGTCCTAACCTCATCGAAACCCACCAGTGCGTCTCTCCGCAAGAACTTCCAACGCCCTACAGGCCCTCTCGATCACCGGTGTGATAACTTCCATGTTCTCCAGCGCAAACATGCTGAAATGATCCCCCTTCGCCGGAAGCACATCCCTAATCCATCCCTTCCTGTACGCTCCCCATCCAAGCTCCCTATCCGCTCGATGAACGTCCAACCCACTGACGCCCTTTTCAACCTGACCATTCGCCTTCCAGGTCCAAACAGGGACTTGATCCTTTGCCTTGATCAGCACCGCGGGGGGCAATTCGTCGAAGACGGGTAGGGTCCACGCGCGAATCATGGCGGGTGCCTGATTTATGCAAATGCGCGACAATTTCTGCGATTCCGTCGCGTCCGGTCCCAGCGGGGGAAGAGAACTCGACAACGGCGTGAAAGGCGTAGATGGCACGGGTGAGACGGGGTAAATGCTATCAATGAGCAATAACCCGACGACTTCGACGCCCACTTCCTCGTTGCTACTCTTGATGTCCTCCAACTCCTTCATGACCTGCAGCGATAAAAGCCCACCGAGCGACCAACCCCCCAATAGAATCTTCTTCCTTTTCGCCCTCCCCTCGCCCCGCCGCTCCTCCCGTCCGTGAGAAGGGAAATCCGGACTCGCGACCAGCTCGATGATCATCTTGGCGTAAAGCGCCGCCATCTCCGGGATGCCGCCCTCCCATTTCTCACCCGCCCAGAATTTGGGGTTGTGGATTCCATAGAGGGCGCGCGGAATGGTGTCGAGGCAGTTGTAGGCGAAACAGGTGCCGCCTCCGTCGTGCAGGAGGATGATTGGGAGGTGAGATGTGGGGTGGGAGGGATGTGGGGGTTGGATTATTTCGGGGTTGTCCAGCATTTTTTTTCGCGCAAGTCGTTTCGTGCAGTTTCTTGGGCGCGTCTGGTGAAAGGCAAATTCGTGTTACATTTTTAGGAGTGATGGATGAGGTGTTTTTGGGAAGTTGGAGATAAGGAGTGAGGTTACATGAGGTTTGTGATGTGGAGGATGGATGACTGAGGATGCTGAGCCGCAGGGAAATGCGAGGAAGGCGCGAGCCAGTAGCCAGCTAACATCATCCACATCCCAGTAAGACATCTACGATTGGAGAGACGCTCCGAGCAATGCTGACACGTACGGCTCAGCCCCATATGCAGTGTGAAAAAGCAAATGTTTCTAAGGGTATCGAAAATCTAATATTGTTTTACACGGATCTGTAGCGATTCCTATCGTCCCGCCACGTATCCATGAATCTTCCACAGTTTCTTCTGTACCGGTATTGTCTTTACTCGAGCGACCACGGCCATGGTATTGTCACGGAAGATGGCCGAGCCTCGCCGTAATCTAGCGAGATGCGGCGCCCCAAGAATAGAATGGAGGTTATGGACGGGGAGTTTGGATCCGTACACACCTTTCACATCCAGGGTTGTATAGGGCCTTGGAGACATCGAGTCCTCATCAGTCGTCTCCGCACCCTCCCCGTTCTCCGCGGCCTGCCTTCCCGCCCACCAAAGGATGCATCCCTTCATTTTGACAGGTTCAGCATCAGCCCATTCCTTCACGGGCACAATAAACAACTTTCCCTCCTCCTCCACCGCCTTCGCCAGCTCCAACAGATCCGCGACAACCTCGTCCCTCATCATCCCCAGCACAGCTCGGTCCATACCCTCCTTCCACACCGGAGGCCTTTTTCCGGGTAACTTTTGAATGTCCCGCGACCGTGGGCTCATGAGCCTGCCTGATATCCATGAGCGACGCAGCGGTTTTATTTGACCTCGGCACATGACTCTCCTGTGGGCAAGCACGTAGCTCGCAGGACCTCGGCGACCCTCGACGACGTTGAGGGTGCTATTATTTTGAACGAGTATGTCGGACGACGTAGTACGCGTCTTCCGGGTGAGTTCGCTTGGCATCCACCAAGCTGTTTGGGTGGCGGGATTGAGGACGGGTCGGAACTGTTGCAGGAAATATTGGGGGAGTCGAGCGCTTGTAAGGGCGCAGGCGCGGATGGGCTGGGCTAGAGCTTGGGCTGCCAAGGTACGGAGAGGTTAGCTAGATGCTCAGGCAACTATACCCTAACTATTGCAGCGACGATGTGGCAAAAAAAAACACGAACCGTATATGTTCTTGGCAAAGAGCCTCCGCCATCTCCCAGTCGGCTGCGGCTTGGGGCTCTCCTTCGGCTTCGTAAATCGCTGCGCCGTCGCGATCCAGTTAGGGTTCATGACGGGCGATAGCGGCAGCGTCCCCGCTGCCGTCTCGACCGTTTTATTCTCCGCATCAACTTTGATCACGCCTTCGCTCTCGTCTTGTCGGCGAGCTCGGTCGGCAGCTTCCAGGGTGGGCATGCGACCTCTTCGAGGAGCTTCGTCCGAGTACGCGTGTGTCCGGTCATAACGGCGGGCGAGTAGGCGCGGTCGCGGGAGGTTCTGTATGAAGGTGCATTGCTTCATTGCCGAGCAATTGAGCATCGGCGGGTTTTAGAGGAGGAATAGCTGGCGTCCAAGATTGGTTTCGAGCTTGTGGTGGATTTGATTCAGACTGGAGATTTCATCAACGCTTTAACTCAAATTGCATAAGACTGAACTGGACTCGTTTAATAGAACTTTTTTTTTTAATCGCATATTCCCCAACTCGACATCATGGAGCCTCACTCACTTCACTTCATTAAACCGAGGATGATATTGTACTGAAATATTGGAATCACTGCCCCAACAAGATAGAGATGACCTAGGGATTAAAATTGGCATCCCAACTGGCCCAGGACTGCGTCTTGATCCCGTAGATTGTCCTGCCCAATGTGTAGTGGCATGAGGAACCTCTCGAAAACCCAGCAGACTCGAGAAGACCATCTGAGATCAATTGATATTTTCTCTCGGTGCTGCTAGTAAATGGTAAAACGGGCAGGAGAATGGCGTATAATGGTGGCGTTCAAGATACTCAGATGGAGCGTGGGCTATACTACTGAGTCGGCGACGGGTGATGTCATTTACAACGTCACTTGGCATTTCCAAGGGCCATCAATTTCCAGCCAATATGTACTTGAATTTATTGACCTCTCCATCTCTTGAAGTGGCCCTATTTTGAGAAATATATACAGAGAATAAATCGACGTAGCTAATTCGGTCGCTCATTCTGTTTCCATCGTCCAGTGACTTCCATCAATACGTCGCCCACCGCCTCGAACTATCTTGTCCATGATTCGTCCTTCACCATCCAGCCGCCAATACTTCCGGCCCGCTCATTACTTAGAAAGCAGGGTTAGCATTCTGGAGAATGTTAACAAAGAACGCCTGGAACCATTGACCAGCCTCGGGTGCTGGCTTGTGGGCGGACGCGGCGCCGCAGTGGTAGTCGTATCGAACGGCGCTGGTGTCCGAGGTTCCGTCCGATTCACCAGGAGGCTGCATCGTCATTTCACCAAATGGTCAGTAAGCGGCCCACTAAAACGGGTAAAAGTGGGGCGGTTTCTCACCTTCACCCAGACGAAGGCATCGAGCAAGTTGTGGCCGGTATTCGTCGTCGGACGAACCTAGAGAGGTCAGAATCGACTCAATCTTCATCTCAGATGCAGAAATAACTTACTCCGGCGCCAGATCCCTGGACATTGCACCAGTCACCCCACCGTGTGGATGTTAGTATGACACTGTATATCGATACTGTGTTTTGTGTCACATCGAGTCGGGCTGGGAGCTTACCTCGTTCTGGGAAGTTGGCTGCTTGCCGTTGCGGCTCGTGTCCATGAGGAAACGAGCGGGGAATCCGGCAGCTTCCAAGAGAGGGCTGAAGGCCTCGATGAAGTGCTTCTCGTCGTAGTTGGGGTTGGCTGGTAGACGTTAGCTTCAGAGGTCATGTTCCCGAAGGAGGGTTGGGAGGTGAAGAAAAAAAAATAAAAATAAAAATAAAAATGGAGAAGAAGGAGGCAAGGACATACGGCTAGTGTAAGAGGGAGCAGAGGAAAGGCTCCAAGCGTTATAGTTCGAGACATTGGTTACGAGACCTCGAACAGACTTGGGCTTTCCGGCGTCGCGGTAGATCTGGCCAAACAGCTCGGCGGCGGGTCCGATGTTGGCAGGCCAGCCGAGCCAACCAGCGTGACCAGCGTCAAGGTACAGAGCAGTGTTGGGAAGAGAAAGCCTTGCACAAACGATCAGCTTCTGTTATAAAAGAGGGAGAATTCTAGCTGCAGACCCCGGGAAAGATCTTACTGCTTGAGGGCGTAGATGGTAAGCTCCTTGTAAGTGCTGGCGGCGTTGGCGCACTTCTGGACGTTCATGTTCGTGACCATGCTGCGGAGACGATTAGTACCCATCTTAATCCTGAGGACTTCGTGGGGTGGGTAGAGGGTAAGATATTACTTGGCAAGCGAGTCGGGTTCTGTCGCGATTCGGTGTTAGTCAGTACGGCAGAAGTGGCACAAAACTGCAGAGCTCGAAAGAACAATGGCAAAAGAAAGGCTGGTGGAAGGGGGGAGAAGAGGAATGAGGAGGGGAAATAAAAATTGAAAAAAAAAAAAAAAAAAAAAAAAAAAAAAAAAGGAAAAGAAAGAAAAGGAAACGAAAAGTTGGAGAGGAGACTGGCTGCGGGCAGTGTTGGAGTTGAAGCCGGAGCCGGAATGCGGTGTGGAGTCGTCGGAGTGGAGAATTCCGGGGCGGCGTGGGGCAACAGAAGGGGCGGACGGAGCCACTTACCAATAACCAAAATGATGCGGATATCCGAATACTTGATAACATTGGCGCGGATGGAGTCGATGTAAGCCTTGTACTTGGCAACACCGCCGTCGGCGATGGAGAACTCTCCATTGGAGGCAGCCGCGGCGCAGTCCCGGTCAGGAAGGTCATAGACGACGAAGATACCGGCGTTTGGAGGGTTGGCACCAGCATTGTTGGCGGCGCGGATGTCGGCGAGAGCGGATTCCATCTGGGGAACCTTGGCCTGGGTATCCATCCACATGAAGGACGGAACCTTGGCGATGGCCGAGGCCTTGGCAACGAGCGTACCCGTGAGAGACGGGATGGCGAGGTTGTGGACCTCGGAGGAGTAGTAGGCGTTGGCCCACATCTGGACGCCCGAGAGCGGGTTGCCCTCCCAGGTGGCGGTGCCGGAGCCTACCGGGGGCTGCGTGGTGGTGGTTCCGGGAGCCGAGGTGACCCGGGTAGACGAAGTCTGGATAGGGCCCTGGGAGCTCGTGGTTCGGCTGGTGGTGGTGGGCTGGGGAGCCTGAGAGTCGGGGAGACATTGGAAATACCAGTCGTTTTGCTTGACGCAGGTGTTGCCGGAGGCGCAGCAGGTAGCGCCAGACCAGCCGATACCACCACATTGGCCCCTGGAGAAGTTTGTTAGTCTCGGGATTCTCTCTCTTGGAACTCTCTCACAGGGATATGTCCTTACCAGACAGTCTGGCAGGCCTGACGAGCCTCGAGGGGCACGGCCAAGGCGGCCGAGCCGAGGGCGGCGGCAGCGAGGAAGAGGTTCCTAGCAACCATTGTGACTATGTTGCCTTTCCTTGTTTCGTCTCTTAGGATTTGTAGAGCAAGCTTAAGAAGGACCGAACCCGATGGAGAACAACGAACAAAATGAAGACGATGGGTAGGAGCCCGGTCTCCTTTTATCATCGAGCCAAGTTGAATAAGAAATGGCGCCTTTTGAGCATCTCATCTTAAAATGGAGCTTCTGGGAGAGGTATCGGATCGTCGGAAGACGTTTGAAGAGGAACTCCATCTCATGGGTCCATTCCCCAGGTTCATCGGCCCGGCATTGATGGCATCAGGAAACACACAATCGCCGCTAGGCCTCTGGAGCTGAGCGCGATCACACCCGCTCCGCTTGCCACGTTCCATCGTGGGCGGTGGCCACTTGTCTGGGGTTGACCTGGCTCGTTAGTCTTGAGGCCGGTCACCGCGTTCGAACCATTAATTAGTTTGCGGAGAAGGCATCCGTCCTACACTAAGGTGAGAGCAGGCCGCATTGGAAGGCAATTGAGGGCATGAAGAATCTCCAAGAGGCCCAACCTGGCATCTCGTCAGATTTCCTTCCAATCGAACGGGTCCTTCGGCTTCGGACCGCAAGAGGTTGCGAAAAGGGTTACAGCGCCCCTCTCATGAACTGAAGATCGTCCATGAAGACCGCTCGGCACAATTATTTGCGGCTCCTAGATGGTGGAAAGTAAACCCGGCAGTGAGGTGGCATGCGGCCAAATGGAGATTTACAACCCTTGGAAATTTTAAAAACGCGCCCACGAGTCAAAGCGAGCGCTGTTCTGGAGATAAAGTCCGCCAACCAGAAACGAGAGCCAACATTGGATTTCCGAACAACAGTAGCAGGGGACGCAACCCGCGCTGAGGCATTGAACATTTTGAACATTTTCACGTTTTACTTGCCAGCGTCGGGGTGTTCTTGGTCACAATTTAATTGTAAGTAGGGGGTGACCGAGGAGATTGCCAACTTCTTTTTCAAGGCCAAAAGGGGATAGAAAGAAAAGGAGGAATGTGAGGAAGAACGATCAATGTTGAGCTGCAGCCGACCAGTCTGTTTCCCCCTCTTCTCCTGTCATATTCACTAGACACTTGTCTTTGTAAACTCGTCTGCTGTTCTTCGAAATGGTGATCAAGCAAGCAGCCCCACCAGATTGTAAGAAATCCAGGCTCGGTGATAGTGACAATGTGGATCCACGATATGGTGATCTTTCGCCCCCAGCCTCAGCACTGCATCGCACCTTCCCATCTTCCCCATTAATCTTGGAGCCTGAAATAAGCCTCAAATATCAAAATTTGGGTCGGAATTTTCAACAGCAGGGAACCCGTGGGATCTTGAGGGTCACTCATCAGGGAATGCTTGAACTCTTGGGATCCCCAAAATATAGTACCGCTGGGTTCGAAACGCATAGCGGACTAGAACCACCAACTTTTTTTTTTCGCCCATTTTCTTTTTCCTATCCTACTTCACCGTAACTTAATTTTCCTCATATGCTGTATTTCTCGCCATCTTGGAACTATGAATTGCCTTTGGTTTTTATTATTATTATTTTCTTTTTCCTTTTAATATACTGATGTGCAGTGTTGAAAGTCCCGCTTCCCGAGATGGGCGCGTCTTTCCCGAAACTCAAGAACTCTTCTCAACACGGACTGTTTTCATCTAGCTTCCTAAAGTATTATCTGTATACAGGGGCTGCCCTGTGTCGGTAAGTAGAGAGGTGAGGACAAGAAGGATCATTTCTTTTCCTGGCTTCAGGGTGACCAGGCTGCAGGGGTGCTGCGACTGAGGCCTCCCCTTCAATGACATCGTGGCTGGTGGTGTCGAGACAGCCTGGCAATACATCTGTCTGCCTTGGGCGATAAGGGGCCTAGCTTGGCTATGGGTTCGCTGAAAGCACTGCCATGCGCTGCCATGCATCTCCAATGGATCGATCAACCACTCTTCCAAGCGCCACCCGCCTGCGGCTTCAGAGAGCGGGGCGGACGAAGCCTTGCCAACCACGCACCTCAACGTGACCCCATCAAATGTCTTCTCTGCGGAGAAGAAGCGATAGACGATTTATTTGCCAGTCATTTCCTCTCGGCCAGCGTATGGTTGCCAATTCATATCGTCCAAAATGGCAGAGTTGGCCTTGGCCATACTACCTCTAGTCGTGGAAGGCTGCAAGCTCGGCGTCAAATGCCGTCACAAATTGTCATCGTTCCGCCATTATATGGAATCCGTTGAGGAAATTCGCGTTCTTTTCTCCGTCCAAGTTCGCAATTTCCTGCACGAGTGCGAGCAGGTTCTCAAACATGTGCTCGAGAAACATCAACGCGTCCAGGCGAGCCAGCTCCTGGACGACTTTGACCATTACCTCTGGACATCGTCAGATCTTGAGGAGTCGTTCCACGACTACCTGGGAATGTCTCAGGAACCTTTCAAGAACTTGGTGAAATTGATTTCCAAGAAGGTGGCTAGTCTAGAGTCAGATTTGAGCCGGTTTGACGAGGTCGACGAGAGCGGAGGAGAGGTATGTTCGTTTCATGTTCTATTGTGTCTGATACATGTAGCCTGGCAGTTCTCGAAAGGCTCAATATTATTATTCGCAACATTTATTTCATTTCATTTTTTTTCTTCTTCTTTCTCATCTGTCCAGCTTCTAACGTCGGGCCAAATCCACACTATTACAGGGCGGCAGCGTAACCCACCGAATCTCAAATCGCAATAAGGTCGTGCTCGACGAAGCCGTGTTCGAAAAAGATATCGAGAAATTAAGGCGGTGGATATCTGACCTTCGGGGCCTGCGGGAACGAGCAAGCCCAGAGAGGCTAGCCGGTCCTACCAGGGCCCAAATTGCCCAGATATCCGGTCTGCCTCACGAATATCGTACCAGAAAACAGGATGCAGCTCTATGGCTTAAGGAGACAACTGCAAAATGGACATGTCTCAGGCCGGAACATTCGCGGCATTCTGCGAAGCTTCTGCTCGCAAGTACCTCTCCAGGACGTCCCTGTCTCGATTTGGTTCTACATTACGAAGACGGAATCCCGGAGGGAGCGATAAATGGGAAATATTCACGAGGGTACGATCACCTCCCAATCTCTAACAATCGTATCACGATTCTCACTTCCCACTCGTTCATACAGAAACAACCACCAGATCTGCGTTCAATCGAAACCAATTGCTGCCGAGACTGGTTTGTTGACGCCGGAAACTTCCGGCGTAGGGTCCGATAGATCTGAGTCTCAAGATCACAGCGCGAAACGCCGTCGGATCAGCAGCTCGCCATTCAAGATATTTTCGGATCATACGCGCGATAATATGGATGAGCTGGGGTCTAAAAGCTCGTCATGCAGTCGAAGCACTTCGCCTCCTCCCAGAACGGACCTGTCAATGTGCAAAGACTCCTGCCGGCTATTCTCTAACTCCCACATGTACTTTGGTGATGGCCACCGTCCTTTGTGCTTGGGGCACCTTGAGTCGCGTGTCCGAAGTTTCGATCACTTTCCCGGACACAATTCTTTGGATCAGCCTCGAACACTGGTTACGGGGAACCTAACGCCGATCCAAAATATCTTCTATTGGCCACTGGACGATAGTACATGCGATGGGACAAGATTCTGGCTTGCCAGCTTGGTGGTTAAATCAGCTCTTCAGCATCACAACACCCTTTGGTGGACTGAGGATTGGACTCTGGACAGTTTGGCATTTTATCAGACCCGAATGGGAGAGCTCTCGGATGATCTCCAGACCCTGCACCTCACCGCCGATCTACCCAACAGGACGGACACTTCACAAACAGCCCAGACGTTAAGTGAAGCAGCTTCAGCTGTCGAGGTACGACGCGCAATGAACAGACGCGGCATTCGAAATCTAACCCTCTGGTGTGTTGGCGTTGCCTTTCTCCAGATTGGCCTCTGGCGACCCATTCGCTGGGATGATGACGAGGAAGTCCGTGAAAGCCTCCCGAGCCTGGAAAGACTAAGCAAGTCCTATTTTGACATGACGGATAAGCTGATCAATTGTGACTTTGGGAAAGGAGCGCGGTTGCAGAACCTTGACCTTCAGAACGAGGTCTATAAAACTATTGTGTGTGAATTGGATGCGATCTTGGATGAGTTTCGTAAAGCGGGATTCCAGAGGTGATGGAAGAATCAAACCTTTCCAAGTTTTACCCGTAATCATCTCGCCCACAACACTGCTAGATGAATATCGTCGTGTTGCGTAGATACGTTATGGCAACCCAATTCAGTTCATGTGTCTTGCTCCTGCGATTGTTTTCAAGACATCAAGAGCATGATTTTTGTTCCTGCAGTCCTGCTTAGTCATCGAATACCCCACTCTTCACCCACCTAAGGCCGAAGCTCTGCGGCGGCGACATCGAGGCAACATCAGGTCTGGAAGGGCTCTTCCAGTTTGCCAATATCGAAGAAGTGCTTCACTAAGGCGATGAGACGATCCCGATTAGCCATGCACCTTCAGGCCTTTGACCAATTTCCAGCATGATAGATTCCAAACAAGTTGACCAGGAGGTGCATCACCGCATCACTCATTGGCGAGACACTCTTCAGCCTGATACTGATACGACCAGTTCGGATGGTAGCTATATTGGTGGCATCGCTCGGTTATATTCGTCCGTTTGCGATCTATATCGGTGCATACTGACCAAACTATTATCTGACGAAAGTATTCCGACGTCTTTGTACCGAAAACTGGAGCGAGGCTACAGCTCCATCATCCTGTGGTCCTACGATTATGGCGTCCGCCATGGAAAACTGGATCTGGCCCTCGCTCATTCCAGGGAGATCCGAGAGGCTACAATCAGCTTTCTAGTTCGAATGATTGATATTCTCAGCGCTCGTAAATAACTCGCATTTTCCGCAGATGCGAACCTCATCAAGACTTGCTGATGATAGGGCTTGCAGGTCTCATCCCTTTGACTTCCCTGGCCCAAGATGCGAACGTTCTCGAGCATCGCGAAATTGTTGCGGTAACAAGGTCGGAAGTGCTAGCGAGTCTCTCAACATGGGATGGACAGGACGAACCAGCTACTTCGGACGACACGAGGTTGCGACGTGACGACTCTTTGGCGAAGGTTGCTAGTAATCTGAAGACGCTGGCTCAGGCGTTGATGGATATGGGGCCACTCTTCGATGAACCGTTGCCTGACGAAAGCTTCGAGGAGACAGCCGCGCACATCGACATATCAACCGAGGTTTCCAACTTGGTGGCTCTCATCATATATGTTTACCCCAAGTGTGACAAGTCTGTGGCCAGCGGCATTGCCAACTCGCTGCTAAGAACGCTTCGAGAGCGCAGGACTTCTAGGGATATGGCCGAGATATCAACTGCCTCCGAGGACCAACATCCCTTGCCGAAACTTGTTGCCAGCGCAAAAGCCATGACGATAGCCGATTCAAACTTCGTAGACTCTGCTCTAGGCACATCGATAGGAACTAGTTCCTACGCCGAGACGATCAGGTCATACAAAGGAGGTTCCGATCTACCCGTCAAGATCGAGTTGCCCAAGCTCCCTGTGAGGGGGCAAGCTTTCCGGTGCGAGGCCTGTGACAAGATCGTACGAGTTGCAGACGAGAAAGCCTGGAAGTAAGTTATAACAGAGGAGTCTAACAGACAAAAAAGAAGAAAAGAAGTTGACGTAGACCCAGGAGACACCTTATGGCCGACGCTAAACCCTATATGTGCATCGAGCCGGCCTGCGTTCTCAAGTTCAAGCCGTTCGGGTTCAAATTCCATTGGATTACACACCTCTCCCAGCATTATTCTGCGGCCAAGGAGCCTGTAGTGTGCCCTATTTGCCAGGTCTCATATAACATCAGTAACGGGGGCGTTCGATTAATAGCCCAACATCTTTCATACCACCTCGAGCCGTTGGCAGCTGAGGTGATCATTCCTGGTGTGACCTTCGCCGGTCCGAATGCAGACGACGCGACACTCTCTGAGGATGACGATGTCTCAACAGCTACGGAAGCTCTTGGATCGGACGGACCCGGGACTAGTCCAAGAACTCGCATCGCTCCGGAGAAAGAGAAGATGGCATTCTATGATCGGCCTCCGCGACTCCTCTGCCACTTATGCGACGACCATCCTCAGGGATTCCGTGGATCTGACGAACTTTCTCAGCATATGAAATCAAAACATCCGAATGTACTCACGAAATGGCAAATTCGAGATCCAAGAACAGTCGGTATTTACAGTAGCGTTGAGCCGATAACGCCGTTATCAAAATGCGCACCCTGCCGATCGGGAAGGAAATACAACGCCTACTACAATGCTGCCGGACATTTGCGACGCGCTCACTTTAGAAGGAAGACGTCCTCGGAGCCAAGTCTCCATGCACCTGCCGAACCCTTTCCTTCAATGTCTGAGCTGAAAAATTGGATGGTTAAAACCGAGATAGAGGAAAAGCCCCCGGAACCGAATTTTGATTTCATGAGTATTAGTGACACGAATATTGAGAACGACACGAGTGGGGACGACGTCCTGGATATTAAATTCATCGTCGACAGGGACCCTGTCTTTCACGTTCGTGCCAGGACCGCAGTCGACACGCCACTGCGGATCGGACGGCACGACACCCATAACGCGTCGGTGCCTGCAGCGCCGTCGACAGGGACGACCTCGCAACAGCAGCCACAACAACAGCCACCGGAGCAGAGATCCTCGGCGGGGGTAGTGAGACCGGCTGTGCGGGCCGACGAGACAAAAGTGTCAAGGGAGAAGAGGGAAGGTGTGTTGCCGTTGACAGCAGGGTCGAGCGCCTACTCCGAGGTAAGCCCCTCAGAGGCATGCGATTGGTGCAGGGATCGCAGAGTGCGGTGCGAGAGGGCGAAGGATGGGCCATGTCAGCAGTGCATGAAAGCGGGGAGGATATGCGTCGTTAGACCTAAGGAGACGGACTGGCTGGGGAAAAGCCTGGGGAAAAGGCTTAACGCGGTGAAGACGAGGCTTTGGCCTAGCCTGGAGAGGCCGGAACGTCGACGGCAGCAGGCGCAGATACCTGGCGGTGTGGGCTCTACTAGTGGTAGCAGTCATGGTGTTGGCAGAGGAGAAGCCCACGTGAGCGATGACCCACCACCGGATACCTGACACTTTCGGAACTTGTAAGAAAGAATGACAAGCAGCGCTAGTGACGTATTGATGCAGGATCGCAGACAATGCTCGGGAAGAACGTGTACCCTAGCAATGGAAATCGGTAAAATAGAAACTCAGCCTCCTCTAGGAACTGGGACAACAACCGGGCCAGCACCCGGCGAGGTTCAGAGGAATCAGAAATCGGCATGCTCGACACCTGTATCGAGATTCCGGCGTTGCAGGGCCACATATTGGGGTGGCATAAATGCCCCGAGCCATGTCCATCAGAAGCATGGTTATTCCGGAGTTCTCCGCCCTCATTGCCTTTTCTCCTCCTCCCGAAGAAGGATATCCATAAGCCGTTAATACGCCAGGGAGAACTGGCGTGGCTCAGGACAAATCTTAAAGTAGGATCGGATCAGTGGAGAAGAGGAGAGCCTCTCGCTTCCCCAACCCAACGTTGCATCACAGAAATACGAGGACGAAGTAAGTAGTTTATATTGTCGGCCCCTCGGCTAAGTTTATCTAACCTCTCAAGACTCTGTCATCTTAGAAATATTTACAGAGAATAACTCCGAGTTCACACAACTTGCTACCATCACTGCGCAGGTCTCATCAGTCCCTTCTTATCCTCCCCCCCTTTCACTTCCTCCCTCGGTTAGCATTCTCGAGATTTGAATCCTCCGTAAAACAACTTGGCCCTAAGCCGTAGACATTGCACCACTGGCAGATATCGGATCTGTTAATCAGAAAACAATTCTAGGAACACACAATTGAAGTCCCAGATGGAATGAGAACTGAAAAAGGGTTTCGCGACGGCCTTATCAATCACACTTCACCGAAAAGTGTCGAGAAGATATCGGAATGGTTAAAAACACCATAAATTTATTGTTATTAGTCTGGTAGTACAAGGGTGACTAGAATCCGTCTCAAGAATAACGTTCAAGGTTTGAATACCACCCGCCCGCTCTGGTACAACCGGCCATAAATGTTCTTAAGGAACACCGCAGAAAACTCAACCTCCTCGCCCGCAGCATTAATCGTCCTCACTCTAGCTCATCCTACACCCGGGACGTCCACTCCGCCACATACATTAAGATCACCCACAATGACAAGGCCGCATCTGTGGCTAGTGAGCATGATATTAAGGCGCTGGGGGTCGCAAGTGAACCCGGGGCCGGACTTGATGGAGGTTGCCATCACGGCAATGACGATATCCCCCTCTTTGCCCTGGAACCCGTCGACCGTGGAGGCTGGATGCATTGTCGACAACGCTGAGTACCGCGGACGCCGCCTCATCTTGGTGATGACTTCGACGTTGGCAGCATATGGGGTTAGCATAACCAATCGGGCGGCGTTACCCTTCTTCTTTGTGATGAAATCAGCGGCAAAGTCGAGAGCGATTTCCACCTGATGGGGACAGCTCTTCGACCCCGTCATTTCATCAATATGGACTACGGAGTTCTCGCAGTGGAGGAACAGGGGAAAGAAATTCCCCTTCGGGGGTCGTCGAATAAGGGGCCACTTCTTCTCGATGTGCTGTTCCAAAGCTACGCCGGCACAAAACTTTGGGAGACTAATGTTACAGACAGAGCCGTACCTGGAAGGGTCTTCGGGTTACACTTCTGTGGCAACCTAGTCGAATAAGCCAACACCCACTCGAAGCTGCTCATGAAGTCGAAAGACAGGCATGATGGAGGCTTGGACAAACTCTAGAGGTGAGATATGGGCATCATCGGCAAGTTGGTGGTAGAAATTGTCACTCCTATCCTTCTCTTTTCCAGTCATAACAGTAGGAGGCAGTTGTCTAGCATCGCCGCCGAGGAAGCAAGGGATGAGGGTATTGCCCCAGACACAGGCGAGGTCTGCCCGATATCTGCTCAATTGTTTCTTCCAATTTCTCATTGCCCCTCTCCCTCCTTTCACCCCTTACAGTCGGCTTAGAGCAAGGCTACTCCATCACTCTGGTTCCATTTTTCTTTCATGAGTTGGAGATTGGCGTTCATACCTCCTCCATTTCCCCAGATAAGCCAATAGATGTTTCCGGCCAACGTGACTGGACCCCTCTTACTTGGACTATTTCGCTTCCCTAACGTGGTGAGTGAGCTGTCGTCGGATCTGCTTGGCGTAGCGCATGGCTCCGTGGCGGGTCTGCAGGGCCGATGAAAATGAGCTTAGTTTCCTGATTGAGCTCTTAATGAACTCCATCAGAGATACCATTGGCTAGTGCAGCCAGCCCGGCTCAACTAGAGATATCCAAATGGACTAGGCAGCGCGCTAACGATACTAACGATACCATGGAATTGGTGGCAGGGGGCCGCCATACAGTACCTGATAAGTTTGGCCTATGTCTACGAGGTTTAACGAGTGCCTGCTAACCCACGCGGGACGAAACGTATTCTTTCAGTTTAATCGATAGGGAAGATATGTTAAAAGCTGACGATAGAGATCGGATGAGGGCTAAACGTTCAGGCTAGTATCCGACCTTGTGCTCCATGTCCAGCATAACCCAGGGCGGATCAACAGCGAAAGGAACGGAGCGGAGAGGACATTCACATGGACAAGAACCACACAATCAAGTCGAAATGGAATTCTAGTCATCGGGTAACGAGCACGGGGGCATAAGCAGCATTTCTGATGCGTTGGCGCATGTCAAGGCTTATAAGTGAGCTGGACGAGGGAGAGGACAAGGTTCAATATTGTCTTGCCGTGGTTCACAGAATACACATGTGCCAAAAACATTAAGAGACAAGTGGGTTTGAAGGAGGTAGAAATTTTTATTTGATATTTGATATAGGAGCGTCTTTAAATCGACTAAATAAGGTCTGTCTGCGCTGAAACTGTTTGGAAACGAAGTCTTGTCGGTATCAACATCCCTTACAGCCTCCCTCCCTCCCTTCCCTCCCCCTTTTTCTCTACGCCCTTCTGACTCCTCATCTCTGGGCCTAAGGATTATACCAGGGTAAGAAATAAGAAACCTCACACAGAGACAATTGCCGAATTTTCATGAGAATATAATTCACTTTCCCACGCACTTATGTCTGACGTCGTCAAACTCTTCAAGCTATCGTTGTAGTCAATCTCATCTCGCGGCTGGTTTGTCCTGGCCATCGTCGTCTCCGCAGTTATTGCCCCAACCACCACCGTCGTCTTCGCCCTTGGACCAGCCGTAGTCCTTATTGTCGGCGGTATGGTAAGGGTCGGCATTGACTGTAGCGACGCGATTCTCCCTTCGGAAATAATCTAGGAAGGCTAGGAAGGTGTCGCTTTTGACGGCTACAACTTCTCCCTCCTCGCCCTCTCCGGCTTGGGCTTATTGACCCTGGCAGACGGCGCAAGGGTATCGATATCACCCACCACGAAGAGACCCCCAATCTGACGCGTGAGACCCACACAAATGCGCTGATGACTGGCAGTAAAGCAAGGTCCGGTAGCGGCCGTCACGCACAAGACAAGAATGACCAACTGGTTCTCCCGGCCTTGGAACGAGTCGGTAGTGTTGACGAAACTGTCCTTGAGTTGAGCTGATGGATGTTGCTTGAGATCCCCCAAGACCTCGACTCGCAAGCCGTGCTGGGAAGTACCATAGCGAGGAATTCACCATATAGGCGAGGATAGGTTCTTGAGAGATTCTGGCCCCAGAGTGCAATCTCGAGTTCCGGGCAGCCATTAAGTACTTTTCCGGGATTACTGCGGCCGTATTCCCTTTGTAGAAGCATCACAACGCGCAGAGACCCGATGACGTGTGCAGGGACGTTTGCGGACACACCTGGGGTAGATGCGGAAGGTGCGACCTCGAACGTGGGGATAGGGAAACCAGGTGGCGAGAACGGTGGAAACGGCCTCTCGATGCCGGATTTGGCGGTGGATGGGGGGATCGATGTACGATGAGAGTCTCTCAATCCTCGACGTGGTTCGTCTCCTCTGGGTGTCCAATCTCTTCTCCCTCTCCTCGGTAGTTTCATTGGCCTGCTTGAGTTGAATGGCTTCCTACTGGCGTTGAAGCCGGGCCGCTTTCTTCTCCGGGTCCATCCTCGCGTACTTTTCCCGGCCTTTCTTTCTATTCTCCTCCACGTCCGCTTCGGTCTCTGCAGCGCTGATCTTCGGGTCTCGTAGCAGGTGCCTAGGGATCATCTTGTCGTACTTCTCCGGGTCCACGTTCTCCTTCCGGCATCTGACGAGCCGTCTGGCCTTGTCGAGGTTTTTGGAGAAGGAGGCGAAAGTGACATGTCTGCAGAGGAGATGTCAAAGCTCATGCCACTCGATGGGCTTTGGGAAAAGGTGCCACGGGCAGCTCTTATTCTTGTCTGGGTATCGCGAAGCGTTGAGAAGGTCGTGGAAGACTGCCTCGGCAAGGACGGCCACAAAACATAAGTGGGTGCGCGAGATGGGATCCTCTACTCGCTACGACCCCAAGATGTGCACCAGGGTAAACCAGTGCGCCTTTCTAGGCTTCCCATCCCACAGAAAATGAGTCAGGAGGTTTCTCTGTTGCACCAGAACATTGGACCTGTCCCGAGTCTTCTTCCTCTTGTCGAGCCCCCCTATTCCGGCGGCTGAGTCGACGTCAAGGTGGTGGTGGACATCGGGCCCAACGCCGAGGAGGAAGCAGCAGTACACCCCGAAATCAGATGTATGCATGCGCTGGAGGACCAAGAAGTCTTGAGGCGACGGTGGCTCTGGCGCGAGGACGAACTACTTGATAGCCACGAGGTGTACTCGTCGATCTCCCGCGTCCACTCCTCAGCTGTCGATGCGCTTAGGACTATCGACGCATTGTGAGACATCATTGGCACGTTGTCATGCTTTGAGCAGCGTACGTTCCCGATTGCCTGGCCGACATGCCCCACGAATGCGCCGTTGCATGGGCGCGCTTTGTCGTACCTCGCGCCACCGAGGAGGTCCCGGTTTATGAGCAGCTGCCCCACCTCCTCTGCCGACAGACCATAGTACTCCGAAAGGTACTTCCGGATTCCCGTCTGATCAACGAGGCGTTTCAGCGCGCCCGTCTCCTGTTGCCTGAAGAGCTCCTCTGTATCCACATCTTCGGCGTCATCGCAGTCCAAGTTAACCGGATCCACTGTGGCAGGAGGCAACGGAGCCAACGCGGAATGGTGGCTCATCGACGCCCCATCAAGCTCCTCGGCATTGTTATTATGGATCCGAAGAGTGATTGGCGCGCTTTGGATCCCTTCCGGGATTGGGATGAGGTAGGAATCACCCCCATCCATATCCACACCGAGCTGGATGTTAATGGCATTCCGAGATGCCCAGTGCCTAATGACTGCAGCGAGCTGGTTGGCCTGGAGGTTATCCGTATTGTCAAGACCAAACTCGGAATTGGCAGCTGCCACCTCCTCTGAGCGGAATGCCTGGTCTAGGTCCTCGAGTGTCGACTGTGGGAAACCGTGATGCTGGGCTTGCATGCTCCCAATGAGGGCGTAAAAGCCGCAGCGCCGGCCGGTGGACGGGGTAGGGATTGGCGTAAGTCCGACCGAAAGAGATGTCGAAATACCCGACGGTTCTGTTTGTGTCGGTGTTCTGGGAAGAATCGGGGGAAGAGTTGGGAGAGAGGAAAAGAAGAGGGTGCCGCCCCTTATATAGTTGAGGATTCCGGATTTTTGCACCTTCCTTCACCTTCCTTCACCGGTGGAACTTGAACGTGAATCACAAGTCGAAGATTCTCCTCCCTGAACTGGCAGAGCCTGTGATTGAGGTCAATTAACATTGATCAATTGATATCATATTGGCTCATAGATTGTAGCAAACTGGCCAGGCACGTCCTGGCTCATCTCTCATCTCCGGGCTCCAACTTCCCGGCGTCATTGACGTCATTCATGTGGTCCAGTCTACATGAATATCTCGCTCGAAGACACTTTCCCAATTCGACTCGATGCCATTAGCTCACATCGACATCCGTCAACGTTCACCGCAAGGGAAGGTGTGGCTTCCAGTCTCAGAAGGATGGGGAAGGAGTATTGATGGGGTTCCATCAAGACCCCAAAGCTTCTGACTTGGCGCAATCCATTTTGGCGCAATCCGTTGATCCCCGCCGACATTTCGAATACCTCGATCTCGAGTCCACTGGGAGGTGGAAAGAATCATCCATGTTAACTTGAAGTTGGCAGAGATCCGCGTCGTACATGTCGCAGTCTTGAACCGCGCTCTATCTGAATCTCAAAATTGTTGCATTGTCCCGTAAAATATTCTTAGTCATCAACCACCTCAATCGAGCTCTTGGATCACCAAGCTTCATTCAAGCTTCACCTTCTGACCTTGACCATCCTCTCGCCCAACTCCGACCCGCCTCAACGAATTGATTGTCCGCCCAAATTAGCGACATAGAGAATTCGTGAATCCCCCCTCCCAGTCGATCAATTGCCACCTCATGTCCTTTCAACGACCTCTCTCTCGCGCCGTGCGGTGCGCCGCCCGCACATCACGCCCCGCGGCATCCTGTCTTCCTCTTCCCATCGCAACACGGCGACAGTACCAGTCCAGCGCGCGACCCTCCGGCATCATTCCCGTACCATACATAACAGAAGTTACCGTGCGTTTTCCAAGCTATCTCTCCGTTCTTTGGCCGGGGAAGCACTAACCTCGAGAGTAGTCCAGCGGCTGGAGGACATGTTGGTTTCCACCCTTCCTCGCCTAGGTTTGCGCCCTTGATTAGCTTCTGCGCATAGACTAACCGCGATTTAAACGACTGCAGCGGATATATTTTCCAAGTTATTACAGGTGAGACTTTTTTTTCTTCCCCAATTGCCGCTTTTTCTTCTTTGAGCTGAACACTTACCCGGCTTTTCTTCAAAGGAGCGCATAATATGTCTCTACGGCTCGATCGATGATGGCACGGCGGCGTCGATAGTATCCCAGCTTCTATGGCTCGAGGCCGAGAACCCAGAGAAATCCATTACCCTCTACATCAATTCCCCTGGCGGCATGATATCATCAGGTAAGGAGGTAGAACCCATTCATACTGAACACAGATCCACCCGCAGAAGCTAAGGAATGGGACGTGTAAGGTCTCGCCATCTACGATACTATGACCTACATCCGGCCCCCCGTATCGACCGTCTGCGTAGGCGCCGCATCCTCCATGGCCGCCCTCCTCCTCGTCGGCGGAGAAGCCGGCCAACGCTTCGCGCTCCCCCACAGTTCCATCATGATCCACCAGCCCCTCGGCGGCACGCAGGGCCAGGCGACCGACATCCTCATCTACGCGAACCAGATCCAGCGGGTGCGCGACCAGGTCAACGAGATATACAGACGCCACGTCAACAAGGCGCTGGGCGGCGATAAGTTTGACAGGAAGATGGTGAGCGATCTCATGGAGAGGGATAAGTACCTCACGCCGGAGGAGGCGAAGGAGTTGGGGATTATTGATGAGATTTTGTCCAAGAGGCCTGTTCCTCCTGTGGAGGGGCAAGAAGGTAGTGGGGGTTCTGATGGCAAGCAGAGCTAGTTGAGAAGCCATGGCGATACGGGATGGAAGGTGCTACAGATCCTTGAACAACAGGGAGGTGGTCTAATGTATTTCTCTCCTCGATATTCTATTGCAGTATGGGCACCTCGCACCTAGTCCTAATGGCTTAGGGACATGAGCTGTGCCATCTCTGTCGTAAGACCAGTTAATCCCCCGTAACCCCTTCAGAGCCCGACGACAATACCCTTACCACCAGTCTCATGATGGCATAGCTGTCCAAGTAAGACGTCTTGTTTGTTGCCATACAGTAAGACGTCACCCCGTCTGCTTCAGTAAGTGCAAGAACCAAGGGGGCATGGAATGCCGACTAACAACTTGTGCCAGGAGAAAGACGGGAAACTACTCGGAGTCAACTAGGCTGTACCCCAGTCCCCATCTCTAACCTGGAGCGTCGAAAGCCAGTCGGTGAGGCCGGAAGAGAAATAGATGATGACATCCACATGGGCAATACTCCAGTCGCCTCCTGCCTGTGGATATTGCTTCCCAGTGGATCATGTCTTGGGAAGGCAAGGGTAATGAACCCATGATTTCCTCTACTTGAAACACATGCCTGTGACAAACTTTTGTTCTGGTGACGATGGTTCATGCTATATTGGAAGGAGAAACCCACACTGATTCACTCTGGAATTTCATGTTTGCCATCCAATACCACAATCATAGAAGGCAATCAATGGCACCATTCATATGGCAAGCACGGGATTCATGAAGTCATGGATCATTCACAACCTGCCACATTGAGCAGAATCATAAATTGAATGGAACAAGATGAATCATTGCATGTGCCATCCATTGAGTGATTCATGGACCTTGCCCAACATCTATAAATACAGCCCTCCCCTCCAACTGAACCCTCTCTCGAATTCTTCCCCAAACACATCCCGACATTCTCATTAGCACAGTCTTTTTGTCAAGCACTACCATTTACTGCATATATGTGGCCTATCTGGCTTTCATTATGGCTTCTTCCAATATGACCTCCACCAACTTCTAAAGAGGAGAGCCGATCACCTTGGCTCCACCTCTGCTGTCTGGCTCTTGAAGCCCTAAATCGGGCGTTGGATACTCTCCGGGTTCTAACCGATCGGATGGATCACTGTCAACCTATGGGGACGACATCATTCTCGTGGTGATTGAACTGCCCTCCAGGGAGCAGCAAAATTGCAATTTCAGGAACCGAAGAACAAAGCAATGGCCCCTGCCGTAATGGAATAGTCCTCCAGTTTCATTAGAACATGAGGACCACCTGCTGCAAGTCGTCGGGCGGCTCTGTCATATCAGGCAAGGCGAAGTCTGAGGACTTCCATCTGCTGCCCCCCTTTGCGTGTTCTCCTCTAACAAGCGTCAAGGATCCTCCAAGAGAGGGAGGCAGCTGCTTTGGGGTAAGGTCGAATCGATCGCGGCAACGGAAATCCATGCCAGAGTCATTGTGAAGTATCATTTCCGAGTACTTCGGCCTGGACGGCAGAGCAGATGGCAAATCGTCTCATCGATCGGAGACGCGAGGAAATTCGGGCAAAACACCAAACGCCAGAGCATTCGAGGCATCAGGCCATCCAGAGATCGGGAACTCGAATCCCTGCGTCCTAACATGACGATATCGAGGTCGCGGCAAGTCGATCCGCAAAACCACATTCCTCACTTCTTCCTTATATAGCAGGTCTAAGGCAGCCCTGGACTACATCGGAACCGTCCTACATTTCCCCCGCACCTATATAGACCACGCTGACTTCTACAGCGCTGGCAAGTCCGCGAACGCTGAGCACCTGATGGTCTTGTGATCAAGCTCTAGCCAGGCCAGTTCGAGGTGGTTGGCAGTGAACGAATTTCTTACAGCCAAACCCTTCCTCGTTGCTAAACTCGGCGTGTCCAAGACGACCGGCAACAAGCAGCATTTCCTTGTGGCAGTCAAGGTGCCCATGGAGAAGCTCGTGGATGGGCTCGGCATCCCATTTCATCGAAAACGCAAGGCCTGTGGCCTGGGTAAAAGGTCCGAACTTGTGGCTGCCGACGACGGTCCGATACATACTCGACCAGGGAAGCCACACCATGCCATTCAAGGAGGATGCTGTCGCTCCAAAGGCAGCGGGGAATTCCTCCAGTGATTTCTCTTTGCCGTGTAGAAAGTTCCCCGACTCGATGTGTGGGCAACGGTATGTGTGTCGGTGTATGAAGACCCTTTACTGGACTGTGATTTTTTTTTTCTCTCTTCTTTTTCTTTGCTAATGCTTATCCGGAACTTAGATACGGAGAATGTACAATGCACGTCGGAGGCAAGGTCCTGTTGGGGGCAACATTGCCGGCCGCGGAATCGTCACCTCCGGTCGGCTCTAGAGATGAAAGCCAAAAACAAGAGCGAGGATGAAGCCGAAGAGCCCACACCAGACGACGTCAGTATTACCCTGGATGAGGCATGCGTAACCTCTTTCGCCTGCACCTTCATTTGCCAGCTCGCAGCGATGCAGCTCTCGTCACCTGTTGGCCAGGAGCCCACACTGCCGTGTCAATGAGGTTGATTTATATGGGCGCACTGCTTTGGCACGGGCAGCTCGGAATAAGCATGCTGCTTGTATGCGGCTGCTTCTCGCGCATCCAGGCATTGATATCGATTACGGCATCCCCTCGGAGGAAACTGCCCTATGTTGGGCTGTCAAGCAGGACTGGGTAGAGGGGGTGAGGATATTGATAAAGCACAGGCGGACAATACCCTTCCAGGTAAGAGTGAAAGACCTGTTACCGCACCGGTTCCCGATGCCGGGCATGTATTTGGGGTATATGGGGGCTGTTAGCTATGCGGCCTTCTACACCTTGTCATAGCGCCGGTATCCCAGGTAACCGGGGAATTAGACAGTCTCGAACTATCCCTCGAGGCGGGTAAACACGTACGAGGACCGCCTGACCGCCCTTATATAGTCTGATGCACAAGACGTGTTCTGCCTAGCGAAACATCCCACCCAGATACCCAGATGGTCACTTACGCTTCTGCTTCGTCAATACCTGGAAATATTTCACAGCCGAGAACGGTTGTGTCTTGCCTGCCGTGATGTAGGTCTCCAAGGCTTGGTATATACACCTAGCCATCCCTGGCGCCCCCCTTCCGACGGTGAAGCGGCCAAGTGAGGATGGAGAAACGGAAGCGCCAGAGGGAGGAAGCCTTCCGGCCCTACTACCGCATATGCACAACCGACTTTAGCGTGTGCTGCTGGCTTTCTCTGCGATCCAGGACGCAACCCGCCCACAACTGTTGTGCCGATTCTGGGAAGACGAGGTGCGAAAATAAACAGTCGCGAGTGGGGTGACGAGATTGACGGCTATATATTGCAGACGGAGGAGCCAGAGGTTTCATCTACAACCATAATAGCACAGATTCCGAAGAACCATCGCAACCAACGTCAGACCATGTCCAAGAAATCGACGGAGAGGATATCGATATATCAGAGATAACCATACTTGAACACAACGGCGGCAGGCCTCCAGAAGTCAATTTGGTCAGACATCATCTCGTAGAACACAGCACCATCCCCCAGCCATTCACCCAGGTCGTCCTCGACGAAGTTCACCTGGCCAAGAAGCGAGAAGGGGCAATTGTTAACTATCTGCAAAGGGAGGTGTTTACATTGGTTCACATGGTGTCCGCAACCCCGATGCGCAACGACCTACATGATCTCCTAAACTCATCACACCTCATATGGGGCCGGTTCGGCACTAAGGCCGCGATCCCCTTCGACGGTGACATGGCCGGACTTACAGTCCGCAGTACGCCCCCGCCTCCGCAACGAACACAATCGACGGAAGGGTCACCATGGGTGTTTGGCCCCCATTAACGCCGGAGCAGCAACCGAGCTCCGGTTGTGGATTGTAAATCCTAGGCTATTTAAGGGAGAAATCCGCCGTCTCGCTCCGCCGTCGCGGAGAAATTCAGTGTCAAGATTGTCAGACCTATCCTTCGCTTGATTCAGAGGCGCCGGACGATGAACACACCGCTCAGTCTGCCGGATGGGAGGACCGTGTTCCCGGGAGTGTCGGTTCCCCCTTGCACCATCGCCACGGAAGATTTACCATTTGGTGAGCCGGGCGGAGAGGCTTTCTTGCCTTTTGGAGACTGGCCAACTCAGCATCATCTTCCTGTAAGATATAGAACGCAGAGCTGGCCGACGATGCGGCATACATTGTGCTCGCAGAGAGTAGAGAACCCTTAACGTCAGAGCAGAAATTAAACCATCAATTCCCTCGCCGACTCTCGGACAATTATTCGACTATATAAATCGACGGCAGTCAGTCGCCTCTGGAGGTCCACCGAGGACAACGAGCGACTCGCAGGGGGGTCTCATTTCCGCCCCATTCGGCTTAAACCCGGGCAGGCCAGAACTCTACCACGGCTGAAAGTTAATTCTTGGGATGTGTCTCGGATCAAGTCCCACTACAACACGGGGCTTCTGAGATGGGAAGAGGGCAGATGCTTGACGCATCCTCAAACAAGCATGGACCCCAGTGTCTCTTCGTTTTCATCGCGGCTAGGCTCGTGTTCCCCATTTTTGGGAACCCCAAGAAATCATTGCATCGCAGGCGCTGCTCTCAAGGTTCTTCCTCAATGGTGTCTCTTACCTTTTCACCTTTCCCTCTGGGTCCCCTCGCCGCTACCAGAGACCGTTGACTTGACCGATGCGGAATCTGACTCGGAAGAGGCCGTTCTATCCCGACGCCCCTCGCCTGATACCTTGCCCCGCCCTCCACCTCCACCTCTTCTCCCACCTCTCCTTGTCCCCTATAACGAGGGCACAGCAAACAAGGTGGATAAACAGCAGCTGGCGAAGGGTTTTGTGTACATGGTAAAAGTGTTTAAAAGAATCAATGGTACACTTGCAGAGCTCCAGAAAGATCCGGCGAAGGTCAAACTCAACTGCGAGAAGTATCAGAGGGAGCTGGACATGCCTCAGGCGGAGGAATCTGCAGCTCGGAGGAAGATTGCAAGCCTCGCAAAGCAGAACAAGGAGTTGGGAGAAGAGGTCGCTAAGTTGAGAGAGAAACTCGAAACAAATGGGGGGTTTGGGACAAACGAAAGCAGGATGAGATGGGCTGTGGAGGGTCCGCAGCAAAGAAGCAAGAGAGAACTGCGGAGGAGGAGCCACTGGGCTCGAGCGTGGTCCATTCTCCACTGAGGAATTCAGCACGAAGATCGTCCGACCCATCCTCCGCCTAATTCGCCGTCGTCGCACCATGGAGACACCATTGAGCCTCCCAGATGGAAACATAGTCTTCCCCGGTACGGCCGTCCCACTATACACGATCACTACCAAGGACCTGCCATATGGCGAGCCCCTCGCGGTGGAATCTCAGACATCTGCCAACAACAGAGGAAGCGGCTAGGCCTAGGCCCGATGGCCGATCAATCTCTCACCAAGAACCCCGGCCATGACGTCCAACCCGCCGCCTTCGACGGCTCCGCCCCACCACGAATTAACCTGGCGACCTACTTACATGAGGCCCTGGTCTCGCTCGGCGGCCGCAACGTCGACGTTTTCGACCCAACCAACTCCCGAAACGCAGCCATACTCGAGGACGTGAAATCAGCCACGGCAGAACACGCACACGCCGTAAAGACCGACGCCGATGGCGGGTTGACGTATATCTTCGGCATTGCCTATAAGGAATACCTCTGCTTGCCGCCGTCGAGACGCGCCGAAATGCTATATTTTACGCTTGGGAAGAGTCCGGTGCTCCTACGAACGGTTGAACTCTGTAGAGAGTGGGTGCCGGCCCGAGATACGGGGCATTATCCCCCCCAATCAAACTCAAGCACTGATTCGAGTGCCCCCCAACCTCTTGCCTTTTTGTCTCTGTTGCCGCACCCGACGATTAAAGGCTTCGAGGCGGCGCCGTGTATCTTGAGCTGCGAGCTGGTCTGCGGAGGCGACGAGTGGCTATCGATCCAGCGAGTCTTCCACCTCGGATTGTGGTCATCCTCGCAGAAGCCGTCTTATATGGCGTATTCACCGCCTGGAGAAAGAGATTAGGCGAGACATCAAGCCGCAAAATCATTACGTCTTGCCAGGGCCCGGTGAGTGGCATGGCCGATAGAATTCTTCCGGGCTTCTGATATGACCTGTATTTCACCTTTACAAACAGCTTTGAATGGGTGTCGGCTTGTTTGACCGGATTGCGGCGGAGGTGTACCCCGAAGACCCTTTTATATACGGATCTGTTTGTGGCATTTCCGAGGTAGTCTCCCCAAATTTTGCTGCTGGAGTGGCTTTGGAACAGTACAGTGAGCGAAAAGGGCTCCTCGTTCGGTGGTATCGAAAGGGGAACTTCTTAATGTGTTCCTCTACTACGAAGACTATTGTTTATATCAATGGAATGCCCAGAGCGAAGAGCTGTCCTCAGCAGGCCGAAGTTAGCCTCGACTTCGCAACTGGTTTTGTCGTCGGGAAGAAGGGCAACGCTCACCCCATATACTGCCAACATCGAATTAATCACCAAGACGAGGCAGCATCCGCGGTTTTAGTTCCAGGCGGCACTGTTCATACTTCCCCATGATTCTCCAAGAGACCTAACCTGGGATGGGACGGCCCGATCAGAAAACAGAAAACCGAAAGGAGAGAATGGTCTCCATTTTTACATGTTAGTCGACCTGGAGAGAAACGATGTAGACGACAGCTCGGCAGAAGTAGAAAAGTCGGATGGGCAAGGCGGAATATTGGTGCGAATATGGACCCAGAGAAGAAAGCGGCGACGGTAGGGAGACTTATAGATCTGAAGAAGTACCCAATCTCAAACAGGCCAGCGGAAGTTCACCTGTATAGAGACGCGGCCATGAAGGCGCAAAATTAGTTTGAAGAGTTAAGCGGAGGGGCACGGGCAACTCCTGAGCCGAGGGAAAGCTCAGAAGAGAAGAGAAGAGTACAAAGAAGTGATGGAATCGACGGGATGAGTTATATGGCTGCTACTGCTTAAATATGGCCCAGCATCGCTCGGCACCCTTGACGCATCTAATACTACTCACGCTTTCCCTTTGCTCCCGTTCCAAGTTTCTGCTCGTGATGCGCTGTGAGATGGATCCGAGATTGTTGACAACGACGGGTCCCTTGCCTACATCGTCCGCAATATTGCTGATATAAAACTCGGCCTCAACCGGACTTGCCTCGGATGCCCTGGCTAATCTCTCTTCCCAGAACAACACCGACATGTCATACCGTATCTATGCCCAAAATCATGGTGAGGTCGAAAGGGGTCGATCCATATCGTGATGAACAGTGTGTTGCTACCTATATTGTTGCCGTATGACACATGTCAATTCGCCTGAGTTGTTTTCTAAAGCGTTGTGAGGATGAGAACAGGGGCGGCGGGATGTCAGGAAGTCGCCGGTCCATTGGAGAAGAGATTGGATCGCGATGAAGACCGCCCAAAGGTTCTGTATCCTTCGAAAAGATACATCGAGGGAACAAGTTGAAAGCCGGTGTTGGCTGAGGGTGGAGGGTAGAGGCCATTTCAAGCTGCTCGAACGGGACGGGTAGACATCCTCGACTTCGCTTCTTTCATATATCTAATACCGTTAGCAGCACCGATTCAATCCAAGTTCGTGAACCCAGCCATGGATCATAGAAAACACATCAGCACAAACACAACAACAAACACTCAAAAATAAGACACATAAACCATTTTATTCACGTCAAACAGACGCTAAAGACGACCAAAGACTACACCCAAAATCCGCTGTTCCGCTGTTCGTCTGACCATATCTGTCCGCCAAGGCAGAAGACAAAGTAGGCGGAGGCACACACCTCAACCAGGCAACAATTTGTTTTTCACGGACTCGACGGGTCGCGAGCACTAGTCCAGCTCCCGGTGCCACTCCCACTCCCACTACTCTTCCCCGACGCGGCGCCCACACTCGGTTTCCTACCCCAAGGGTAAGCGACCACTCCGCCCTTTAGACCCTGGCGGAAAGCAGCGGCGGTGGCGGTGGCGTCTTGATCTTCGTTGCTGAGCTGCGTGAAGCCAGAAATGTCGCTGAGCATCGACGAGGACCTACCCCGCATCTTAGCGCCTTGGGCGATCGTCGCCGGCGCAGCAGCCACGGGACTTGCCGTGATAGCGCCGCTGGGGAAAGGCCAGAGGGGGGGAGCGACGGAAGGGAGGTGAGAAGTGGTAGGGTTGGTGACGGGGACGGGCGCGGAGATGGGAGCCAAGGCGGTTGCATCGGTCGATGTGGGCCAAAGGCCTGGATACTGGGCAGCAGTTGTGGTAGTGATAGCAGCGGCACTAGTGGCGGAAGAAGAAGCAGGCAGAGAAGTGGTAGAATTCCACATAGACGACGGGTACTGCGTAGTCGGAGACGGCAACGTAGCACTATGATGCCGCTCCACCTGCGCAGCAGCAGCGAGTTCGTAAACGGGCGCATTCGTCGAGGCGTAAATCTGGGTATAGAGAGCATGAGCCTGTTGCATAGCCGTCGCATGCTCGTCCTGCAGCATCGAATTGTCCATCTGTACCGAGTTGAAATCGCCATTGAGCTTCTCTTCAGCCGCCGAGACCTGCTTCTGCCACGCCTCGCGCTCCTGCCGTCTTCGCTCGACCTCGTTAAGCCCGCGCTTGTTGGCATCGGCAATGTTGGCGAGCTCGTTGTCGACCTTGGCCACGCGGTTGGCGATCTTGTTCCGTCGCGTCTGCAGCTGTTGCTTGTCGCCCTCTTTACCTTTAACCGCCGAGTTGACCGACGACGAGTACGCCTTGAATTCCTTTTGCGCCGTCTCGAACACGCTCTTCTCGGCCGTCCAGCCCTTCTCGACCTGCTTACGGCGGGATACCACGTCGCCCGGTTCGTCGTCGAACGCCTTGAGCTCGGTGTCGAGCTCGCTCGCCTCCTTGTCCGCCTGCGCCTTTTGCGTCTCCTGCTGTCGGATCTTCTGTCGGTACCGGTCGTCCGTACCGCCGGCCGAGTTGATCGAGTGGTCGGTGCTCTCGTTATCCTTCTTGAGTGAGTTGACCTTGGCCTTCCACTCCTTTCGGAGCGTCTTGAGCTTAGCCCGCTCGGCGGCGAGCTTGGCGTCGGAGGCCGCGATCGACGTCTTCAAGGTCGTGGCCGGCGAGTGAGGGCGGCGCTGTCCACCATTGGGGAGAACGCCGCTATTGACCACGGCGGCAGCGGCGGCGGTGGCAGCGGCAGTTGTCCTAATCTCCCGCGTTGTCGTGACGGTCGTGGAAAAGAGGATCTCGTCGGTATGCGTGTCGACGAACTCGCAGACATACTTGGACATCGGACGCAGTCCGTAAATGTCGCCCGTCCACCTCGTGCCGTACGAGCCTCCTCCTCCCGCTCCCGCTTCGTCGTCCACTTCGTCGGTGTTGTCGGGAGCTGGAACAATACGCGCCGAGGGCCAGTGTGCGTTGTTGATCCTGACGTAAAAGGGCTTCGATCGGTCGATGGCGGCCGAGGACGCCGCGTCGTAGGTCGGCTGCATCGATTCGGACTCGGTAAAGTCGTCGGGGAAATGGCTCGTGTCGAAGCTGACCTCGTCGCATCCGACGTACGAGATCCAGATCCGTCCAGTCTCGCGGTCAAAGGGTGCATTTCCTAGGTTGTGGATGTCGGTGGCGTCGGCGCAAGCGGACTCGCTCGTGGCGTGCGACAGCTCGTACTCCTTGACCATGACAACCTTGGTGCTGGCCAAGGCTGCCCACAATGGTTGTTGCAAGCGCACTTGGGCGCTTTGTTTTCGTCGTCGTTTTGTGGATGAATGTGTCGAAGAACTTCCTCCGGTCGTCGGGGTTGGCTCCGCCTCCAGGGCGTGATGAGAAACACCAATGCCGCCGCCACCACCAGCAACAGAAGCCGCATCAGACTCGGACGCGGCTACTGCTGGCTTCCCTGCTTCGGGGTCGCCGGCATTTGCCGTGGCGGCGGCGCTGCTCCTCTCGCGACGGATGTACCACTCCCTGATGTACCGGACAATTCCTTGCATGAGAATATGAACTCCTAACAGGGTAAAATAAGGGTCGGGATGGCGGATGACCGCCGAAACCGCCGTCCTCGAAACTTCCTCCAATGGATCATCGGGATCCGGGGTGAGCCGCCACGAGGGCGGTAAAAGCCGGAGGAACCGAGCCCAGTGCGATCGAGTATTCTTAAAAATGTGAGTGCTAATCACAAAGGCGAAGCACGCGGAAACGGTTCTCGACTGGCCGCCACGGGATGTCGAGCCACCACCGAGGGTAGCCGCAATGACGGGTTTCGCGAGGTCGAGAATGGCGTTCTGGACGGACGGCCATAGAAACAAGAATACCAGCAACGCTAAAATGTCAACACATAACACAGTCACTAGGGACGGCATCGTTGAATGCCAATCTAAGAGTTCCGCGAGGTGGATGTTGACTACGGAGCTGGCGGTGAGGGGCGAGGCAAAAGTGAGGACGGTGAAGACGGTATAGATGACGGAGAGAGTAAGGGGTGAAACGTGCATGAGGATGAGGAGGATGGCCAGGGTGTCGTGGAGAGGGAGGGCCATGAGGACGGTGGCGGCGAAGTCGAGCGGGCCGGAATCTTTGTGGACGTCGACGGCATACTTGGACGCATTCACATCGATCTGACGGGGCTCGGAAGCGGAGGCGGAGTAGTGGTGGTTATTGGAGGACGAGGAAGAGGCGTTCGTGGGATGGTGATGGTGATGGTTGTGGTTGTGATGATGGGAATGGAACGAATCGGTCGACGTGGACGTCTCCGAGTCCGTCCCGAACGACCCTTGACGGGCGAGGTGGTGGCGGTTGTCGATGGCCATTTCGTCCGAAGGAGAAAGCTTCGCGAAGCCGTTGTGGAGGGCGTTGCCGTTAGTTCTGCCGTTGGCGGCAACGGGAGGAGTCGTAGATCCATTCGCGGAGCCGTTGGAAGGCAGAGTCCGGGACGACTGGGAGCTGGAGGCAGCCGATGTCGAGGTTGACGACGAGGTCGACAGGTTCGCGGATCTCGCCTTGCCATCCGAGTGGGCGTGGTTCCTGTTTCGCGAGGCCCTTTTACCGG